CTTTTTTTCAACAGTTAATTACAAGAAAACGGCTCGGTAGATTTTCACCTAAAATTAATCAGCATCATTCCCAAATGTTATCTTTCGAACAGTTTTTGATTTTTCAAAATCGGTTCGGTAGGATGAGCTTAAATGTGAACAAAAATTTAACACTTTTTTTCAACATTTAATTACAAGAAAACGGCTCGGTAGATTTTCACCTAAAATTAATCAGCATCATTCCCAACTAATATCTTTCGAACAGTTTTTGATTTTTTAAAATCGGTTCGGTAGGATGAGCTTAAATGTGGACGAAAAGTTCAACACTTTTTTTCAAATTACAAAGAAACGGCTTGGCAGATCGTTGCACAAAGCTGACAAACGATAGTCCTCACCGAAATACATCAAATGGCTTTTAAATTTCTAAAATCGGTTCAGGCGTTTTTGAGAAAACGTCGATCAAAAGTCTAATTTTGACAAATGCCAAAAAGACCATACTGATTTTTGCAAACTTTGACGAATTTTTAAAGCTGAACCAGTTGTCGTAGGGCCGTAATATTTTAGTATGACCTAGAAAACTATGGTATCCATCGTCAAAAAAATAATCATAAAAATCGTCAAAAAATTTTTTTTTAAAACTTTATTACAAGAAAACGGCCCGGCCGATCTTTACCAAAAACTAATCAGCACGATTCCCAACCAATATCTATCGAACGGTTTTTGAATTATCAGAATCGATTCAGAATTGCGGGCTAAAACGTGGACGAAAAATTTTTCACTTTTCTGCAATTTACAAAGAAACGGCCCGGCCGATCGCCGCACAAAACTCAGAGACGATAGTCCTCATCGAGATACATCAAATGGCTTTTAAATTTTTGAAATCGGTCCAACCGTTTTGGAGAAAACGTCGATTTACGGCAAAAAATCTGTTCACACACACACACACACACACATACACACACACACACACACACACACACACACATACTTTTTCCAAATTTGGTCTCATTCGATTCAGAATGGCTCGAAACGTCGAGAAAACATAAAATTAGCGATTCGGATTTTTTGATGAAAACATAAACTTCTCCTTCGGGAAGTTAATAATCTCTTTGAAAACATTTATTATTCCTAGAACATTTTGTTACGGTACGGAAAGTTCCAGCAATTTGCCTTAAGGTACGATGCCATACACCACTAGTTTTACACTTTGTTTGACATTAAATAAAAATGCATTCTATCAAATATAAAAATATCAAGAAAAGTTTGTTAAACCAAGATAGATTAGTAATAAAAATAGACAGAAATAATTTCTGGAAACTTATCGTTTCTTCACAATAATATTAACTACTCTGAATTTAATTTCACTGATGGTAAATCACAATATGTCAGTATTTGTGGCGTAACGCATTTCCGTTGCATTTTGGCTGAGTTACTGCCTACTCGCGCCTGAAGAAGTTTTACTTCAATAAATCTTCTTACTAAACGTACGAATTATTGTAGTATTTAGTTATTAGATTATTAACTTCCCGTCAAATTATAGTAATCCCAAAAAATCGAAAATGAAAATTTTTATATAAATTTACGTTTCAATAGTTTCTGAACATCTTTCAATAGTCAATCTTCTTCAAAAATTTGAAATTCCTTAAAAATCTAATTTTTCCAAAGCTTAAAAAAAAATTTTTTACCTTTTTTAAAAAAATTAATATTTGGTATATATTATATAATATATTACCATTATTGTTAAATTAGCAATTTGCGTTAAGGCACGATGCCATGCACTACTATATATGGACAACAATTTATTTTAATAAATAAATTTCCACAAAAAAGTAAAAGGTTTGACCAAAAATGAGTCTCTCATCATTCGTTTCTATTATAATTAATTGCCCGTAGGGTAAGTTATAGTAATGGCAAAAAAATCGAAAATGAAAATTTTTATATATCTTTACGTTTTAAAGGTTTCTGGACATTTTGGCATACCTTAAAAAAAATAAATGTATGTGTGTGTGCGTGCGGATAGAAATTTTCGTCGACGATTTCGGGAACATCGATCAACCGATTTGAATAATTCAAAAAACATTCGATTCGTATTGATAAGGAGACGTGCTGATCAGTTTTTGGCGAAAGCAGATCTAACCGTTTTGAAGATACAGAGCAAGAAAGGCAGAAAATCTGATTAGATCCTAGTCATCCACTCGTTAATAGATGAAAAAGTCAAAACTGATCGGGTTCGAATCCCACGTCTGTAATAGTCTTTTTTAATACTTTTTATGTTTGTATAGTTGATACTATATAAACTATTCAAAATTGTGAACTCAGTGCATATATTTCGCGAACGAAAATTTGATGCAATTGAAATAAAATATGTTCATTCTAACAATAAGTCCGCTTAATTAGATTTTGTTTATATTTATTTTATTCAAACATATATAAACAACGTCGTCTAATCTAATAAGTTTTCACATTTTGTCTACAAGGAACAAATAATGAAAATTCTAGTTTTTACAATATTTATTCATAGACATTTTTGTTGACTGATTATTTTTATTCTTCGAATGTTTGATTACGGTACGGGAAGATTCAGCAATTTGCCTTAAGGCACGACGCCTCACTAGTTGGTAAAAATCAATCGAACTGTACTTAATAATGATTAAAATATTTTTCCTTATTCATTTCTATTATTATTTTTCCTCGTCTCCTGTATATTTAACAAAGGATATTTCAAGTTATTTTCCAAGTGCTACGGAGAGGTGGCTGCGCTGACACAAACGCTAAAAGTTTCACTTTATGAGTACAAAGCGTTTGTTAGACGTTTTCATGCAAAATGTTAAAGAAAATACAAAAGAAAAGAAAATATGTGTTCGACTTGTCTATTGTAGAAAGGCGAAGTGCAATATGCATTGTGGGCGAATGACATAAATAAACACATTATTATGATGTAGGTACATGCACCTTAGGGTGATGGAAAATTGTGTAAACATGCTAAGAAAAAAATATATAAACTAGTGGTGTATGGCATCGTGCTTTGAGGCTAAGTGCTGGTACTTTCCGTACCGTAACGAAATGTTCGAGGAATACTGAATGTTTTCAAATAGATTATTATAAATACATTGTCAATAACATTAGTTATAAAAATTATATGAAGTGATTTACAAAGGTAAAATTATTAATTTAAAATATATAAGTGAACCTTAGAACTTTAGCCAAATAAAAATTATTATTATTTTTTTTTTAAATGAAATAATTTTTTGTCCCAAAAGCAATTATTTTGTCAAAACAAGCAGAAAGATTTTTGAATCATTCAAATGCGAATGCAGTTAAATTATTAGGTTGAACAAAAATTAAAAATATTGGAAATATTAAAATTTGTGTGGACATTTTATATCGATTATATTAGTATTATAACGGACGCTTAGTTCTCTCAAAAACTGCCATTTTTGCACATTTAGCTCTGTATCCTCGAAATGGCAAGACCTGCCTCTGCCAAAAACTCATCACCACTTTTCCAAATCATTACAAATTGAATGTAAAAAATTTAGCAAGCGATCGAATCAGTGTTAAACAAAAAAACGAAAAACTTGAAAAAAAATAATTTTATAATTATTTTTCAAGAGAAAAAATAGAATTCTTTGAATATGCTGAAATGAATTCTGTAAAGTTTATGTATATATAAAATAAGAACAAATCTCTAATACTATATGTATAATATTTTTCACTAAATAAAAGTACTTCACATTCTCCTATTATTAACTTTCCGTAGGGTAAGTTATTGTAATGGGCCAAAAATCGAAATTGAAAATTTTTATATTTCTCGACGTTTTGAAGGTTTCTGAACATTTTGGCATACCTCAGAAAAAATGGATGTGTGTGTGTGTATGTATGTATGGATACAAATTTCCAGTCACGTTTTCGGGCGCACGGATCAACCGATTCGAATGGTTCAAAAAACATTCGATTCCTATTGATAGGGAGATGTGCTGATTAGTTTTTGGCAAAGGCAGGTCCAGCAGTTACGGAGATAGTGCAAAGAGTGCAGAAAATAGAAATTGAGTTTTTGAGAGAACGGAGCATCCGATTTGAATGATCTGAAAAACATTCAATTAGTAATGATTGCGAGAAGTGGTTATTAGTTTTTTGGCAAAGGCAAGCCTAACCATTTCGGAGATACAGAGCTAAATGTGCAAAAAATGTCAGTTTTTGAGAGAACTAAGCGTCCGATTTGAATGATTCAAACAACTTTCTGCTTGTTTTAACAAAATAATTGATTTTGGAAAAAAAAATGTTTCAAAATTTTTTTTTTCAATTTTTTTTTTCAATTTTTTTTTTTTGTATATCGAAAATATTTCAGATTTTAATTGTAATTCGGACTAAAGTTCTAATGTACTTGAAACAAATATGTTTAACTTTGCAATTCAGTTTATATAATCTTATAAATATTAGACAATGTTACAATATTTATAATAATCTATTTGAAAACATTCAGTATTCTTCGAACATTTCGTTACGGTACGGGAAGTTCCAGCAATTTGCCTTAAGGCACGATGCCATACACCCCACTAGTTTCCTTTTCAAAAATCAATTGTATATCATGTAGTTTGATTAGCATACTATTACTTCTACACAATTATAAAATCATAGTCATGTAAAAATAATATAATACTAAATATTTTTTGCTGGTTGTATACCATTGTACAACTATATTAATACAGAATATAGAATACAAAATTGCATTATTTTGGACCATTGTGCCAAAAGTAATAAATTTGCCTGTGTATAAATGTTTGTATTAGTAAAAAATCTCAAGCAAATGTCTGTACGTGTTAACAGATTTAGTACCAGTTTAGGGAAGTCGGATATGACAAAATCTCCGATACAACTCCACTCGGATTCACTCCGAGGGTAGAGTTGTATCGGAGTGATAACTCCGGAGTGAGTTACCAATCTCTAATATATATATATATATATATATATATATATAACGATTTATTTATCTATTTTTTATCATTATCTTTTTGTTTCAGATAAATCCGTCTCCTTCGAGAAATCGGTGTCATTCTCCGACGAGCCTCCCGGAATATCGCCGAAGCAGCACTCGCCGCAGCACTCCGGTGAGATACCCCGTCTGAAATCCGGTTACCTAACTCCGCGAAACATCTCCGTCGTTAACTCCAACAGATATACTCCAACATCTTTCGGATACAAACCCAATAATAATCAAAATACCGCCCAAAATCGCGAAAACAATCATAATCGCGAAAACTCAATCAGACATTACTCCGCAATTAGTAGAGACAGGGAAAATAAAATCCCGGAGTTTTCCACCAAGTATAAAGGGAAAAAGTTAGATCGATTACCGATTTTTTTCCAGACCGGTACGGTGCCTCTGGATAGGCGGTCTCATAGTGGTAAGGAGTCGGTAGATAGTGGTTTGGGTAGCGGTAGGAGCACTCCGGTTTTTCCTCCGGTTATTTTGGCGAGGACCACCAGTTTGAAGTCGGCGAATCGAAAGTCGCCTACTTATGATACTATTTATGAACATCCTATCGAGTATAAGTATGGGAAAAAATAAGAATACGTTTGATATTTGAAGTGAAACTTTTTTAGAATCAAGGAGTAATAGATACATCATGTCTGATCGTACTTCAGTGATATCTGTATTGCCGGACAATTTTTTCTATAACATAAAAGTTGTTATAAAATTTATTATTCAGTATATAATGAACACACAATTAGAAAAATTTTATTCCAATTTTGAAATGGATACTCATTGACCAAGAAAGATTTTCATTGGTTATTTTACTGATTCTGACCTAATTTTTGTACTCAGTATGATTTTTTTTTAAGGGGCACAACTAGTGTTACCGCCTAAAAAAGTTGATTTTTGGGAATTTATATTAAAAAAAACTACTTTATCAATCATTTCAAAATTTTAGGAATATATTTATACATGTTTTAAGAATACATAGTAAAATTTTTGAAGAAAAAAATTAAATATTTTTTAAGTTATCTTCGATCTTCAACGGCGCGACAAAAAAAGGCCCTTAACTGCTGCAGTGATTTCGGCCTTCTACATGGATGAAATAAAAAAAAAAAATTCTCGTTAAACTATATAATATTGTCCATAAAATAAACTACGATAAAAAAATAAATCCAAAATTGACAAAATGGCGGCGTTTTAAAAAAAAAGCCGAATTTTACCCAAAATTTTGGTCGTTTTTCGACTGCCAAAATTTGATTTTTGATCCGATCAAAAAATCGATATTTCATTTTACGGAGAACTATATATAGAACATGTAAAAAAAAATTGACAGTGATTAGATCATTCGTTTTTGAGTAATCTTTGCAGCAAATTCGAAAATGCTGTTTCGAGAAAAACGCGTTTAAAGATAAAATGATCGTTGTACTATACACTGTATATATACTTTTTAAATGGCTGTAACTCAAAAACTGTTTGAGATATCGTATTGAAATTTTAATATGTTATTTTGAAAGGTGTAATCTACTGAAATATGAAAAAAAACAAAAACCCATTTTTTCGAAATTTCACACTAGTTGTTGTCCCTTAAATATCTGATGAGTTAGGGTAAGGCGTGACTCAAAGGTCCAATTTGACTTTTATCAAGTATACTGTAAAAACCAAATGTACTAAATTACAACAATTTAGTAGAAAATTCATCATCGTAAAAATATGTTTTTTTCTGTTTCTCAAAAATTTGCCATAGGCGTGGTAAAAAAAAACATTCTACTTTCTTTATAATTTTAAAGAATTTTTACGGAATTATAGCTAAATTGTTTAATCAGTGCAATGCAGTTAAATCATTAGGTTGGATAAATAAATTAAGAATATTTATCAACTCCTGTTTGGACATTTCATATCGATCATATTAATATTATACCATCATCATATTAATTATATTAGTTCTGGAGATTTTTTTTACATTTTTTCAAATAACTCAAAAACTTTGAATTGCGCTTTCTTTTTTAGTTACAGTAGCAGAAACTAGATGAAATTTACTAAAATTTGATCATAAATAATTTTAATCAATATTTGCAATATAGTTTTTTATACAGTTCTTTCACTTCGTCCGACCCAATTTTTGTCTCTGTTATGTAAAAGAAATTTTAAACTATATTTGAATATAACACATAAGTTTAATTCGGATGTAGAATTTCCAGGATAACTTTACTGACTTTGAACTAATTATCATAAATTATCACATAAGATGTTTAGTCTTGATTTTGAATATATATTTTACCAAATTAGATTTTTTTTAGTTCTGTAAAGCTTTTTTCTAGTAAACAGTTCAGTTCTTCTGATAAAAGTTTGAATTTTTTTTATAATTGGTTTTTATAAAATACCATTAAAAACAAAAACTTATATAATGAAAAACTTATATAGCCTTTAGTTAATAGAAAGCTAATTTTTAAAAATTTAATAATAGAAAATATTATTAACGCATTATAGTTGCAATTTTCTCAAAAAGCAGAAAATTATCAGTTGAAAATTGAGAATAAAAATTGTTTCTCATTCCTTTGGCAGGATTATATTTTGTTTGGAAATTAATACATTTTTAATATGAACGTTGTCTAAACATGTTTAAAAATGTATTTTTATTCGGATTCCGTATTTGTTAATTACCTTTTAAATACAAAAGTTTCACTTCAAAATTCAGTTACCGCATTAATTACATATAAAAAATTTATGACTTCAAAATTTTTAAGACTTAGTTTTGTAAAAACTTGTATCTAAGTATGTTGGGGTATATCTTATAAGTTCATTTTTCATCTCTTGACAAATATCTTATATCATTTTCACCCATCGATAATAATTATTCGAGTAGAATTTATTATTCGTCTCGATTTATTTGTTAATTATCATTATTCATATGGATTTCAAGATAAACTATGATATAGCTAGTTTATAATATTTTATTATAGCAGATACTTATAAATATTATCTTTTAAAAATTAATATCACAACAATCACAAAGCACACATAGCTTACTAATATTGAATTTATGCTTTTCGCTTTTAATTAAAATTTTACATATATGAAAAATGTGTTTTCAGGGAAATCTTGCAAATAATAAATAGATATATATTATCTATCTATATATATATATATATATATATATACGTATATATATACGAGTATATATATATACTCGTATATATATTTAATGCAAGATTTCTACTCTAAAAATACATTACAAAATTTTTGTCAAAATTTTGCTTTTTCGTTCTTATTTTTTACTTCGTTTTCTAAAAATTAAAAACGTTCGGAAAAATAAAATTTTATACGCCATTGTATATATTTTTAACAATATAAACAGTATTATTTTTAATTGAATATTTAATATATATAAAGTAAAATACTATGCTTGGAAAAATGGATTTGCTAAGGAAATTTGGTTACCAGAAAAATATATACATATATATTTAATCGATAATTATTCGAGTAGAATTTATTATTAGTTTAGTAGATTTTTTTAAATATTTTATTAATTGTATATTTTTTCTAAATGTTTTTAAGTTACCAATATATTTATTGAATATTTTGTGGACTTTGATGGAAGACGTCACTATGAGAATTGACATATTAAAAAAAAAATAGGCTCAAAATTTTGAGAATTTTTGTTAGCGAATACTTTAACACGTTCGTGGATAGTAAAAATGAGCAAGGAACAAAAATTGACAGTAATTTTATTTTTATATTAGTTGTGATATTCAAAATTTGATTGAACACTCATATTTAAATCTTTATATACGATGAATGCTATAGCATCCATGTCAAGTAATAGCGCTTCATTTTACGCAATGTGCTTGTCGAAGGTAAAAGATAAGATAATATCAAATTTCTTAAAGAATCAATTAGTCATTAGCTTGACAGGTATAATAATTACAAAAACGTAATGTTATAAAAAAATTAAAAATTTGAATGCTATAGCATCTACATCATTCTGCATTACAATGAAAATAAATGCTATAGCATTCACGTAATAGGTATTCTTGAAGTCAATTATGGTGCAAAAAATTAATCATATTTTTGATCATTATATTTTAATCGTTATATACTAGATGGATGCTATAGCATCCACGTCGAATATTACGCTTGTATTTTACGAAGAATCAGTTACTTATTAACTTGACAGGTAGAATGATTACAAAAACGTAAGGTTATATGAAATTTTAACATTTGAATGCTATAGCATCCACCTTATTCTGCATCACATTGAAAATGAACTTTAGAAAAAAAAATTTGAATTTTTTTTAATATTGTTGAAGTAAAAATTTATCATCTCAATGTGACGTCATAACCATCATCTACCCCTATTTTTCTTTAAAATTAGTTTCTATCTATTTCAGTCTTATTTATTATTATATAGATTATTTAAATATATTAATATATGTACTATATATGATTTAATATTTTCTTCAATATATGTAACTTTATGAACAACTAACTTTTTTATACATTTTTCTTATTAGGCTCAAATTATTTTTCATATTAACCTTTTTTGGCATGGTTTGGTTGTAAAATTGGTGTTTGGTCGTTTATTTTAATTTTTTATCGATTTTAATTCAAATCATTGCTGTTCTGATTAAAAAAGAAATTTAAGAAATCATTGGCTTAAATAAAAGTCGTTTTATTAAAAAAAATGTGGACAGGGAAGGATTAAGAATATAATAAACAAAGATTTTTAACAACTTATCATCATTGTCATCGTTGCCATATTTATTAATTTACATTACTATTATTTAGGTTTAGAATATGTAAAGGTTCATAAAAAAATTGAATAATTTAGGTAATTTTATGGTGGAGCCAACAAAATATAATTATAATTTATAAAAATTACTCTGAGGTACTTTTCGATTTCAATCACGGTTTTAAAAGAATATTTTTTTATATGATCAATAGTCTTTTCCAGCTATTTTTTTTGTAATTAAAAAACATATATAATAAATTTTCCAAAGAAATTCATCAAAAAAACCGATTCGCTAATTTTACGTTTTACCGACGTTTCAAGCCATTCTGAATCGAATGAGTCCAAATTTTGAAAAAGTAACACACGTTGTATGTGAGCAGATTCTAGACTGTTTGTCGAAGTTTTCCCAAAAACTGCTAGACCGATTTCAAAAAATTAAAAGCCATTTCATGTATCTCGATGAGGACTAAAGTTTATCAGTATGCGCTACCATCAGCCGAGCCGTTTTTTTGTAATTAGCAAAATAGTGAACAAATTTCGTCCACGTTTTAGCCCGCAATTCTGAATCGATTTTGAAAATTCAACAACTAAAAAGATATTGGTTGGAAATCGCACTGATTAGTTTTTGGTAAAGTTTTGCTGGCACAGGTTCTTATAATTAACTGCTGAAAAAAGATAGATATCATGGTCTTATTAAAATATTACAGTCCTACAAGTTTAAAAACATGAGCAGCGTTTTTTGACGTCTGTTAAAGTTAGACCTTTTACTCTTTTTTTCTCAAAAACGCTTAAACCGATTTCAAAAATTTGAAAGACATTCGATGCATCTCGATGAGGACTAGCGTTTATTAATTTTGTTTAATCATCGGTCGAACCGTTTCTTTAAAAAAAATTTAAAGTTTAAAAAGCGCAAACTTTTTCGTTCGCGTTTCAGCCATAAAGTTCTGAAGCGGTTTTGAAATTGTTATTCTGATGATTAATTTTGGACAAAGATCGGCAAGGCCGTTTCTTTGTAATTGATTGTTAGAAAAAAAAGGTCGACCATTTTAATTAATGTTTGTATGACATTAGAGTATATGATCTTAATGTACAGAGTAAAATATTATAGTCCTACAAAAAGTGGTTCAATTATAAAAATTAATTAAAATTTAGATTATTCAGCCGAGGTTTTAGAAAATACTCCGTATATGTATTTGGCACGTGTTTGTTCTACAAAAATGTGAAATAAAAAATTGTTCAAAATTGAATAATCTGCAATAGTTCCTCACATTACATGCTCTAAAGCAACTCTGTATACTCATAAATTACTCATAATTTATATATTGATTTACACTAAGTCGATTATTTACACATGTCGGAAAATTCTTGCCTCAAGCAAAATGACACTTTCAACCATTTTTAGAGATAACAAAAAATTAGCAAGTACGGTTTTTCTGATGACGACAAATTTTTCCTTTAGCAAGTCAATATATAAGTCGAGTCTATACGGTAAATTTATTACTACTTTAAAATAATAATAATAAAAATCGATTAGTACAATATTACATACACTTTTCTTAAAAAAGATTGAAATCGAAAGAGTTTTTCTAGCAAAATTGTCCAAGATTGGCAATTATCAATCCGATCATAATAGGCTTCACAAAATAATTAAAAATAAAAATGAATTTACGATTTCCTATTGGATGAGCGTTTCCACCTGCAGTTTTTACATTCAGCAATGAATTTTCGAATAAAAGTTTGACTTTATTGTATTTATTGCTGCTTTTGGTTTTGGACAATCAGCCGATAGTCGCCCTGCCAAGCCTGCTATCAAATCTTCCACTTTGCCTAGAACTTCTTCACAAGGTAAAAAAATATTTGGTGATGGGCACTTTTTCAAAGTTTGTGACAGTTTATTTAGTTACACAGTATTATAGTTAATTAGAGTAGTAATATGAAATTATAAGGTGTGAAGAAAAAAAAATAGATATATATACAGGGTGTCCCAGAACTCAACGTCAAACCGAAACGTGGTGATAGTATTGATAGTACCTATCGCGGAAAAAATAAAACTAAATGTGAACATTTAGTTTGCAAATTTTGAGCTTTTAAGTGCAATCTAGAACTTTGGTTGATCTTTGATCAATTTTTGGTTATTGTAGTTGAGTTTTTATTATTTTTGTTACATAATCGTAAATAAAATTTCTGGGACCACGGTCCGAAAATAATGGCACAATTACCCCAAGCTTTCTAGAAATAAGACTTTTCGTTAAACTAAAAATTTACAATATAAAAAAAATATTTATGCTAATACTTTTTATAAATATTCTCAAATTTGTGATAATATGATAAATTAGTAAATACATCATTTTTTGTTGTAAAATTACAAACAAAAATAGAATATTTATTTAGCACATGTAACCCTAATTTTTTACCCTCGTACCACAAACCTCTATTTCGTAAAAAAAATTATAGTCATGTTTTATATCGAACATATCTAACTTTTGATGGAACTTGCCAAGTCACTAAGTACGTTTTTTTCAAATGGGCCTTTTAAATTTTGGAAATTTTAAGTTAAAAGTTTGACAAATACTTTTAATTCTAGAAAACTTGGAAGAAGTTTGTTATTATTTTTGACTGTGGTCCCAGAAAAGTTATTTACGGTTTCGGTTCCAAAAAGTTTAAATGGACAAAAATAATGAAAATTAACCAAAATAACCAAAAAATGTTCCAGTTTTACCAAATCCTTGGGTTATACTTAAAAGCTCATAATTTTCAAACTTAATAAGATTATCTTTTTTCTATTTTTTTTGATAGTTATAATAAATTCTACTACCCTGTTCTGACTTGACGTTGAGCTCTGGGACACACTGTATATATATATATATATATATATATATACTATACGAATGCAGTGTATTGTACATACTTAGATAATTTTTTGAGTATGTTTGGTTTTATTAACTTTTTGTTTAATAAATACAAACTTTTGTAGACATTGCTATATATAAGAGATCACTTTATAAAACAAGTGAATATATAAAAAAATTATATAGGAATAATTAAGTTTTATATATATCAAAAAAGGAACTAATTATATATAATAGCAGGTTAGTTTTCAAAAATATTTTCGCAATTTCTATACAATATCTACTATATCTTTTTATTATATTTTGTTAAGAATATAAACTTACAATTAAAATTCATTAAATATTTCGTAAAATTCAATTTTACTCATTATTTACATGATTTACTATTGAATTCAAAATACTTCATTCAATTTTGATTTTACTTATTATTATAAAATATATTACGTTTCCCACTTTTGTCTACAAATAATTTCAATCAATTAAACTTTTTGGATGACAAGCATTTTATATGTATTTTATCTTGCAAATAATAAGTACAATTTCAGCAAAAATTATTTATTCACATCTCTAATTTACTTGGTGATATTTTTAGATTTTATAAAATATAATTATAAAATTATATAATATAATATACAATTTTTAGTATGAGTATTATTTGTTTTTCCAGTGTAAAATCTAACTACCTTGGAGGTATAAAGTTCCTTCCAAATTATGTTTATATATTTTTCAAAATTATTAATTAAACACGATTATCAGAACAGATATGAATGCAACATATATTATAGTAATAAGTATTAAAATAACTAATTGATAATTAATATTTTATTAAAGGTTCTGAATGCATGTGCTTGATAATAGAAATAATTAAACTTAGTAAAATAATTTTATATATTTTTATTATATTATAAACTTGATATGAAAATAATTTTTTGAATGTTATTTTTATTAACTTTTTGGACTTTTAATCTGACAAAAAAGTTGCTTGGCATTGCCTTATTATTGAAAATTAATATTATGTGTGTTAATTCAATAAAATATTAATAAATACTTATTATATAGTGGTCCATATAATTATAGAGTAAATGAAAATATGTTTTATGAAATAATTTTTTTGTATTTGTTATGTTAAACCATAAGCATCTGATTATTTCTAAATTAAATAAAAAAATGAATTTAAAACCAAAAAAATAGAACTAGTGATCTTAGAAAAATAAATGCTTATGGGTTAAGATAGCAAAGAAATAATTGTGTATATATAAATACAAATTTATATCAAATATATATTTATATTAATATTATTTATTTATACAGAACGAGACCGACTGAAACCATTACCGCCCCCGAAACCGATGGGATTAGCCCCTCAAGCCGGAGGAGCCCCTATGTATAGAGGCGATTTAATTTTAGCCCCTGAAGTGTACAATCATTTGAGAGGTTTGCAGAAAAAGGCAAAAGATTTAAGAACAGAGGTAAGTGTAACAAAATTATTAACTTCAAAAAATTTACAACAGCTTCTAACAAAACTCTTATAAAAAAATATATTTATCATTGAGTTGTCTTCTATACAATCACATAGTATTGAAGTATCGAAAAAGTTGGCCAAAAAGTTGACCAATGTTTTTTTTTTCTTGTTACTGACTATTTTTTTTATTTTCCAGGTACGAACTCTTCGTCGTATGTCCCAGGCCCAGGCTTTGGCAGTCCGAGAAGATATCAGGGACGCATTTATCAGAATAAGGGCCACTTTGCTGGCCGGAGGCGCATCTGCCTTCAGACAAACTGACCAGGATAAGGTAAAAAGATTTAACATATATATATATATATATATATATATATATATATATATACATATATAATTCATCTGTCCTGGTGTATGATTTGATACTTCTCCTAAACGATTAGTCGGATTTTGATCATTCTTTTTAGAGTTTGTCAAAGGAAATGTTTAAGATTTAATCTTGTATATTAAAATGAATCGCAAAATGTGTTGGTAAGCGCATAACTCAATAACGCCTGGACCAATTAGGCCAATTCATTTTTTAAAATGTACGTTCAAGTTCAAGGATGGTTCTTACAGCAAGAAAAAATCGAATTATTGTAGGGAAAACCCCAAAAACAGCACTTTTCTTTTTCACATACAAACGTTTTCTAACTAAAACGTAGAATCAATTTGAGCGATAAAATTCCTCTGTAATGATGTATGAAAGGATAATCCTACTAAACGATTATTCGAATTTTGATAAATCTTTCTGAAGTTTGTTATGGGAATTTTTTAGGATTTTTTGAATTATAGAAATATAGTTCGATTGTAGAAATAAATGAAAAAAAATTAATTTCAGAAAATATTTGAGGCATTGTTTAGCATTAAAAAGATTGTCATTTGCCATTACCTTTAAAATAGTATATTACAAGTTCTGATGAAGTCAGAATTAAAAAAGTTGTAATCCAATCAATGCGGGGGGTGATGACGGAGCGCAAATTGTTTTCACTTCTGAACTTGAGATTAAAATTAGTCTATTTCAAAAATGTCATGCAAATTGGAGCACAATAAAAAAATTCACAGGGTACACTCTTTTTCCTCTCCATTTACTGCAATAATTTTGTCGATCGTAGGTTGAATAGAGCACATGAGAACAGGATTTGACAAATTAATTCACTTCAAATATGAACATAAACGATAATATATATTGAATTATTGCTGAGAAAAATGTAATTTAGATATTAAAATCACTAAAAGCCATTTAAAATATGGTACAAAATTATAAAAATTATAGGCAATATTATTGAAGCAATTATTTTGGGTAGAAAATTCCCAGGTGATATTGTACCTATACCGCGAATGCTATATATTAATTCTTTCTGAATTTGTTATACCTTTTAAAAGACTTAAATTTTCAACGCGTGTATCTTATGCTATGACCATAAATCACAAAGGCTGACGATGATTTTTTGTGTGATAAATTTGGAAAATCAATGTTTTAGTCGTGAATAAAACCTTGGCATTAAAATAAATTGAGCTATTGGAAATAAATTTGTTCTATTAATTGCAGTGTATAATTTTTAATATACAATTTTATTGAACATATTTTAATATTTGTTAAAGGGATAATTAAAGTGTTAACTATGGAAATTGAGAATCATCATTTTATTTTAAGCAGTTCTACATTTAACATCGCTCAAATTTGTGTAAATAGTAATTCGAAGAATAATAATTATTATTTTTAAGTGAACGGTGTAAATATTAGTATAGGATATTAAAAAAATGTAGATGTGGGTACAGGACAACGTCTGTCGGGTCATCTAGTATATATATATATATATATATATATATAAATAATTTTTCTCAGATGCGACTAACCCGCGAAGAAGAGCTCTACAAGCAAGAAGTCCTCCGCCTCGAGTCCGATTTATCGGAGCTCGAAGGGTCCGTCGAGACCCTTCGAGGTGAGGTCATAAATCGGCGGACACGTGTCAATATGTCCGCCGTGGAGGACATGGCCCTGGTGTTGAGCAGAGCAAGTAAAACTGTCGCAGAACTCAAAATGCGATTCCCGTCTCTCCAGCAAGGCTTGAGGGTGGCTTTGGCTGGGGAAATGGAACAGGTGAAATAAATGATATTAATTAAATAATATATATATATATATATATATATATATACAGTATAATCTGATTAGTATGACGCCGGATATATTGAAAACCGCTTATAATGACGTAATCGCACTAGGAAGTTTGGTTTTCATATAAAATTCCTTAAAAAACAGCTGTCTAGTCGGATATATTGACATCGCTTACATTAACATGTCGCTTATAATGACCCATTTTTGCAAAAAATTATGTCCAATTATAATGATCGACATAATTTCACATGATGTGGCCAAGTCTACGAAAGCAATTGCTATGTCTTTTGTGCACAATAGCACTAGGGACTGTTTTTACAATAAAATTATGTAAAGAAATCAATCAAAAATTACTGATTACTTACATTAGAAATCACATTTGTATGTTTATGGGTAGGGTAGACCAATTAATGGTCCACCACGGATATCTCGTAAACAAATAAAATTAGATTTTTTTTTAACAAAAATATCTGATAGTAGAGGGCAAAAAATGTATAAATTCATAACCAGCCATCACCTTTATTCTTATGACTTTGCTATCAGAAGATAAGCAGCACATGAGTGGGATAAAAAGGACCAGCAGAACCTTTACTTCGGCAAAGGTGTAAGCAATAAAATAGTAAAGTTTTTTAAAAAAAGCAATTTTACAAGAGATTAATTAAATAAATTGTTATTCCGGCTCGTCTGATGAATATTTCTGACCAATAGCAGATTAATGTAATAAACTGTGTTATCTTTGTAACAAATGTATCCACAGAATTAATATTTTGCATTGGTTCAATAATGTTGCGTAAAATCCTTTTAAAATTTAATAGAAGAAATTGCATCTATTTGGCCCTTGGTTGTCCCACTTTACCCCGTATGTGAGGTAAAATGGATCATATACCAAATTTAGAAAAAATAGTAAAAAAAATAATATTTATATAATTAGGAATTATGTGAAATTTTTTCTGTACATAGTTCGATAGATGCTTGTTTGACGTGTGTTATGTGTTGCAAGTATAATTACTGAAAGTCAAATTGAACCTTTGTGCCCCGCCCTGCTCTATGTCAATTTTATTTTATATTAAATTTTAATATGTGTCATTTTTATTTTTAATTATAATGTATGTATAGGCTTTTCTTTTAAAGTACTGAAACATGTAACATATTTATATATTAGAAATTTTTTGTTCAGTATGCTTTGTATGACGACCGGTTAGTATGACGAGATTTTGGCATCCCTTTGATGTCATACTAACCGGATTCTACTGTTTATATATATATATATATATATATATATATGTGTGTGTATATAGTTATTTATCACTTGATTTAAACTTTATATCTATGCCTAAAGAACTATTTTTAAATTATCAATATCCAACAAATGAATTCCTCTTTGTTACATAAATGAATATTCTAAGGAAAATGTTTACATAATTGAATAAAAATGTTTTTTTTTCAAAAATTTCCAAGTTTTAATTATTTTTTCTAATTTCTATGCTAAATTCTAGGTTGTAAGAGAAGAAAAGTTCTTGAAGGAGGAGCCTGAACGTCTAGAAAGTGCACTACGTAGGTGCAAAAAGTTAACAGGAACTTTAGTTACACTGAAAAGGTAAGATCAATAGAAATAATCAACATATTATTACTTCAGATATTTTTTAAAAAGTTATTGGCAGAAAATCAGTATAGTTTACAATGTTATTACTATGAGGCTAAAAGTGCCCTCAGCCTGAAACTCGTCTAGTTTCAGGTCAGAGTACAATCTCGCATATCTTGAAAACCACCGTATGAACCAATTTCCAATTTTTGTCACAAATTTGGCCAAGTATAATAACAAAGAGTGCTAAGTTTCATAAAATACGCATAATTCGCTTTTGAGAAATTTACCATGGTGCACTTAGGCCAAAAGTGCTCTCAACCTGAAACTCGGTTAGTTTCAGGTCAGAGTGCAGTCTCACATATCTCGAAAACCACCGTATGTACCAAACTAAAAATGTTGTCACAAGCTTGTTCAAGTATAATAACAATGTGTGCCAAGTTTCATTAAATTCGCATGATCCGCTTTTGAGAAGATACCACTGTGCATTATTCGGTAGGTCAACCGTGTTCTCAACCTAAAACTAGTTTAGGCTGGTTCTTCACTTTTTCGACGATTGTTCGGCTTGTAGGATAGGATCCAAATTGAAACTGAATGTAGGACATGTAGCGAGAAATGACGTCATATAAAAATTATTTTAATACTAATATGCTTCCGGGTTAAATTCGCTGAAAACTCGAAAAATAGCCTGATCAAATGCACTAACAATTTTTGGCCGAAAAATCTTAGTACCTCGGATTTCGATAAAATTCATAGTGTTTATTATTTATGAAATTAGTAAAATGCTATAGACATTTCATGACAATTGCTTTATTAGTTTTCAATAGGGTTTGTCGGTTTTCAAAAACCGGTTTTTTTACTAAAATTATAAAATTCGAAAACCGGTTTTTTAGTGAAAAAATTCGGTTTTCACTGTATAAATGGAAAATGGCAAATATAGCCAAATATAAAAGATAGATGAAAGCGTTTTGATACTTGAAATCATATCGGTTCAATAGCATTTGATATCTTAGCAGTCTGTAATAGTTTCCAGAAAGTTTTTGTATATATTAATTTAGATTTTTATATCAGTGTATATATTAATTTAAATCAGTATGTCTTCTTCTTGAAGAAGTAAATTCCTCTACTCAAACTTCAAAAAAAAAAGAATTTTCAGCCCCTAGAAGCCACAAGTAAAAGAACAAAAAACTTAGAATTATTATATCAGGCTTTAAAAAAAATTAAGCCTAGTTCAGTCGCAAGTATGAGAGTGTTTTCTATTTCAGGAAATTTTGTGAGTAAACAAAGGACACGTCTAAGTAGTAATTCGATAGACGTTCTAAGTTTTTTTAAATCATATGTTATTAAACAAAAAACAATTAGAAAAGAAATTAGAAAATTAATTAATTAAAATTGCTTGAAACAGACAATATACGAGTTTAGCTTAATTGTTTTTAAACTAATAAAACATGTATATAATATTTTTTTTTTAATTTAATGATTTTTTTTTTAATTTAAAATTGTATTATTTTAATTTATTCGAAAACTTTCCTCTCACTATCATTCAGATATTTTTATTCTTATATGTGAAAATGATGCATGAATAACGAATGATTATTTTAAAAGATATTTAATCAAGATAAGCTATTATTTTTTAGTTGTACTAATTAAAATTAAAATGATTTTGTTTACTATCTATAAAATCGGACAAAAAATAAATTCAGTTAAATAATGCTCTAAATTACACTAAATTTGCAGATAAATTACAGAATATTCGAGCAAAAATTTATTTTTTATATAAAATTCGAAAACCGGCTGAAACCGGTTTTTTAGTAAAATTAAAATTCGAAAACCGGTTTTCTGAAATGTAGGTTTTTGTATAAACCCTAATGCGTGCCCTCCGTCGCTAAATCACTTCAACCTAAAATCGTCCTCTATTCCAGGTTGGCGAGCGTACAAGAACAGCGCCTACCGCCGCCCGCAGGAGAAGCGCAGGGCGAATCGCCGCCGCCGACGACTCCGACGTCGGCCCAGAGCAAGGTAGGACCGATTTAGCCTGCTTCGATATCTTTCTGTTTCTGTTTGTGATGTTTTGTTTTGTTTTGGTTTTTTACGTTCAATTAATTCACTGTCAATGTTTTTCCAACGAATCACAAATCAATACCACAAAGTACCTTTCGAACCCGGTGTGTCGTACAGCAAAAATTGTCCCACCATTTGTGAAATTGTCAGTACCTAGATAGATTAACCTGTGCATGGATAAAAAAGATTGAATTAAGTTGATACTGTGGCACTCCGAGGTACGAGACGCATAAAAAGGCGATTCGTTGCTTCGACATACGAGCAAAATTCGTTATAGGAGCTTTGAGCTAGTAAGAGTTTTTTAGAAAATTGTTAAAGGCAAAATGAAAATATGAAAAATTTCGTCGGTTGTAATAATGATTTTCATACTATAGAAATATTTTGGCTGTTTTATGATTAATATAATTAAAATTAATATATATTTAGACATTTTAAATATTTATTCATATTAATTGTGTAGTAACGATTCACGCATAAAAATTACGAATTATTTCAGATATTTGTTATTTCAAATAAATAGCAAATGACACTGTATTTTATGATAAAATAGTCTAGTTTTTGTGATAAAATTCAAAACTCTCGATTTTGCAAAAAAAAGCTACAACAGCTTTTATTTATTCATATTTCTTTACTTTTACGTAAAAAATTTGAATGATAAAAAAAATCAACAAAATGATTTAAAAAAAACGTGTACAAATTTTTAATATTTTAATAAGACCATTTAATCTCGACTAACAATTATTGCTGTATGAACAGTTTAAATAAACTCTCGAAATAAATATACAGGGTGTCCCAGAACTCAACGTCATATAAAAAAATTAGGAATAAATTATCCCATGCATTTTAAAAATTATGAGCTTTTTGGAAACAACTTAGGACTTTGGACCATTTTTTGGTTATTGTGGTTAAGTTTATTATTTTTGCTTGTTTGAACTTTGGAACTGAATATAAATAATATTTCTAGTATCATAGTAAAAAATAATGGCAAAATTACTGCCCTAAGTTTTCTAGAATTAATATTATTTGTTGTATTTATAATTTTCAAAAATCGACTTTCGTTTAAAAAAATGACTAAGGTACCTAAGGGACACTCTGTATTGCAGAAAATTAATTTTGGCAATTACTTTTAGTACTCCAAAACAAATGAGAGGACATACTTAAAATGTGAAATTGAACCATAAAAAGTTTTGCATGAAAATATAATGAGGAAACAAAATAACTGAAAATGGATTTTAAATTTTAACATAATTATCTTCAAAATATATTTTTTTTAATTTTGTCCATTATTTTGATAATTTACATATAATTAAAATAAATTGTATATATAAATAATGCATTTGCAACTGACATTTAAAATATGTACCATGTATGATTTTTATTTGTGTATTAAATTAATTTTTATTTTTTTCTAGTATTATTTTGTTTCTTCAAAAAAAATGCTAGTAATAAGACCACATTCAATATCATTTTCACCGTGTTTATGTTATATTTGTAAACTGAAACTCAAAAACGCCAAACATTTCCAATGTGACCTCTGTTTGATTATAATTTATAATTATTGTGACAAAATTCCATTATGAATAATTTTATTTGTCCAAACAAACGACTTAAAAAAATGTCGTGAAAATCTAAGTTTATTGGCAAATAATTATATTTAATTTTTATATTATTTTTATTTGTTACATCTTGGAATGTTTTGTTGCTCAAGAGCGTTTGATAAAAAAATATAATAAAATTATTATTTTTAATTATTTAAGTTTGTCCATAAAGATACTTCAAGACAAACGTGTATGTAATTTTCGTTTTCAATATTTTTTTTGTTTATTTATTATTGTAATTTTTCATGTGAAAAATGAAAGAAAAACACCTATTTTATGTGTCATGACATTTGTGGTGATCTGTATGTGTTTTTTGTCGAATTTTTCCATGAATGTTTTCATATTTCCATTTCCAAAATGGAGTTTAAGGTTTATGAAAAATGAATTATGAATTTAGTACAATAGTGTGGAAATATTTTGATAAAATAAATAAGCGGTTTTTATTTTTGAAATTTATAAATTAAGTTCAAAATAAACATGTAAGTAACAAAATTAGGAAAAACACTTCTTGTTAGTATTATTTTTCATAATAATTATTTTAGTCAAAAATAACATTTATTATCTTTAGACCAAATAAGTCATTCGTTTTAAATGAAAACTTAATTTCCCAATTAAAATAAATCCAAGTTTTTTTTAACAATTTTAAAAATCTCTCAAACTTTTTGGTTACGTGAATGTAACTTTTATTTCCCAAAAAGTAATTAATATCTGCATGTAATAGAGAGATTTAATTATTTATTTTTTCATGTTTTAAACAAAATTCTAATTTCCTAAATAATTCAAATTCAAGTTCTTAAAAAATAAATATAAGTTATTTTAAATATTGTTTATTCCAGCCTTACGTAAATATTTCGTACGTATCTTTGTAAAAAAAATTTAAAAGTCTTTTTGAAAAATCAAGTATTTTCTAAATATATTGTAGAGAAGATTTACTTTTCGGTTTATTTATGTTTTGAATAACATTTTAACTTTTCAATTAAAATAAATACGGTCTCTTCAAGAAAATTACAAGTGAGCAATTATAGAAAAAAATCTTATTGGTTACGTAAGTGTAACTTTTATTTTTCGAGAATCCAAAAGTTTATATGCTCTATATGCAATATAGGGATCGAATTTTTAATATTTTAAAACATAATCACAATACTTATGTATATTACACAAAAAATTACTAGCACTTCAATGTAATTCTTATAATAACACTCTAGTTTTGCATTAATAGTTAGAAAAATGTCAAATTTTTAAACTTATTTAGATATATCTGCAATTTTCAATTAAATTTGTACTCACCGATTTTTTCATTTTTTTATATAATTCAATTAGTCAAAATTAATTAGTAATTTTCAAAATTAATTAGTACTTTTCAAAATTAATTAGTAATTTTCAAAATTCAACAATTATTTGTAGAATAATCATATTTGTATGGCGTTTTTTATAATGCATTTTTATTTTATTTCCAAAACTCTTAAATTTCTAAATTGAACTAAATATAAATCTATAATTTGCAATTGATATTATTCTTATTATATTAATTGCTATATAAATCATCTATCAATAAATATTTGGAAATATATCCAAATTTCTTCAAATACTTCAAAATTTTTTGTATAAAATATTTATACTATTACCCAAATATTCTTTAAAATTATATTAATAATTTGAATAAAAAAATTAGTAATTTTTAATAATTTACCATTTTTTCAGAAAAATTTTCTTTGATTCGCGTTTTGTATGAAATGCTTGTTTTATTTTCCAAATATTCTATAAAACTATGTTTATAATTTCAAAGAAGTAAAAGTTTATATAATAAATATGAACAAATATCCACCTTTTTTTTAGAAAAATACTTGAATCGCGTTTTACATAGATTAAAATTGAAAATTAAAAGAAAACGAAAATTTGCTTTATTTCTCAAATATTCAATGTTTTTTATATTATTTTGATTTTTGGATCTGAACCATTCTTTGAAAATTTTATTTTCATTATTTCAAAAAGTAGATTTTTCTATTTTACATTCACGTAATTCAAGGAGTTTTTTTGGGTAAAAATGCAAAAAGATATAATAGTCAAACGAAAATCATATACATATTTATAAATCTTTATTTGAGGGTAATTATATATTTAATTCCTTAGATTTTGCATTTACGGAAAATTTCGACTAATTACGTAAAATTGTTTATTTTGTTAAAGAAAATTCTAACTACATTTCATGAAAAGTCAAATGTTACATGGTAATTCAAGTTACATTCTCGTAATTCAAGGAAAATTTTTAGCATTTGTTAAGTCAATTCTAGGATTACAAAAGATTCAGGTACTTTTCAATCTTTATTTTGGGTAATAATAAAATTCCTAGGTACGATAAACTTTGTATTAATCTTTTTATTATATTTCTAAATAGAGACGAAAAAGGTTTGTTGTAACAGTTTTTAAATAATAAATTTGGAACAATGCTGTAAATATTCCTTTATCAAATCAAGTGAAAATAATTCCATAACTAAGGAAAATTATTTTAAAATTAATTATTTTCTAGAAAAAGTGCGGTGTTACAATATTTACCTGTAAAAACGACTTCTTTATTTCTTGTTCAAATTTAACTACTACTAAATTTTGGTGAAAAATTTGTTCTCATACAATTCCAAAATTAAAATAGTATTCGTACTATTCATATATTTTATCATTACAACGATTTAATTTAAATTAAAAATTTTAGTATTTATGAACACCAACCTTGCAAATTTTTACAAGTTTGGTTTATTCCAACTTTGTCGTGTTTTTTTGCAAAATCTATAACACTTACAAAAGTCATATTAACAGAGAAGATTCTTTATAGTATTTTAAAAGATTTCTAATATTTCTTTTACTATCGCGGCTAAAAAAATAATCGAACAATTCTAATTTTTTCAATTTTCGTCCCATTATAGTATAGCTGGAAATGGAGCTCCAACTTCAAAGAGGCAATAGCACACGAGTAATTAATACAAACAAATTACAATTAATTTTATTTATGCATAAAGCATTTTTTTCTTTCAATCTATTTGTCATAATTGTATTGATTCGATATATAGCTACTTAATATTATATATTATGCGATGCCCATGAATTGATTTTATTGAAATCATTTTCGTTCGTATGCCTGTTTAATGATTTTTTATTTATAAATTTTATTATTCTTGTATTTTTGATTTTGCCAATATTTTTTTCTGTATATGATGATGTTCGATGAAATGTTGTTACTGTACAAAGCACTTGAGAAATTATCGACAAGAGTTTGTTGACAGCACTATTATTAATATTATTATTAAAAAATCTCTGACTGTTTTTTAATGGACTACTGGACTCGAAATTTTAGAGTATTAAAGTAAAAATATTAGAATTTGAGTATTCTGCTTGAAATATTTATTTGGCAAATTGAACTTCATGCTATGTATTTAACATTTTCATGAACTGCTAAATACGATTTTTTATTTAAATAAAGGTATTAACATTTTAAAATTTTACTTGAAACTATTCTTCGTCGAATAAAACTTCTCTCCATAATCTGAATAGATTCTATATTGCAATATTATTTGCATTATACAGAATTATTTTAAATAATTTTTGAAATTTTATATGACTCAAAAGTAATCTGGTTGAAATATTTCTTTAGCCAATAAAATTTCACACTTCACCTCAAATTTATTATCTGTATTCTTATAGATTTATTTCAAAATTAAAATAATTATATCGTAAAAATATTTCTAAATTTGATTTAATTACAAAATACTTATATCGTAAAAATACTCATAAGTTTGATTTAATTATAAAATACTTATATCATAAAAATCCTGAATAAGTTGTTAAACAAAATACTAATATTTTAAAAATACTTTGTTAAAAAAATTGTTAAAAAAATGGAAAAAAAAAGATAAAACTTATACTATAAATAGGCTAAAAAAATTATTTTTATAAAAATAATTATAAATTAACTAAAAATAATAAATAGATTATTTAAGTTAATAATAATAAATAAATAATTACTATTTCTTATAAAAAATTAGAGCTTTTAAAATAAATAAATTAATTAAAATAAATTTTTTTGAACCAGACAAGTCTTTTGTCTAAAAAAATTAATTAATGAAAAAAATTTACTTAATGCCTTGAAATTGCAATTTTTGAGCAATATTCTTGAAATGAAAATGTGACAATAAATTTGACTCAAAAATATATTACAAAGCCATTTTTTCTAATTTTTAATATTTGAACATATATAAAAGACTTATTTCAAAATTTTCAATTTTTGGCATTTTTTTGTCATCAATGCAATAAATAATATAAAATCATATTGTTTAATTTAAATAAATTACTAATATGAATCTATTGTATTGTATTTGTGTAAACATTTTTATGATATTTAAAATTCAAATTTTACCAAATTTTTCTAATTTTTCTAATTTTCTTTGCATTTTTATTTCATTTTTATTTTTTGCAGAAAAATGTTATTATTTATCAATAACAAAAATGCAATAAAATGCAAAAATATAAATTAATAGTATTGAAAATTCAACTGAGAAAAAAGGATAAAAGTATTAATATTTTAATATTATTTTATATTAAATCAAAATTTTTATATTCATATAATTAAAAAGTTTATATTGACAAATTCAAAATTTGTGATACAAACATTTTTGCTGTAAAAATATCTAGAATTACAATTTTTACAAAACTTAAATTTCCAAATTTCTCACATTTTTAATTTTTGTCAATCAAAATTTTGTCGTCGAGATAAAAAAAATTGTAATTTACTACGTTTTCTTCTAACAATATTCTATTTTGAATAAATATCAAATAAAAAATTTGGTGTAAACACGTGTGCTGAAAATACATCTAGAATTCCAATTTCTGCAAAACTTCAATTTTCAAAGTTTTCATATTTTCAATTTTTTTAAAAAATATTGCTATTTAAAAAAATAGTGTCTTGAATATACAGCATAAATTCAACTGGAAATAAAGGAAAGTATAAATAATGGATTGTTATTGAAAATTTGGCTATAAAATCAAAATGTTGAAAATTTTTTTCTGAGAAAATATCTAAAAAAAAAAGTTTAATATTAAAAGAAATTATTTGTGAAGTTTTAAATATATCACCACGTTTGTCTTTAACAATAATTTAAAAATAAAAAAGGCCAAAATTTTATGTTATATTTATGCTGAAATTTTTGTTAAAGAAATATCAAGAATATTTTGTTTAGTTTTAAAGCATAAAAACATTAAAAGTACACATTTCATAAATTACAGCGTTTTCTTCTAACGTAACTCTAAATTGATAAAGATAAAAAAAATCCCAACTTTGTCCATCAATTTGCTGAAGAAATATTCAAAAATTTTTATTTAATTTATCTTAATCAAGGTTTATGTCAGAGACTTCGATAAATTCTTGTCGATTTTGCAAAATTATGAACTAAAAACTAAACGTCAAGTAAGAAAATTGCAACATTTTATTTATTACTAAGCACTATTTTATCTTATTTGAACACCAATCACGTTTATAAAATTATCTCACCAAGTTAAAATAATATTTCAATAAAAATAGAAATAATTGAAATATTATTTTAACTCCAACTAAATCCCTAACGATGATTTTATAGTAAGGTACATTGGAAATGATAAGCGTTTAATAATAAAAAAATATAAATCAAACAAAGTGGTATATTGTAGTCTTGAAACCCTCTAACAATTTATAATATGTTAGTTAAAATTTTACATTACATTTTAGTTAAAATTCTGTCTCCAAACTGAAAAACAAGCTAAAAGTAGTGATGTCGTATTATAGTAATTTATTACATATATGCTTTGTACGTGCGTGAATTTTATTTATTATTGATTTATTTTTTTTAAATTATTTTAGAAGTTTGTGACTGCATCATACTTTTTATTTATTTATTTATTAGTTTGTTATATTAAATATTGTTTTTTTTTTGAAACTATCATTCCATATGATCCAAAAAAGTAGCCTTACTATCAGCGGGAGGGATCTAGTTATCGATGCATGTTAGATTTTTATTTTAAACAAAATATATAAATTTTATATTTTTTAAATTGTATATTGTTATATATATAAGCTATAAGATTTGTATCGTCCTTTGAAATGTATATATATTTTTACATGAATTGCATGACACGTTTTTGCAATAGCAAATGTTTAGCAAACATGGTTTGACTTATTTTCAATAATTTTATGAACTTAATATGGATAGTTTTGAATTTCTTTGCTCTCTGGGTCCCAAATGCTTCCAAATTGATACAAAAAAATTCTCTGAAAATTTTAGCTCTTAATATTAACTTTAAGATAGTGCGCACTCCAACCAAAGTTTCTCATGGAAATAACATGGGTAAAATCACATTTGTTTATTAGAATTTTCATAACTTAGCGGCAAGTGAATCAAAATTTTCAGAATAATAATGTGTTTGCTCATTTTGATCACAAATAAAACAATTACATCAAAATTTTATATATTTTATAAAATCAGTATTTACTTAGCATGAAAAAGCAAAGAAACTTTGGTTGTAATGCGGACTATCTCAAAGTTAATATTAAGACTTAAAATTTTCAGATAATTTTTTTTAATCATTTTGGATGCGTTTGAGCCCCTGGGAGCAAGGAAATTCGTAACAATCCATATTGAGGACCACCCTAATATACATAAAAAATATTATGGTGTGAACGTGCACTATTTATTAATAATTTTAAATTCTACAAACGTTCCGAGTCGCAGTTTGTCCCTTCATCCGTGTAATAAATTTAACTTAAATCACTAAAATTTAGACCAGGAGGTGCGTGTTCTCTTATGCACTATTCAGTGGCGTCGGAAACAAATTTTTGATGGTGGGCTCGTTTTTTAGGCAGCCAGTGCGCCTTGCTCGTTTTTTAGACATTGAACAATATCATATAATATTATATTTTTATAATTATAATATTATATTTTTGAGATTGATGGGTGGGCTCAAGCCCACACAGCCCACACGGTTCCGACGCCACTGGCACTATTCATGCCTTAACAAAAAACCATGTGTCAGTACCATGACTTATTTTATCCGAAATTACATCTTTTTGACTATGGTATGTCAAGAATTATGTCCTATTGAATACCTATACCAAATAAAACCTCTTGAAAAAAATCAGTGGCCGGTTCTGCCGCATAGCAGACCTATGTTATGGCAAGGCCATGTTATGAAAAACTTTCCATACTAAATATTGACAAAAGCCATGCGATAGAAAACCTAACCTAGAAACCGCACAAATGTCAAAAAAAACTATTTTAGATAACAGGGTGTTTCTGACCCAGCTTCATAACATACGAGTGACGTTGCAGTTTATGTGTAAAACACTTGAATGCACAGCAAGTGCATGACATTTTGACAGTATTCAGTATGATTCGGTAGCGTAATGTATGTAACATGGCCTTGCCATAACATTTTTCTGTTATGCCTCAATTATCTGTGTTTATCATAGTCAAAAGGGCGCAATTTCGCTTGACTCTCGATACGCGGTAAGAAATAGTTTTTTTGCCATTTTTTACAATTTTATTGGTTTATTTTTTCAAATCATGTTTGTAGCAAAAGTCCCCGAAAAAGCATGCGCTTTATATTTTGTTTGTTTTTAGAGTTTGTATATGCAACCGAATATATTCACAGTATGTTTGACCGCACCAGTACCAGAATGAAGTCACTGTTTTGTCGCATGTCGCATGTTCTAAAATCGAAATTCAGGTATAGTAATTGTTGTAGTAAATTTTTTACTAAAAGTCTTTTTGATATTATATTATATGATATCACATATTTTATCTTATAGAAGTCATTGTTGCAAGATTTTCAATTTTTGCACGTTTTTTTGCCATCATTGTATGAGCGAGAATATGTGGATAAAACTACTTATTAATAACTAATATATTGAATAAAAAATGTGAATTGTTTGTTATAACCAGTGCTGGATTTACAGTAGGGACAGTCGGGGCTACTGCCCAGGGCGGCAAATTTTATATTTTGAAATTATTTGAAAATTATGAACTTTTATTTGTTAAATTTATTAAAACTAAATTTTATTTGAACGATTCGAAACCTATTGATAACGAGACGTGCTGATTAGTTATTGGCCAAAGCAGTTCCAACTGTTTCGAAAATACGGGCTAAAATGACAGAAATGATAATTCAGTTTTTGAGAAACGGAACGTATAATATCATTCAAAAAAATTTACATGTATAGAACGAAGAAAATGAAGAACTGTTTAAATTTGTGGGAGGCAGGTCTAGCGGTTTCGGTGATCCAAAAAAGAAAATTGAAAAAGAAACATTTGGCGGTCAAAAGTAATCATTAGTAAGGTGACCATACGTCCCGGTTTGGCCGGAACAGTCCCGGATTTTCAGCTTGTGCCCCGGTTTTTTCTGAAAGCAATATTTGTCCCGGCTTTAGATCTTTTGTCCCGGATTGTTCCGGATTTTCGAAAAGTATAGGCCTATATAGTATGTTCGCTCTTACTTGATAATAAAATTATTAACTACTCGCATTTTTATTACATTCTTAAATAATGTTTGTTATTTTAAAATCATATCAAATTTAGTATCTAGAAATGTAAATAAAATTTATATTATTAAAATATTTGATAATTTGATGTGCATATGGCTAATGATCATTTTTGACCGCCAAATGTTTCTCTTTCAAATTTTTTTATTGGTTTACCGAAACCGCTAGACCTGCCTCCCACAAATTTAATCAGTTCTCCATTTTGTCTATATATGTAAATTTCTTTTAATGATATTGGACGTTCCTTTTTCAAAAGATGAATTATTATTTTTGGCATTTTGGCCCGTATTTTCGAAACAGTTGGATCTGTCTTGGCCAACAACTAATCAGCACGTCTCGCTATCAATAGAAATCGAATTATTCAAATAAAATTTAATTTTAATAAGTTTAATAAATGAAACTTAATAATTTTTAAAAAATTTCAAAATATAAAAAAAAATTAATTCAATTTTTATCATTTTTCAAAAAATTTTAAAGCTTTTAATGAAAGGTAATTTTCAGTACGGAAAGTTTCAGTAACTTGCCGTAAGGCACAATGCCATGCGTCACTAATTTAAATTTTTTTCGGCGCTATGAGCTTGGAAGTGCACAAATTCATCATCTTAAGAGGGCTCGATATCTGAAGAACATATTTTTCTTAAACTTTCAACTCACTTACGAATCTTTATATTAGCCAAATTGCCAAACTTTGCATTGCATTTGTATAATGTTTTGTTAATTATATTTCTTGAAATTAAAAATGTTATTAAAAAAATAAGTTAATTATATGGTATAGAATTTTCTTCTCACTATCCAAATTTTGCCGCCCCCGAGAGTCGGGGTAGTAGCCCCGACTCCCCCTACTGTAAATCCAGCACTGTATATGCCTATCCTGATAAAGAAGTAAAATCTAGTAATAACATTTTTCAATTTTGTAAAATAAACACATAATTCAAAATCTTATGCGCAACTCAACCTGTGATTGACGAATATACTCGTCATTAGCTCGATTTGGACGATACAAAACTGTGCGCACAGTTCGTCACGATTAACTGGTGCTTTTGAAATTCAATGGCAATAAAACTGTAAAAATTGAAAACGTTATATCAAAAATATTATTAATATTTTTTTAACATTTGTTAACATAACAACGTGTGTGTTTTATTACCAGGCCGTGCCCGGGTCGCGGATGGTCTCGGAGCCCGGCGTGGGGCCGCTCTCTGTCGGGCTCGGAGTCGGTTGCGCCGCCTCCGAGCGTCCGGAGAACGCACTCGACGCTCTGCTAGACGAGCTGCAGACATTCGCGAGACCTCAGGAGGACGGAGGAGCCCTCGCCGACAATAACAGCAGCAGCGGCTCCAGCGGCGGCCTGGAGAACGCCCCAAATGGACGAATGGGCACTCTGCGCCGAATGCACTCATACGACGGCCAACAGCCCCAAGGTAAACCTCCAGTTCCTGAAAGAAACTCCGAGTTAGTGGCTCAAGTCACAGGAAGACGTGTGCCACCTCCTCCGCCTCCGAGGACTTCTTCACGATCACCTTTGGCGTCCCCCACGTCGCCTTTGCCTTTGCCGAGGACAGCGATACCGGGAAATAACCAATTGGCAGCCACCAATGCTGCCAGTAACAGTAGTAGTTGCGAGTCTGTAAATTCCCAAGATGGTACGATTAAGAACAGGAACCACCAGTTGGACCAAAGGCATCAGGAGCTTCTGCGCAAACAAAAAGCACTTCAAGAACAATACGCGCGTTTGCAAAAACTCCAACAAACCAACACAACAACCCCACTAACCACCCTTAACGATGCTTCTTTGCTAAAAAAAACTGGCAGTGAAGGCAATCTTCTTCTCAAAATGAATCTGAACATTGCACCTGCCTTCAGCGGTAGCTTGACTCAACTGGCACAGGCGCCGGGTAAAAATAACGAAACTGCCCAAGTCAACAATATATCGGATACAAATAAAGTTTACGAAACTGATATTCTGTGACCTTAAGAATTATTTATCCAAAGTGGCGGGACAAAAGTGATTTCGTATAATTTAAACAGTGCGGTAGTATAAATTAAATGGTCTAGATATCGAAGAACAGTTCTTAAAGACCTATTTATGAATATTAGTTTTAATCGATTTTTAAGATCTTCATACAGTATTGATAACAAGTGATTATTCGACAAATTTGACGCGATTTATAGTTTATTCTATATATAAAATGGGGAATTTGCACGGTTTTGTAATAAATTGAACGTTGATGTAGAGATTTTTTTTAACTTTAAATTTTGTAACAAATTGAAAAACATCAGTTCATGATGTTATTACTTAAGTGGCACAACTTTTTTATCGAATTATATATATATAACTCAGTCATTGCGTACTACTTTTAAAATTAATTAAGGGGCACAACTAGTGTAACCGCCTAAAAAAAGGTGATTTTTGGGAATGTATATTAAAAAAACTACTTTATCAATCATTTCAAAATTTTAGGAATATCTTTATACATGTTTTAAGAATACATAGTTAAATTCTTGAAGAAAAAAATTAAATATTTTTTTAGTTATCGTCGATCTCCAAAGGCGCGTATAACCTATCGAAACATGGAAAAATTGAAAATTCGATTTTTTGAAAATTTCGCACTAGTTGTGCCCCTTAACACGTTAATCGCCAAGATAATATCAGAAAAATTTTTAAGAACCATCGTAACTTTATAAGATAAAGTTAGTTAAAAATGTATCCAAGAAACTAGTGGTGTATGGCATCGTGCCTTAAGGCAAATTGCTAAAAACGTACCGCAATGAAATATTTAAATAATATTAAATCCTTTCAAATAGATTATTATAAATGCTGTAACATTTATTATTCCTATTTCATAGACGAAATGTAAGAACATATAAATTGGACGATGACGTTTATATAAGTTTATTTGAAAAGTAAATAAACAAAACAAAATAAAGGATCTTCACATATTTTTAAGAATTATATGAATTATATGATTTGCAAAGTTATAATTATTTATATCAAGTATATAAGTGAGCTTTAGAATTTTAGCTTAAATCCGAATTATTTTCGAAATTCAAAAATAATTATTTTTTGGAAATTTCTGCCCAAAACTAGGACTCCCCATCTATAGGAATCATTGAACTATTCAAATTCGTTGATCCAGGCGCCCGAAATCGTCGACGAAAAATTGTATCCGTACATACATACACACACACATTGATTTTTTCTAAGGTATGCCAAACTTTCTAGACAAACACTATTTATATGTCATTTATATATGACTGGCATAGCCAAAAAGAATCTCCTTATGAATGACATGGCGATTAACGTGTTAAATAAAACTGTGAAATGATTTATAATATAAAAATAATTTCTAAATTATTTCCCCATTTTATTTTATATTAACCAGTTAGCTGTGGCTAACAGTATATATATACAGTTTTGTGTCCTGAATCGAGCTCATGACGAGTATAGACGTCAATCACAAAGTAAGTTGCACTTGTAAGATATCAAATGAAAATTATGGGTTTATTTTACAAAATTTTAAAATGTTATTACTATATCTCTCTTTTTTGTTAACATAAAACGAATCAAATTCAATAAATAAGTAAAAAAGTAAGACCAGTTTTTGATTAAAATCAACTATTTTCAAAATAAACAATAAAAGATATTATTTAAATAACTAAATTTCAATTCTTATTTATTAAGTATTATTTACAAATTTCGGGAAGTTTATACAAGTTGTCTCAAGGCAAAATGCCACTTACAACTATTTACTTTATACACTAAACTCTAAACAACCTGACATTTTAGAATATTTTGTGTATTTTTCAAAAATTTCAATTTAAATAGCAAATGATCCCTATTTAATACGCATGACGTGTATACTTGTCAATACGCAAAATTCTGCCACTTCCCATGACGTGTATATTCGTCAAACACAGTTAACTGGTTAAACTGATATAGTAAAACATTGATTTTAAATATGATTATTTTTACCGAATCCAAGTAAAAATGTTGTGTGATACTTGTAAAAACCTTTTTACTACATATTTATTTTATTACACAAATTGGCCTAACAAAATACATTCTACGTATTTGAATACACCGAAAAAAAATTTGCATAATTTTATAAAAATCCTTTTGTACTTATATTTGAAATCCGTAGCTGAATTTTCTATTACTTTATTAAATGGTTTTAAAAATTTTCACTAATATTTCAAATATTAGATTTATGTACAGAATATAAAAAATAATAATAATAGAAATATCAGTTGTGCCAATGATGCTAAAAATAATACGAATAAATAGAAATGGATAAATTAGATCAATTTATACAAAAACTAAAAATATCTATAATAATGTAATATGTTGAGATGTTTTTTAACTGGTAATTGTATTAATTAATTTATTTTTGTGCACCATGCAACATAGTTATAATTTCTTTCTAATTTTATGAATTCATCAATTTTATAATTTATTTGCATACTCCTTATGAAGAATTTTATTCAAATTATTTTTTAAAGAAAGAATTTTAGTTTATATGTGCAATTCAATTGTTGGCCTCAAAAAAAATGTGTTCAATTTATTTTTATTTTAAAATTTGCTAATGTTCTCTTTTCTCTTTTTTTTAAATTTTTCTGATATAATTAAATTGTTTTAAATGTTTTTCATTTATGCAATTTTTGTTCATATCTTCTATATAAACCAATTTATACCAACAAATTTAATTTTATCTGCAAGTTAAAATTACCTAACATATAATACAAAATTTAATTTTGCAAGTGAAATTTTTGGTTCGAATTATTATTCAAAGTTCAAATATTAAAACGTGCATTTTTTTTAATTTATATCTTATTAATTAATTCATTTTTTTTATTATTTTATACAGATGATTTACCATTTGAATTTCAGATGCACTTCCTTACTGTATACAGTGTGTCCCAGAACTCAACGTCAAGCTGAAATGGGGAGATAAAAAAATTAGAAAAAAAAAATTTTTTTTCACGTTTGGAAATTATGATGTTTGGTGAAATCGTAATCGTTTTTCGGTTATTGTGGTTATTTTTTTTAATTAGTTCATTTAAACTTTTGAACCATAACCACGAATGAAATTTTTAGGACCACAATAAAAAATAATAACACATTTGTCCCAAGTTTTCAAGAATTATGACATTTTTTGACCCTTCATTTAAAAAAATGTTTTAAAATATGTTAGCAAGTTTTATAAAAAATTTACATATTTAATCAGGATTGTAAAATGGTAAAATACTTGATGATTTTATTCTTGAAAATTCTCGAGTAAAAAATAGAAACTTTCTAATACACTTTAGTACATTATTTTTAAAGGAGAGCTTCTCAAAGTCAAAAGATTTTAAACATTTTAAATAAAACATAATTCAACAAAAAGTCTTAATTCTTGAAAACTTGGGAAAACTGTGTTATTATTTTTTACTGTGGTCCTAGAAATGTTATTCACGGTTACGGTTCCAAATTTTAAATGAATAAAATTAATAAGTTAACTACAATAACCGAAAAACGGTCATAATTTTACCAAAGCTTTTTATGACCTTTAAAGTTAAACTTTAACTTAAAAGCTCATATTTTCCAAACAATATGAGATTTTTTTTCTAAACTTTTTCAGAAGAGTTAAGGTCAATACTGCTTTGGCTTGACGTTGAATTCTGGGACACCCTGTATATATATATATATATATATATATATATATTTTTTTGATTATCATTTACAACCACTAAGAATAATTACTAAAAAAAGTAGGCACATAATAAGTATAAACAAAAATATCATAAACATGTTAAATGTGCTATTACTAAGGGCAAAGCAATCTATATAAATGTAAAGATAACTTAAAAAATTTGTTAAATAAATATATTTAATTCATTGCTATCTTACATAATATTTATATTGTTAATATATAAATTCGAAAGTATATATCATTTAAAATTATAAATAATCGTAATACAAAAATTGTATTTATGTGAAGACTAGAATTATTTACTTTTAAGTTAGACAACTATACTGTTATATTTATACAAAATTAATAAATTCAATAGACCTATCATTGAATTGTAAATGTATTGAAAACGATATGTAATAAACCACTTTATGCTAAAATAAATTTTGAAAACTGTGTTATAATCAATTTTGTCAATATTAGAAGATTAGAAGAGTTCTAATTTTGTTACATTTTTAACCTCCCGAAGGTGAAGTTTATGTTTTCATCAAAAAATTGCATTCGCTAATTTTATGTTTTCTCGACGTTTCAAGCCATTCTGAATCGAATGAGACCAAATTTGGAAAAAGTATGTGTGCATGTGCGTGTGTGTGTGTGAACAGATTTTTTGCCGTAAATCGACGTTTTCTCGAAAACGGCTGGGCCGATTTCAAAAATTTAAAAGCCATTCGATGTATCTCGACGAGGACTATTGTTTGTCAGTTTTGTGCGACGATCGGCCAAGCCGTTTCTTTATAAATCGCAGAAAAGTGAAAAAATTTTCGTCTACGTTTTAGCCCGCAATTCTGAATCGATTTTGAAAATTCAAAAACCGTTCGAAAGATATTGGTTGGGAATCGTGCTGATTAGGTTTTGGTAGAGATCGGCCAGGCCGTTTTCTTGTAATAAAGTTAAAGTTTTTTTTTTACGGTAGATACCATAGTCTTCTAGATCATACTAAAATATTACAGTCCTACGACAACTCGTTTAGCTTTAACAATTCTTCAAAGTTTGCAAAAATTGGTATCATTTTTTTGGCATTTGTCAAAATTAGACCTTTCATCGACGTTTGCTCAAAAACGCCTGAACCGATTTCAGAAATTTAAAAGCTCGATGTATCTCAATGAGCACTATGGTTTGTCAGTTTAGTGAGGCGATCTGTCGAGCCGTTTCTTTGTAATTTGAAAAAGAGTGTTAAACTTTTCGCCCACATTTAAGCTTATTCTACCGAATTGATTTTAAAAAATCAGACACTGTTCGAAAGATATTAGTTGGGAATAATACTGATTAGTTTTAATTAATTAACTGTTGAAAAAAAAATTAATCCGATTTTTATGGAACTTTTTTTGGCGATATATATCATTGTCTTATAAATCTTAGTAAAATAACACGGCCTTACGACAAGTAGTTTAATTTTAAAAATTCATCAAAGTTTGAGAAAATGAGTAGTTTTTTTGACGTTTGTTTAAATTAAAATTACATGACTTACTTGGTATAACGATAGATTATTTGGTTTAGAACTTACTAAACCATACGTCCTTCGAAAACTGCTTCAATTATAAAAATTGATTTCTCAACATTTGCTTTTAGAAAATACTCCGAGTTAACGTGTTCGTTCGTTTTCAATTATGTGTAATAAATCCTTTTGGAATACTTCTAATCACTCATAAATTAATTTGTTTATTGTTGATTAAGTCGATTATTTACACATATCGTAAAGTTCATGTAACTTGCCTCAAGGCTAAATACCAATACCAACTAGTTTGGGTATCGTATCAAGACTTTTAATTTTTAAAGCTCACTCAAAAAAAATCTGAAAATTTTGAAATCAATATGTATTGATCAATAATTTTTTTGCTCGAATCTTTAATTCTAGTACGGAAAGTTCCAGAAATTTCCCTTGAGACACAATGCCATTCACCACTAATTTTCGAATCATATTAATTTGAATGTAACGGTTTTTTTATCGTCCATTTTCTAACCTACAATCATTCCCAACTTCACGTCGTACAGCTCTCTTTATTTTCTATGAATATGTTTACGAAATCGTCAAACCGAATTTCTGATTTTCATGTCATATTAGTGTGCTAATTTTATATTTAAACTGAAACAAAAGCTTTTTAAAACAAACATGTGAATAATCAGATTTGAATCCTACACTTTTTTTCATATTAGTTCTCTCACCGAATAAAGTTAGGTTATGATAAAATTTTACTCTTGGAAGGAGTAAAAACATTGATTTATTGTTTCACTTGAAACTAGTTGGAAACAGGTATTATTATGGGTGATAATATTGAAGATATTGCAGTTAATGATACTGATTTAAATGCCAATAATGATTTGGTGACTTCTGGGGAAGTCGAAACGTCAAACGTTGAAGACTCCGTAAACTCACAGGCAAGTATAAACCTTAGTTTTGACCTATTTCAATCAACATAATCAAATTTTCATTACATTTTTTCATTCTAGAATGATCCAGTTAATGATGATATGTGTGACATATTAGATTCTACTACGAATAATGACACAGATGTTTTGGAGCTATCCGACTCTCAAAAGGACTTAGATGCAGGTATATAGGTTTATCTACTGTAATTACTTTGTGCACGAAACTTTGCCGGGCACAAACAGACACAGGGCTAACATTTTAATATGTTGCTCCATGATTTGATGTTATCGATACCCCCAGAGCTCAGTAACCTCATTATTTTATGCTTACTATTAATTTGGCCAATAAGAATAGCCAAGTTTTATTTACAAAATTGCAGGAAACTTATTCATGCAGTTTTTGCATAAACATTCCAAAAGAATCTGACAATTTTTTATATATAATCAATTAACACTATTCCTACTGATATTTCATGTTTACTATTCTTCAATGACCGATCATGCAAAATCTATATTTTTTAGTATTGAATGAAGAGTTAATGCTAGTTTAAAAGTTTATAAATACAAATACAAAATATTTGTTTTATTTTAGAATGCAAAATATACATTTTATTCTGTTTTATCCAATTTTTTACGATTTTTTTTCTTAGAGTGTATTTTCTGCACACGCAATTTTTACTTTTTTGGCTCATTTTGTTGGCCCTATCATCTTTCTGAAACATTATCTGGAACATTTTCTTTTAGGGAATCTGTTTTGTATTTGTACTTGGTTGATTTTTTTCTGAATTCTTGTTGGACCTATACGAGAAGTTAATTGGAATAGAAAGTACCTGCCTTGTACATCGTCTTCCCGTAATTTCTTTATGTGAAAATAATGAATTTATCCTGAATAAATACAAAATAATGTAAATCCTTGATAAATTCTCTCTAAAATTCATATTTTACCGAATGATTTCTGAATACTTTATGAATGACATTTACACCAAACACGACGATAATTCCAATTGAATTGACTCCCGTATTAGTGTAATTTGTTCAACATATGTGTATGTAAGTGAAAATTAGAATTTTCTTTCTTAGCTTCCAAAATTGTAAATATTATTTGAATCATTGATTTTTAGTTCTCCCAGTATTTGTAGCTTTAATATTGCTTAATTAATTGTACCTACCATCAGTTTTTTTTTTTTACTAAAAGTTTAGCTATAAGTAGGATGGTAAAAACGTTTGAATTTTTTACATCGTACTAGGGATTTTGATAATACGGTTTCATTGGTTATAAATCTTCAAAGCATTTCTCAGTTTTCTATGTATACTGGATGGTTATTAAAATTTTACACCCCATTTGTGCGATTTGTTGGGCTTAATTATATTTACATTGTATATTGACCAGTTACTAAAATTTTGTACTACGTTTTCTTGAATATTATTGAACATGTGTTGAATAATTTTACACCTTACCTTTATTGATAATATATGTTTGTTGATAGTAATACGTGATCTTTTACAACAATTTTGATTGCTGTCAATGTAGTTAAACCAACCTTTGGATTCAAAACAAAACCTATCAATTTGTTGTTTGGATTTCTTAGTAAAAATCTGTCTACACATAGACATTAAGCAAAAATAAGAAAACCCACTTTTTATACCGTAGAAGTGCAATATTTATACTCTTTGCCTCATATGCGCAGCGTGCATACAGGATTGGAAAAAATGCATATAAATTTGCAGAAGGCAGTTTTTACCACTCTAAATTCTTCTGAATTTACATTTTCTTGCAAGTTTGATCATATTCTTAACAATTACTACAAAAAATGCCGTACGAACATCGTCTTTCGTACTACCGGTCAAATGACCGGTCGCGGTAGGTAAGACAGCATACAATTTTTTTTCCAAAAATAAAAATTGAAAAAACAAATTAACATTGAAAAATGTTTTATACTCACATATTAGGAAAAGTCATAAAGTTTGATGACGATTCAATTACGTTTGATATGAAAAATACTAATCGAAAAATCAAAAACGGTCATTTGACCGGTTCCGGTAGGAATAGTGTTAAATTACTTACTTCAGAAAAAGTAGGTTATATTTATATTCTTATATTATACTTATAATGTAAAAACACTAAGTCTGAGTCTCTTTGTACATACTTAAAATCTGTTTCTGTCATGGTTAATGTACTGATTTTAATTGTTATAATTTTTTGTGTAGAAAAGTCTAATGACAGTGATGACTGTGATGAGTCTAGGACTGAACGAGGGAAATTTGTATCGGAACGTGTGACAGAATCAAATAGTAAGATAATTCTTTTTTAGTTCATTTCTTATTGGTGCATATTGTAATTTGATGTTTTTTTCTTTTACTTAACACAAAAGTATGTGCAAACTATGGTACTAAATTTTGTCAGTTTTTTTGAGCAAATTATCTAAATTGAAACCCAGTTGTTAGAAAAGGTGGGTTATCACGGTATGAATAATATATTAAATTAATTGTAAGGGGCATTTTGCCTCAAGGAAAGTTGCATGAACTTTCTGACATGTTTAAATAGTTTACTTAATTAATAAAAAATCAATAGATTAATTTATGAGTGTGGTATAAGTATACTAAGTTGCTGTAGAGCAAGGTTTTTCAATTTTTAACCATTTTTTATATTACACATTATTGAAAAAATCAGTTTCCAAATTTGGTCTCATTCGATTCAGATTGACTTGAAACGTTGGAAAAACATAAAATTAGCAAATAGGATTTTGAGTACATAAAAATTGTAACTTGTTTTCTGGTAAAAATAATATTCAACTAGTGGTGCATGGCATCGAGCCTTAAGGCAAATTGCTGGAACTTTTCAAACCAGAATTAAATATTCGAGGAAAAAAAATTAATAATCAATGAATATTGATCAATGATTAATAACAATTGTTTTAAATATTTTCAAAGTGATAATTATAATTACTATATATGTATTCGTTTATATATTATATAGTACAAGAAATGCCGAATGAATTCATCTGAGGATATATTTTTTATGATTAGAATAACTCATATGAAATATATACATTTTCAAATTGAATTGTAGTAATAAAATTTATATTTAAAATATAAAACATTGTATATTTTTGAAAATTTGGAAAAAAAAATTCTGATTATTTGAAATTTGTTTGAACTGTATAAGTAAACTTTAAAAATTAAAAATCTTGATACGGAACCCCAAAATTTGAACAAAATTAGTACTCATGTTTAAAATCTGTATAAAATATATGATAATTTGATATACATATGTCTAATGATCATTTTAGACCGCCAAATATAATTTTTTTTTTACATTTTTTTCTGTATCTCCGAAACCGCTGGACCCGCCTTCCCAAAAATTTAATCAGTTCTTCATTTTGTCAATACAAGTAAAATGTTTGTTGAATCATTCAAATCGGGCGCTCCGTTACCTTAAAAACTTAATTACTATTTTTGGCACTTTTTGCTCCGTATCTTCGAAACGGCTGGACCTGTCTTCGCCAAAAATTAATCAGCATGTCTCCCCATCAATAGGAATCGAATGTCAAATCGATTGATCTATGCGCCCGAAATCGTGGACGAAAAATTGTATCCAAACATACATACACACATACATCAATTTTTTCTAATTGTAAGTATGCCAAAATGTCCAGAAATCTCTAAAACCTGAAAATCAGTTTTCTAGAATGTCGGTTTTTGTAAAAAAAATCTTATATGCTACCTGTTTTATTTCTGCTACGACGTTTTTTTTTCTTTAAATAATGTATTTTTTAAATTCCCGTAGGGCAAGTTATAGTAATCGCAAAAAAATCGAAAATGAAAATTTTTATATATCTTTACGTTTCAGAGGTTTCTGAACATTTTGGCATACCTTAGAAAAAATGAATGTATGTGTGTGTGTGTGTGTGTGTGCGTGTATGTATGTGTGTGCGGATACAAATTTTCGTCGACGATTTCGGGAACACGGATCAACCGATTTGAATAATTCAAAAAACATTCGATTCGTATTGATAAGGAGACGTGCTGATTAGTTTTTGGCGAAGGCAGGTCCAGCCATTTCGAAGATACGGGGCAAAAAGTGCCAAAAACCGTGACTCACTTTTTAAGAGAACCGAGCGTCCGATGTGAATAATTCAAAAAACATTTCATTTGTATTGACAAGATGAAGAATTGATCAAATTTTCATGAAGGCAGGTCTAGCGGTTTCGGAGATCTAATGCAAAAAGTAAAAAAAATGCCATTTGGCGGTTAAAAATGATTATTAGATATATGCACATCAAATTATCAGATATTTTATAGAGATTTTAACAATAAGTATATTTTTTTTTACATTTCTATGGGTTCCGTACCAATGCTTATGCGTTAGAGGGCGGCGCGGCACTTGCGCGCTTTGACATTTCGTCTCTATGCAGTTCAAGCAGTACGATTGCTTTGAAAAAAAGTTCAGAATTTCCAAAATATGTCAAAATGAAGAAAACATTTTTCTTTTCAAAAAAATTTCGTTTTCAAAAAAAAAATTTTTTTTTTCAAAAAAAAAGTAATTTTTTGACAAATTTATAGTTTCTCAAAAATCTCATTTTTTCGAAATAAAATTTTTCAAAAATGTTAATCGTTTTTAAAAAAATAATAATTTTTGCTACGGGAAGTTCTAGCAATTTGCCTTAAGGCACGATGCCTTAATTGCCTTAAGACAGAATTCCACTTACAGCTAGTTTAATTTCTTTTCTTTAGATGGGAGTGATGTGGTACCCGCCAAGAACGTGGAACGTGTTCACGGAGCAAGAAAAAAAATAAACCCGCCGCCCCAGAGAAGAAATAACTTCTACAATAATCACAAGATGATGCACAATGATATGCGCCCTCGTTTCAATCAGCACAATAGATTTAGAAATCCCCTAGAAGGCCCCAGACTGAGAGCCAATCACGGTTTCATGCAGCCAAACTTCAATCCTAATGTACAGTTTCAACAAATGCAGCAAATGAATGCTGGCGTTCCAATTTTTGCCAATACCAGCAATTTTCCTAACATACCAACCATTCCGCAGTATCCTGTGCAACAGCAGTTCATAATAAATCCCGGTACTCCTTTTCAAAATCCTTATATAATAAATCAAATCCAATTACCGCAACAAGTCGGGAACGTGCAACCCATGATTCCAAATCAACCGAATTGTGGTTTTGCGCAAATTCCGATGCAAATAAACAATATGCCGATGCCACAAGGTTTTGCCTTTCAACAACCTGCTATGAGTGCACCGATACCAGCTGGTAATTCATCTAATTTCAATTTAGCCCCTCCAACCAACAGTACTAGTACCAATAATAACCCTGAATCAAGGAAAGTGCTTATTAATCCCCATTTCAAGGGGAGGATTAATGTGCAGGAGGGTATTAATAGGACAATGTTGGATGATATTGTGTTGTTGCGTCAGCAGGAAGAATTCATTAATCAAAATCGTAAGAATTTGCAGAAGCGTATGCACTCTTCACCTCGGTATTCTGAATCTCCGGAACCGGATTACAGGCCTTCACTTAAATCGAGGCATATGCAATCCAGGTATCGATACAAGAAGAATCAGGATCATCGTGATGATAATAGTAAGGCGGAAACGCAAAAGGTAATTTTTTAATTATTTTTAACTATTTTTAACATCCCGTACCAGTAATTGCAAAAGATTGAAAATGTAAGTTTTTGCAAATCTTTACATTTTAAAGGTTTAAGAGGGTTGTTTGGTTTTTATTTTTATTTTCATATTTGCGATTTTTTGATATTATGAAAGCCAAAAACCTTAGAATTATTTAAAAAAAAATCATCTCAATATCTATTTTTTTGACGAAGTTATAGATATATATATCTCTATATGTATGATCCTCTGAAACCTGAATCCTCTGAAAAGTTTTTTCATCCCTCCGCGAGCTATTGTATGCCAGCTGCTCTCTTTTTCATTATGATACCTCATGCTCGAGACCTTTTTAATGTGTCAGCATTCTTTGAACACCATGGTGTATTTAGTACATTAAATTAAGTGGTGTATTTAGTACATTATATTAAAAACTTTAAATACGTTTTTCTCAAATTGACTTTTTTCAATGCGGTGCCACAAGTTAAAAAAAACTACGCAAAAAATTTTCGCATAGCTTCTCGCCCCACAAAAAAAGGTCTTTTTTTAACACTTTTTTTTTTAAATAGCTGCCATTTTTTTCCTTCTTGCTTTTTTTTTCATTTTGGTAGGGGGACTGGATTCAAACTTCTTCTTCGACGTAGTTTCTTTTTTTTTATTTTGGCGCCCCTTGGTTAAAAAATGACAGCGAAAAAAAATTTTTTTTGTTATATTCTATAATTTTGTAATTTTTGTTAAAAAAAAAACGCATGTCTCTATGATAAATACATTTCGAGAAAAACAAACAAATACCTTGCATTTTTTGTAAAAACATGTAAAAACCCCCTTAAAAAACATGTATGAATGTGTGTGTGTGCAAATGTATGTATGTATGTGCGGATACAAATTTTTGTTGACGATTACGAGAGCATGGAATGATTTCTATTGATGGAGAGACGTGCTGATTAGTTTTTGGTAAAGGCAGGTCCAGCCGTTCTGAAGATACCGTGCAAAAAGTGCCAAAAATAGCAAGAGAATCCATATTGAATGATTCAAAAAGTATTTTAGTTGTGTTGCAAAATTGACTTTTTTTTGCAAATGCAGGCCCAGCGATTTTGAAGATTCAAAAACATTTTTACAAATTTCAAAAAAAATATTTTTTCAACATTTTCTAACAAAACTATTTTTTTTTTCTCAAGATATTCAAACAATTTGTGTGTGTTTGTATGTGTGGATACAATTTTTTGCCCATGTTTTTGGGAGCACGGATCAACCGATTTGAATTATTCAAAACGCGTTCAATTTTTATTGATAAGGAAACGTGCTGATTATATTTTAGCAAAGGTTGGTGCAGCCGTTTCGGAGATATGGTAGAAAGAGTATAGAAAATAGAATTTGATTTTTGAAAAAACGGAACATCCGATTTGAATGATTCAAAAAACATTCGATTGTTATTAATGGGGAGAAGTCCTGATTAGTTTTTGGCAGCGGCAGTTACAGCCGTTTCAAAGATACGGTGCAAACAGTGCCAGAAATGGTATTTCAAATTTTGAAAGAACGGAACATCCGATTTGAATGATTTAAAAAGTATTTTATTTGTATTGACGGAATGAAAAATTTACTTTTATTTTGCAAAGGTCTTTTGTTTTGCAAAGGTTTCGGAGATTCAAATAAAAAAGTTAGAGAAATGCCATTTGGTGGTGTAGAATGTCTTATGGAAAATTGCTGGAACTTTCCGTACCGTAATTTTAAATTTTTAAAAGCCGTTCTCTTAAAAACTGAGTTACCGTTTTCGGCACTTTTTGCCCCGTATCTTTGGAACAACTAGACCTGCTTTCGCCAAAAACTAATCAGCACGTCTCCTTATCAATACGAATCGAATGTTTTTTGAATTATTCAAATCGGTTGATCTGTATTCCCGAAATCGTCGACGAAAATTTGTATCCGAACATACATACATACACGCACACACATACACACACACACATCCATTTTTCCTAAGGTATGCCAAAATGTTCAGAAGGTTTTGAAACGTAAAGATCTATAAAAATTTTCATTTTCGATTTTTTGCGATTACTATAACTTGTCCTGCGAGAAGTTAATAAATATACTTCAAATATTTTTCTTGTTGAATTTCGTTTGAAAACTTAATAAACCTTAAATACAGATTTATAGAAAATTTTATAACATATTTAATGATATATAATACATTTGTTATATTTTAACTATTTATAATAAATCTAACGTGGTTTTAAAACAATGCGCCAAAATTTTACTCCAAATAGGTTTTATAAATAAATTTGTTCAAAATAAGTATATTTCAGATATATTTTTTTGATGAATTTTGTTCGAAAAGTTAACAAACGTTATATACAGATAAGGTTAAATGAAAACGGCGTGTTAAATTAGCCTTTCACACAGGGCCGGATTTCGAAATTTGGCATTGACAAATCTTTGAAATTTTACTTAAATTGTTTTTATATATTATTTCCGTTCCAAAAATTGATATTAAATTTTTTTTTGAAAACTTAAAAAAAATTAATTTTTGAAAATTTTGATTTTTTTTTTTTATTTTGAAATATTTTTGAAATTTTGAACATTTATTAATGGAGACAAAATATAGATGGGTGTAAGCGTCGCGTCGCAGCCTAACAAAACCCATAAAAATGTAAACAAAATTCATACTTTATTATTAAAATATCTATAAAATACCCTTTTTTCATTTTTCAGAAAAGTTTAAAGCTCGTTATAAAATGTAATTTTCAGTATGAGAAGTTCCAGTAATTTGCCTTAAGTAACAACGCCACTAGTCACTAGTTTAATTTTTTTGGCGCTATAAGCTTGGAAGTGAACTTTGTCGTCTTATAGGGGCTCGAGATCTGAAGAACATATTTTTCTTAAACTTCCAGCTCATTTACGAAACTTCATTTTAGCAAAATTGCCAAATTTGATAATAACTTATTAACTATTATTTAATAATTTACGTTTGGAGAGGTAGAAAAAGCAAAATAATAAATTATAATAATCGGTTATTTGGACCCAAATTTTGCATTGCAATTGTATTATGTTTTGTTAATTATATTTCTTGAAATAAAAAATGTTATTAAAAAAATAGTTAATAGTTATATATAAATAGTAAATAGTTAAATATTAGGTTGTCAAATATCTTCCTTCCGCCTTTTTGTATTATAAACCAAGAGCAAAAAAGCGGAAGGGAGATATTTGACAACCTAATATAGTCCAAATTTTGCCGCCCCCGATAATCTGCCGCCCTGGGCAGTAGCCCCGACTGCCCCTACTGTAAATCCAGCACTGCTCTCACATTCATAATTTTGGACTTGTATTTTCCGAAATTTTACGAAAATTAACAAAAATTATAAAAATGAACTTTTTGACTGCCTGGGATACCTAAGTGCTAGTTATTTCTAAACAATTATGAAGAAAATTGAGCAAGCATAATAGAAAGTTACCTTCCCGGTTTTGACTTGAATAAATATGGTCACCTTACCTCTAGTCAATTACTAATAAAGTACTAAATTTATTTAATTTTCCTTTAGAAAAGTGCTCCAGTTGAAGAAATTGTTGAAGACAATGAAACAAAAGAGTATCGAAAACGGGTCGAGGAACAGCGTAAAAAAAGGGAAATGTTTCTGAAGCAAAAAGAGGAGCGAAGAAGAAAACGTATGCAAAAGCGTGAATCGATGGAAGTCGATAGTACGGTAAAAGAACCTTTAGAAAACCCAGAAACCCCTGAACTGCATTTGGACGAAAGTAAATTTAAAGACGACAGTATTCACAATCGCCTGAACAAGCCCGTGCATCTTACTGGAGTCCTAAACCTTAAAACAGGTTTGATTAAACCAAAGTCCAAGGATGCTGATACTCCCAAAACCCCTGAAGCACAAACTAGTACAACACCTACCAAAGTACAAACCGTAGTAGATTCTAAGAAAGATAATGTTAATAGTACAAGTCCGACGAAAGTTAATAATGTAACTAACATAGATTCTATTACCAATGATATATCAGTACCAAAGCAGGAAGTTTCAAGTCCCGATGTAACAGAATCTGTATTAGATAAACCGATGGCACCTAAGGCTGGTTTCTTAGGAAGGCGGTTAGTCATTGCTTCCAATACATCGAAGCACAACATTGTTGTCCAGGCAGAAAATCGTGAGCCGGCTGAAGAGAAACCTGCAGTTAGTACCGGATCTGGTATTTTTAGCAAAGTTGTCGTCAATCAAGAGTTGAGTGATGATGATGAAGATCTCAGTTTCCTTGAAGAATCGTTTTGAAGACGTTTATTCCAAATAGTGAGTGATAATTGTACTATACATTTGACTTATGAATTTTTTATACAGAAGTATCAGCTTAAAAAAACTTTAATGGATTATGAACTAATATGGAGTTTATGAAAGTTTATACTTTTGTTCTATTATTATGATTAAATTAATTGCAATAATCAAACTAAAATGTATTATTAAGTTTATAACGAATAAGTTATATACGGTTTTTGCGAAATTATCCATTTTGCTGATTTTTTTCTCGACGTTTCAAGTCATTCTGAATCGAATGCGATCAAATTTGAAAAATATGTGTGTGTGCGTATGTGCGGATACGCACATATTCATCGGCGATTTCGAGTACACGGATCAACCGATTTGAATGATTCAATTCGTATTGATAAGGACTTGCTGATCAGTTTTTTTCAAAGGCAGGTCTAGCGGTTTTGGAGATTCAATAAAAAAATGTAAATTTGGCGGTTAAAAATGATCATTACTAGACATATGCACATCAAATTATCAGATATTTTATAAGGATTTTCATATGTAAAAAATTTGTGTTTATTTTTTTGAGTTTCGTGCCCATATTCATCTGTTAGGCTACGGTATTGCGTACGCGGCGCTTAAGCGCTTCGGTATTGCGTCTTCAAAGTTCAAAATTCTCAAAAAAATATCAAAATATGAAATAAAAAGAACTTTTCAAAAAAGTTATTTTTTTTAATTTTCCAAAAAAGATTAATTCACGGTTCGGAAAGTTCCAGTAATTTGCCTTAGGGTGTATTGTAATCGCAAAAAAATCGAACAAGATTTTTCTTTGCATATCTCACGTTTCGAAAATTATGTATATTTTATAAAAAATTGGACGTGTTTGTATTATGTGCGGATACAATTTTTCGTTGATGATTCAAAAAAATCATTTTATTGTGTTGGCGGTGTGAAGAAATCGTTAGATTCGGCGGTTTCAAAATTTTGAAAAAAAAAATCAAAAGTTTCAAAAAATAATCCAAAAGTTTTTCCATTTTTTCAAAATTTTCAGAGTTTCAAAATTTTCTAATTTTAGAAAAAAACATTTTTTAATTATTATAGCCGAGAAAGAATATCGGATTTTATTAATATTTTTAAGAATATGCAATTTTTTTTTTGAAAATTTCAAAATTTGATAAATTCTAAAGTTAATCGGCGATTTCAAAATATTGAAAAAAAAATCAAAAGTTTCAAGAAATTCGAATTTTCGATATTTTTCAGAATTTTCAAAGAGTTTCAAAATATCTTAATGTAAAATAAAACATTTTTCAATTAATATCGAAAAAGATTAGTGCGTTTTATTGAAATTTTTTCTGAAAATTTCAAAATTTGATAAAATCTAAAGTTAATTTAATCGGCGGTTTCAAAATTTTGAAAAAAATAAAAGTTTCAAGAAAAACAAATTTTCGATTATTTTTTCAGAATTTTCAAAGTTTCAAAATTTTCTAATTTAAAAAAAAAACATTTTTTAATTATTATCAAATAAGAATATCGGGTTTTATTAAAATTTTCAATAATATTCATAATTTGATTAATTCCAAAGCTATTGAATAATCTTAACTTTGCAATTCAGTTTAAAAATGTGTATATAATAAAAATAAGAAATATGAGATAAGGTCCTCGGAAGACTTCCTAGTAAGGATGCAATCTGTTTAGATTTTTTTTTAAGATGTTTTCTTTTCTTGTAAATATTGTTAGGAGGAAGCTTTATGGTTCCAGATTTGGAAACCAGTAAAGCCAATTTAAATTCAAATAAGCATTTTTAATAAATATTTTAAAGCATTTTATAATTTATATGAAAGCATTGTTTAATTTATAAGCATTTATAATAATTATTTGAAAGCATTTAAAACAATTGTTATTAATCATTGACCAAATAGTATTGATTGTTGATTATTTTTATTCCTTGAAGGTTCTGTAATTCGCTTTGAGGCACAATGCCATACACCACTAGTTAATATTTAATATATCAAATGTTATAAGAATAAAGAAACGTTTTTTTTAATTATTTATTTATTTTTCTGCATCAAGTTGAAAAAGATTGAGGGAGATTTTAATTTTTTATAATACATTTTACAATATATTCTAATGAGCTTATTTATACATTGTATCTGTACTGACTAAAACGCCAGTAAATAAAAAATACAAATTAAATCAACTATATTAACAATTAACACCATTTGAGGACTTGCTCTTGCAAAGGTACTTAATTTCCAAATTTGCACCTATAATATCACAGGCATGAGATGTTTTCGAAACATGATAAGGTTTAAACACAATCTTATATACACTTTTCATTCTTTTCAATTCATCTGAGATACACTTCCGCATCTCAACAGGTAAATCTATTAAACAACCGGACAAATCCTTTTTCGGCAAATTCAACTGTTCTGCCATTTCTGCATAATGCTCATTCAATTGCAAATACAGATCTTGAGATGTTTTAGTCAAAACATTTTCAGAATCATGGTGCGGCACTTGGTTATTCCACAATACCACTTCACCTAGTGCTTCGACTGTGCTATTTAATGGCAAGTTTGTACCAAGAAGGCCTGTTATTAATCTAATTCTAAAATAGCCATCGGGGAGTTGAATATCTTGAGGCAAGGCGGGGATGCGTAAACTTTCCAAGTAATACATTTTATCGTTTTCGTCGTATATTAATTTTCCTATTATACTGCATTTGCCGTAATGGGCTTCTAAAGGATGCTTTGTGGCCAGTAGGTCTTCTACAAGCAGGGGTTCGAAATATTCTCTTGGGGATTTCGGTTGTAGGGGAATGTCTTCGAATCTTGACATTGTTAAATCATAACTGAAAAATTAAGTGAATAAATTATAAGTTTTAAACTATAGCCAATAAGTTGTAAAGGACTTATTACCTATAATTTTAACCCTCCGTCGGTCGGCGTGGTCTGGCCAGACTTTTTTTCGACTTCAATTAAAAAAAAAAAATCTAGTAATCCTATCTTTTCCTAAAATTTCATTAGCTGACGATCAATGAAAAAATCAGGACGAAAAAATGTACAGAAGGATAATTATAAGGATATTAAATTTTTTATACTTCGAACGGTCGGAAAGGTCTGTCTAGACCACCCCGACATTTTGTATGAAATATACGCTTTTTGATATATGTAAATCAGTATTTTGTCTTTTTTCATGGTATTTTCTATTCAAACTGCGTTGTATATATTCTTTGCTATGTGTTGTAACATGAATGTTAGTATTTTCACGACGAAAGTTTCTTGAAAACCTACCAAACTTATTGGTAATCGCAAACACTGAAAATCGGATGAGTAATGTACACATTATCAATAATTTTTCTACCCGTACTGCGTTCGAATTTTTAATTGGAAAACCTGTAGTGAAATTATATTTTCATTTTGAGTTTTACAGCTCATTTCAAAGGCGACGCACCTCATTTCGTTTTCATTTGAATTTCACATTCATTTCAAAGGCGCCGAAAAAGAATAAATATTGTTTTTCATTGATATAAAACAGAAAAATTAACAAAAAAAGCAACGATTTTTTTATATTTCTTGATTTTTGTAATATAATATATAATGTAATATTTTTATTATAAGCAAGTACAACACATGCAAAAGACGGTAAGAAAAAGAAAAAATCAAAACTATAAATATTTACTACTAATAATCGTTAATATATAAGACACCAAAAACTCATTTATCCCATATAAATGCATGTAAAATGAATGGTGGTCCAGCCAGACCTTTCCGACCGTTCGAAGGTGAAAAAATATCCGACCAACGGAGGGTTAAGTAAGAGAAATGTTTTGAAATCTTTATTTGTTTAATTGCTCATTAATTAATTCAGATAAATCATAACTGAAAAATTCAGTAAATAAATCACAAGTTTAAAATAATAGATAAGATGTAAAAGATTGTTTTGTAAAGAATTTTGAAATATTGTCTAAAAAGTAAAGGAAAAAGATATTTGTGTCACACAACATGTTGTCGATTCGTTTTATTTACTGCTTATAAATCGTTTGAAATTATCCTTCATTATTCGGTTAAAAAAGTCTATATTGTGTTTTAAATTATTAATGTGGTCTGCAAGCACAGTTTTAAATTGTCTTGAATTTTTAGAATTATTTTTCTGTTGTTGCAATCGTTTAATCAACTTCTGGCTCGTCTCTCCTATGTAAATTAAATTACAATCAAGACAATTCATTTGATATACAATATTTCTAAGTCGTTCGATGTTGTCAAAGCTTACAATTTGATTTTCCTGATCCTGAATGTAAAGTATTACAAAGTTGCCTATTTTTATAAATAATGAAGAATGAATTGATATTCAGATTTATTACTCTAAACAAGAAATCAAGCACAACAATAGTTTGTGTAGCTGTGTATTATTTATATACCGATATACTTCATAATGGACATCTATGCAGTTTATTCATTGCTAGTGTTAATGCAATTATTCAAGATTGTTATATTACGAATGAATATCATAGAATTTATTAATCAGCAATTACTCTATTTCTCTAATAAAGGTTCAAGTCCTATATGCTAATTACAATGACAAAGAGAATAAAATTTTTGTAATTAAGTTCATGTTGCTGTTCCAAAATGTTTTGTCTGTAACTATAGTAACAATTTTCATTTTGAGTGGGTTATAAGAGAAATATTTGAGGTACCAGTCAGAGTTAATTGGTTTTTGGTACCGATTTGTTATTAATTTATTATCTGCAGTATGTATAAGTTTGATTTCTAAGAAACTAATTGAGTTCATTGTCTCTAAACCAACTGTAAATTTGTCGATTATGTTTTTAACTTATATTGCACACTATCTTTTTGTGATTTTTTAAGTTAGTATTTTGTGAAATTACAAGTGTAATGTTTATAATACATAGTGTAGTGCAATGCAATATCTTCATACCGTGAATTATCAAATTTTCTGCTCCTAATTCTAAGATAAACTAATTATGAGTACTTTTTACACCTATAATTTTTTAATCTCAATTGTTTTAGTTTTTAAATTTTATTTTTAGTTATCACTGAATGAAATCGAGTATAGGCAATATCTGCAAAAGTATTAATTAGATCACATATATGGTAAATGAAATACTATACCAGATTGTTATGGATATTTTCGAAAATTATAATTTTAAATAATTTTTGACACATAACCAAAAAAATTAATTTAAATTTTTGACAAATGAATTAGCAGCTGTCACTTTTGAGTTTTTCATTTCCTCACGTTGTCCGAGCTGATTTTTAAATTGCAAGTGTCTCATCCAAAACATCAGTCGACCATCATCTATGGTGCGGCCTCTCGCTCAGCCTCGCTTCTAACTTTTAACCAGATGATTTTACATCAGATTATTCTGATGTAGAATCAGGCGATAATTCTGATAGAGGGTAAACAAAACAATCTAATACAAAACCACAACAGTGTACTAATAGAATGAAAGGGCCAAGTAATTTTAATTCTAAATACCATTTGCAAAGAAAATAAGGAAGTTCACAGCGAAGGACATAATTCTTGCTTTGAAACAGTACAAAAAGTCTGCAAAGGCATCAAATGCATAAATGTTTATTCTGTTTATTGAAAACACCTGGCTTTATAGTTTTTCATCTTATATGGAAGTTTTAGTGTTAATGTTTTCATCATGATCATAAAATGGGTAAATGTGATGTTTAAAAAACACTTATACACAGAAACTATTCAAAGACTTCGTCAAATGTAACTTTATTATAATGATTGATTAGATAGCAAAATAACTATTAAATAGAGAGATAATAAAGAAGAATGTCACGTAAATGAATTTTAATCCTAGGAATTTAGTTTTATCTCAATTTGGTTGTCAATATATATATTTTTAATTTTTTGTAGGGTAAGTTATTGTCATAGATAAAAGAAGAGACCAGGGCTTAATTTACAAAATGTACATGTGCTGCCATCAAAGTTGCGCATTTAAATCGATGAAACGTTTGTACTCAGACATAGCGATCTATTTATATTTGTTTATCTACGCATGGGCCTGTCAATACCAATGCGATGAGGGTTGTGTCACATTGCGCGGGCTGTTTTAGTTCATTGTGTTTCAGAGTTCGGACCCATGTGGTTTGTGTGGGCTTGAGCCCCCCATGCAATTTGATGGGTGGGCTGAGCCCTAGTACACAAGAAATGCAGAATCGTTACACGACAGGAATATTTAAAAATGATAATGAAATGACCAGAGTTGCATTTATAATGGATCACCTTTGAACAGATCTCAGGACTTCGGGGGTAGCTCACCTTTTAATAGACTATCTAGGTAAGGATAATTGTATTTATTAAGGTGACCAACTCATGCTGAGTTTTGTACTTTGAAAGTGCTCATTTTCATAATTTTATACAAATAAATGGTCCCTTCAATTGAATGGAAAGAAGTTTTTTCAGCAGTCAGATTTGTAATGAAGGAAGCGAAGGATATAGTTACAAGCACCATTATTTTGAAAGAAATTCAGAGAGTAAATTTATATTTATGACTAACTAGTGGTTCACGGCATTATGTTATAAGATAAACTTCCGGAACTTTATGTGCCATAATTAAACATTTAAAAAATTAAAATAATTAATAATCAATACAAATTGATCACAAAAAAATGTTGGTTACGCTAACTTTATGCACATTGTTATAGATCTGTTATACAATCTTTTTGCAGGCATTCATTATCTGAAAATGTGGATCGTTCACCTATGAGCAGCACAAAATTAAATTCCTCCACAGTTTCGATCGAGAGCTGCTGGTGTAAAAACAATGCAGGCTGCGGCAGGACCACTGCTTCAACAAGACATAGAATAAATCCAAGGTAAGAAATTGTAAATTACACAAATATTAAATAAATGATATTTATGAGTTGTATTTATTTTTCAGTTTGTATACTGATGTAAATAGTCCAGGCTTAACGCAAAGAATTGTACACTACAGTGAAAGTTTTCAAAATGAAAGACCTACAATAGAGCAGCGTTATAAGGGTGTTGGACAATTACCTATAGTAAATTTAAATAGAAATCAGCCAAGAAAAACCTCCTGTAACTAATTCTTCTGTTAAGATAAAAATTGGACCTCCAGGTTTGTACTTACAGAAGAAATTTATGGTCTAATTAATACTTAATACTTAATTTTTTTTTATTTCATACTATGTATTTTTTGTCTCATCAGTAACAGAACAAAGACTACATATGCTGAACACAGATCAGCATCGGCCAATAGTTCCTTTGCCCATTCAGGAATCAATTGCATCTGCCACAAGAAGTGTGCTTGAAGCACTAAAAGAAATTAGTCGAAAAAGAATTCACACTCAGGTATATAATTAACCACAAATTTCAACTCACTTTTTACAATATCTATTTATTTTAACCTGATAAAATATTTTTTAGGACAATTCAGAATACAGCTTCTCAGAAGATATTTCCAAAAGACAAAGAAAGGAATCGTTGACCAGAAATAATGTTAGTTCCACTCCATTTGCAAGGCCTCCTATCTAAACGACCTAGAGATGACAAATTCCATGATTTTGCTGACACTTCTGTATTTAGTAGATTTTTGCCTAATGATACATATATATATATATATATATATATATATGTTAAAGTAGTTAATTTTGATGTTGAGAAATATGAGTAAGTTCTTCAAGGGCATACATCAAATAAAAGGCAAAGATTTAGAAGTTAATCTTTAATTTTTCCAAACGTTTCGACATAGTATTTTATGTCATCATCAGTGGATATAAATATGGTCTTACATCAGTAGCTAGCGCTAGGAACACAATTTTGCACTATCATATATACATTAACTTGTTTTTTTATATATTAATTTGTTGAACAGAGTATGGCAAAATATTTGTGAAATATATAATATATTTTGCACAGAGAACGTAGTTTATGTGACAGAGCCCGAGGCTGTAGTCACATAAACTACAGCCTCGGGCTCTGTCACATAAACTACGTTCTCTGTGCAAAATATATTATATATTTCACAAATATTTTGCCATACTCTGTTCAACAAATTAATATATAAAAAAACAAGTTAATGTATATATGATAGTGCAAAATTGTGTTCCTAGCGCTAGCTACTGATGTAAGACCATATTTATATCCACTGATGATGACATAAAATACTATGTCGAAACGTTTGGAAAAATTAAAGATTAACTTCTAAATCTTTGCCTTTTATTTGATGTATGCCCTTGAAGAACTTACTCATATATATATATATATATATATATATATATATATATATATATATATATATTAAATCTATATTACAATTACCCGTTGAACTCTTTCGTCTTGGAATCATGTTTACATTATTGGCGTGCTATTGGCTTTATGTAAGTTTTATTTGATGAAATTATAGTGCTAGAAGTTGATGGTTCAGTTGATACATTCTGATCATTGCTTTCACTATTTGCTATAAAGTTATATTCTTCCGAATTTACAAGATATTTCTTCTCCTCTTTGAAAGACTTTTCAAATTTTTACACCATTGAACTTTCATCATCGTTAATTACTACAGTGTCATTATCACTTTGTATGAAATTGAACAACATATTATTAATACATCATCATCATCATCAAATAATACTTTGTTTTCAATTTTTATACGTTTATTATCAATATCTATCGATTCATCTCCAATAGATCTCTTCCCAGATTTTTGAATATCATTTTGTAGTAATTTCTATTATTGATTAATTTGAAAACAAAAAATTCTTTACAAGGGAGTTGGTCACCAGGTATACATAATCCTATTATATATAAAAAGAATATCGTTTAACTTGTGATATGTATTTTTTGGAATCTTATTGTAATTTACATATGTACTGTTGGAACTGTGCAAGCAAGCAAAAGAAATTTATTAGAAAACTAACTAATTTTGATGTTGAATGCGAGACTTCAATGTTCATGTTTGAATTACACTTGCACAAGATTGATTGAGAATGTTCAATAAGCTAAGATATACCTTATTATCAATAATTTTGATAAAATCTTCAGACACTTCTATTATGCAGTGTGTCCTTGATACATAAAAGCTCGAACATCGAACTTCTGATTTAGCCTTTGTTCCCATTGCATTTTGCCCTAGTATTAAATCATATTTTCCATCATAAAACTGCTACTTGCACGCCATATTGAAACTGAAAAATCATAAAAAATTATCTTTTGTACCTCCATAATTATAAATGATAAAATACTTCAAATAACATTATTAATACATTACATTATCAATTAGAAATATTAATAAATAAATTTGTAACAAATTTTGTGTATAGAACAACTGTCATTCAATGAACTTGAAAATTATTACGAATGAAAAATAAATACACAGAAATTAAACTATCATAGTCGTTTTATTAAAGCAAAATACGTGCAAGAAATCCACAATTTTCGCTGAATTTTGTCAGGACAAATGCATTTCAAAGACGTTGGCTTTCACGTGCTAAAGTACTTCAAAGAGTGTTTGGGATCAAAAAAAAAATTGCCATATTTCTTGCTGATAACAAAACAGATGGAGCAGGTTTGTTTTAAGACACGAAGTTCTTCGCAAAATTTGCCTATTTAGTTGATATTTTTCAAAGACTAAGCGATTTAAATAAATCAATGCAAGGATCTCAAATTCATGCTTTTGTTCAGAAAGACAAGATTACGGCTTTTATGAAAAAATTTAAAACTGTGGATAGCTAGTGTGAAAACTAATAAATTTGACATGTTTCCCACCTTTAAAATGACTTGTGTTATTGATGAAATAGAAGTAAGTAAAGATCTTATTATCAATTATATGACTAGTCTAAGAAACCAATTTTCGCATTACTTTAAAGATCTAGATATGTCCCAATACGAATGGATTAGAAATGCACTCGTCATTGAGAAATATGATGATTTGGTAAAAAAACAAGCTCAACCGTCGCATTAAATTTTTTTCATGTTGTGTTAATTATTATTCTATGATTTGTTTTCATTAAATTATTTTTTCTTATAATCAATAGTTATGTTTGTATGTACAATTTTTTAAAACATTGTGTATTATTTGGCATAATTTCAGTTAAGTATATTTAAATTAAATTTATTTTTATTTATTTATTTACATATACACATTATTTTCATATCTCAGCCAGACAGAGGTGCCTGGTATGAGAGATTATGAAAAACAGTTTTCATATTTTATATATACATTTCATTTGACTATTTCATTAATATAATATCTATTATAATTAAAATATCTCTATCTTTATATATAACTCTACAGTCTTCTTTGTCTTCAATTTCCTTATAGTATTTCTTTATTTTTCTTTTTAAATTGCGTTAGCGGCTTAGAGACGAAATATAGAAGCGCGTAAACGCCGCGTTGCAGTCTAACGGAACGCATAGTAATGTAAACAAAATTTGTACTTATTAAAATCTTTACAAAATATCTGATAATTTGATGTGCATATGTCTAATGATCATTTTTGTTCGCCAAATGGCTTTTTATACACACACAAATACATAAATTTTTCTTTAGGTGTACCAAAATGTTCAGAAATCTTTGAAACGTAAAGATATATAAAAATTTTCATTTTCGATTTTTTGCGATAAGACCACTTGCATGGCCATAATATTTTAGGATGTTCTTTAAGACCATGAGGTCATCATCATTCATCAAAATAATTTAAAAACCGGTGTATTGCAGTGTATTTGTTGATTTATATTTCGATTTGATTGTATATTTATTATAATATAATATTATCTAGTATATTTTTGTTATTATTGTATTATTACAAAACAAAACATAATACGATTGTAATACCAAATTTAGTTTCAAATACCCGTGTACTAAAATTCATTAATTTTCATTTCAAATTTTGCGCCATTAATTTGAATGGCGAGTGCAGCGCCATCACGTCGAGCGGAGGACCCTTTAAGTATTCCTTGTCTAGGCTTCTAACTAATTCTTATTAACATAAGCCATCATGTAAGGAACGGAAAAGTCAAACAGTTGAAAAATGTTTATATCATGATCGTGCACAAACATTGGTTTTTATTCATTAGTGTTTTGTTATTTGCAATAAGTGTCGTTTACGATTATAAGTGGTTAAGTTTTATCTCTAGTATAGTTATAATATTTTATAGTGAATATAACCTTAAAATCAAAGTTTTAACACATTGCGCGGGCTGTTTTAGTTCATTGTATTCCAGAGTTCAAGGGTATTTTAGAAAGTATATTAACTATAGCACTCGTACAGGTGTTTATTGTAGTACACCAGAAATGCAGAATCGTTACACCACTGGAATATTTAAAAATGATAGTATGGTGTCTCCGATTAGAAAAAATGACCAGAGTGGCATTTATAATGGATCACCTTTGAACAGATCTCAGGACCTTGGGGGTGGCTCACCTTTTAACAGACTATCTAGGTAAGGACTAATCTAATTTATTAAGGTGACCAACTCATGCTGAGTTTTGTACTTTGAAAGTGCTCATTTTCATAATTTTATACAAATAAATGGTCCCTTCAATGGAATGGAAAGAAGTTTTTTCAGCAGTCAGATTTGTAATGAGGGAAGCGAAGGATGTAGTTACAAGCACAATTATTTTGAAAGAAAGAAATTCAAATAGCAACATTTATATTTATGACTAACTAGTGGTGCATTGCATTATGCCTTAAAGATATGCTGGTACTTTCTGTCCCATTAAACATTCCAGGCATGATTATCATCTAATCATATCATATAATAAAAATTGGTATTTGATTTGATAAAGATTGTTTTCAATAATATCTGTTACGCCTATAAAAATATTTTCCATTTTAATAACTTCAAAGATTTATGGAAACTACGAACAATGTAGAAATTATTTCAATAAACTTAAGTTTAGTATACGGCACTATTGTTTCATTTGTTTTATTAGTTTTATTATAATTATTTATGGGAGATAAGGTAAAATATTTTTCTAATTCAGTCATTTTTTATTAAATCAAGATTTTTACTACAATGTAACCTTTAAATCTTCACGACGACTATTTACTACATTTTTACTACAATGTAACCTTTAAATCTTCACGACGACTAATTACAATCGACCCGTATAGAAATGATCTCTTCTCAACTTCTGTTGGATTCTCACAGATTTACTCCCTAGTCGCTCCTAAAGAGTTTTACTTTAAAAATTTATTTTTTCTTTAACAATGTTGGTCACCTTTATGCATGTTGTTATGGAATGTTCATTACTCATACAATCTTTTCTGTAGGTATTCATTATCTGAAAATGTGGATCGTTCACCTATGAGCAGCACAAAATTAAATTCTTCATTTGGAAGTCCACAGTTTCGATCGAGAGCTGCTGGTGTAAAAACAATGCAGACTGTGGCAGGACCACTGCTAGCTTCAACAAGACATAGAATAAATCCAAGGTAATAAATTATAAATCACACAAATATTAAATAAATGATATTTATGAGTTGCATTCATTTTTCAGTTTGTATACTGATGTAAATAGTCCAGGCTTAACGCAAAGAATTGTACACTACAGTGAAAGTTTTCAAAATGAAAGACCTACAATAGAGCAGCGATATAAGGGTGTTGGACAGTTACCTATAGTAAATTTAAATAGAAATCAGCCTAGAAAACCTCCTGTAAATAAATCTTCTGTTAGGATAAGAATTGCACCTCCAGGTTAGTAATTAATTTATTACAATCTTATTTTTTTTTGCTTTCATACAATATATTTTTAGATGTCTCGTCAGTAACAGAACAAAGACTACATATGCTAAACACAGATCAGCATCGGCCAATAGTTCCTTCTCCGATTCAGGAATCAATTGCATCTCCTACAAAAAGTGTGCTTGAAGCACTAAAAGAAATCAGTCGAAAAAGAATTCACACCCAGGTACATAATTAACCACAACTCAACTTTTACAATATCAATTTATTTTAATGTGACAAAATTATTAATGTAAATAATTTTAATGTGATAAATTATTTTTTCAGGACGATTCAGAATATAGCTTTTCAGAAGATATTTCCAAAAGACAAAGAAAGGAATCGTTGACCAGAAATAATGTTAGTTCCACTCCATTTGCAAGGCCTCCTATATCTAAACGACCCAGAGATGACGAATCGCATGATTTTGTTGACACTTCTGTATTTAGTAGACTTTCGCCTAATGATAGCAGTTATAAAAATTGGAGGCCGAAAAAGAAACAGAGGAATGAAGTGCTGAAGTGCAATGATATTTTGAGCTCTCTGAGTTCAAGCAGGTAATAATTGGAATATGAAGCTATTCGATTCATTTTTATTTAATATGAATCATTGTTGAACTATCAAGATATAATTTTTATTTTTAATTATTTTTATCCTTATTTAAAAAAATGAGCAAAATTAAATTAATATTATTACATAATTGAAATGACTAACTATAAAATAATTTTCTATAATACAACAGTCAAAATATTGTTATAGTAAAAAAATTAAACTAACAAAATTTTTCATATTCATATTTTGCTGTTTAAGTTTTTCTTATACAATGTATTTTATATTTCAGTTTCTTTTAAATGTTCAATTAATTTTTTTTTTCAGGCATCTTCAAAGAGAAAATCACAAGAGAAAGGCTGAGCTAAGTCCTAGAGAAAACGCGAAACATATGAAACTCACAATTCATAATGTTTCCAACATCAGTATAGGTGGAGAAGATGACGACAAAGACAATGTCGAAGCATCTCCTTCTCCTAATGTTACTAATGTAAAAACTGCCACAATCATTGCCGTCAGTTCAGAAGATACAGAAAAGCCAAAAGAATCGCCGAAAGTGAAAATGTTTAATAAAAGTCACAATAAAGAAATAATTTCACATGCAGACAGCTCTGATGATGAAAATGATTTTGAGAAAATGGCCTTTGTTAAGCCAAGAAAGGAAATGTACAATCATACGGGATTAAATTATACTGAGGAATGTAAGTTGAAACAGATGTTGAATTGCTTGAGTGAAAAGGGCCTCGGGGATAAACTGAAGTTAAAAAGACAAGAAACTGTAGATAATCCTATTCCTATTCCCAAACTTGTTAATTTTACATTGGAAAAGGAAAATGAGTTAGTTAATCAAAGCAGTTCTATTATTACTAATGTATTAAAACCAGGAATAGATAATAATGCAGCAAAGACATCTGTTAGTAGTTTTGTGCCACCAACGACAACATCAAAAAGCAATGATGATGCTACTCCCAAAAGCACAATATCTATGGTGCCACCAAAAAGCACAACCTTTACTATGCCACCGAACAGTACTACTCTTTCTCCCGGTTTCACATTGCCAGCTGCATCAAAGCCTGCAGAGAAATTCCAAACAGTTACAAGTACCTCAAATTCTGCTTTAAATAATAAAATTCAAGTGAGTGCCACAAGTACAAGTACTTTGCCAACTTTAACAAGTTCACCTACATTTTCTTTTGGAAAGTCTAATCCAAGTGCAATATCATCTCCTTTAAACCAAACATTGAATTCCTCATCAAAAGATATCAATAGTGAAAAATTATTAGTATCTACATCCAATAGTGCACCAACGATCCTAAATTCAAGTATTCAATCAAACAAAATAGCTGTGAGTACACCAATGTTCAATTCTCCCACAACCACAACTCCAAATTTGAACAAAACACCAAGTTTATTTGGTAATTTGAATACAACAGCGTCCTTAACAGCAAGTACTACCAGTTTGAACTCTGATCAATTGAAATCAAACTTTAAACCAACCATTTTGCCAAAACAAGACTCTCCATCAATTAATGGTGAGGTAAAGTCGAACACTGGTTTTACTCTACCAACACAGGTTAAACCAGTGGTATCATCATCAGCACCGACATTTATTTTTGGAAACAGTACACCTCAGACTACAACTTCATCCCAAACTGCTGCTCCACAATTTAATTTTGTAAATAGTACAAGTACAAGTAAATCTGGTAATAATACTCTTAGTGGATTATCTGCTAATAAACAAGAAGCGTCAGTCACTTCAGCCTCAACTAATAATGCAACATTTAATTTTGGATCTGCAACCAATAATGGTGGTGGTAGTGGTTCAATTTTTGGAGCTAACAAATCAACAGTGTTTGGTGCAGCAACAAGTATTACAACCAGTGCTAGCTTTAATGCGCCGATAACAACTCCAGCCTTTGGTGCTACTAAGGCAGCTATGAATACAACTTTTGTTGCAACCACAGCATCAATTCCTGTTTCAAATACACCATCAATATTTGGAAATACAGCGACCACCAAGCCCACTTTTGGAGCATCAGTTACAACAGCATCATCTACTTTTGGAGCTTCAGTTACAACAGCATCATCCACTTTTGGAGCATCAGTTACAACAGCATCATCCACTTTTGGAGCTTCAGTTACAACAGCTTCATCTGCTTTTGGAGCATCAGTTACAACAGCATCTACTTTTGGAGCAGTTGCACCGGCTACAACCACATCCTCTATTTTTGGAGCAGTTGCATCAAAAACAACAGCATCATCTACTTTTGGAGCAGTTGCATCAGTTACAACAGCATCAACTACTTTTGGAATTTCTACTAAAACTTCATCGGCTACTTTTGGCCCTTCTACTACAACTTCATTATCTACTTTTGCCATTCCCACTACAACTGCATCTACTTTTGGTATCCCCACTACAACCTCATCAGTTTTTGGTGCAGCAAAGTCACCAATATCATTTGGTGCAACTGCAACTAAACCAAATGCGACGTCACTGTTTGGTAATGGTTTGCCATCTACAACTTCAAAGCCTGGAGGTTTCAGTTTTGGAAATAGCACTACAAATGCTTCTCCTTTAGGAACATTTGGTGCAAATTCAGTCACTACAGCTACTTTTGGTGCTACAACAACAGCAGTATCGTTTGGAACAGCGGCTTCTCCTCCTGTGTTTGGTGCCACGACCAAAGCGAGTGCGTTTGGAGGTGCAACTGCAGCACCTGCATTCGGAACAGCGTCGGCTACACCAACATTTGGGGCTACTACTTCAGCCTCTACATTTGGTGCAACTTCAGCCACACCAGCATTTGGGGCTACATCTTCAACCCCTGCATTTGGTGCAACGTCTGCTACCTCTTCTGCATTTGGTAATTCAACAGCTGCACCTGCTTTTGGTGCAAGCTCAGCAACAAAACCTGCTTTTGGCGTATCCTCAACAGCTCCCATTTTTGGTGGAGCTTCAAACCCTGGTTTTGGTGCAGCTACTCCAGCATTTGGTTCATCATCAACAACGCCTGCTTTTGGAGCTGCACCAGCAGCAGCACCGCCTGCTTACGGGGCAACAACTACAAGTGCTCCTGCATTTGGAACTGGCACAGCAACGGTTTCTTTTGGTGCCGGATCTACAAATACTGCATTTAACAGTCCAAGTGCAAGTGGCAGTATGTTTGGGGCTAATAATCAGCCAACAACAAATCCTACTGATAAAAGTGGTGTGTTTACTTTTGGAAGTAATACCAATAGTTCAACACCATTTCAGTTTGGTGCTCAAAACACTGCTGGAAAGGGATTTAATTTCAATGCTCCCGCTGTGACTCCTGCTTTTGGTGCAGGCACACCTTCTGTTGCCGCACCCAATTTCAATAGCACAATAGCCAGTCCAAGTCCTGCATTCGGGGTGCCTAATCCAGGATTTGGTGCAAATCCAGCTGGTGGAACTATGTTTAATATTGGAGCTGGAGGTGGAGCCAAGCCGAGAATCCGGGCTCGAAGGCAAAGATAATGTATATAAATCGAAACTAGTTTGTTGTATTGTTTATTGATATACTTGTAAACAGTATGATAATTTATAATTGAAATGACTCAGTTTGAGTTTGATATATAAAAATATTTATGTTAATTTAGGATAAGAATATGCGACGTTCGGCATGACATAGTAATTTTTATATCCCCTATATTTGAACAAATATTTATATAGGCGTTAATAATCGAAATGCAATTTTGTGATATTAGAAACTTTAAACTATTATGTAATTTATGATCATGCTGTACAGATACATAAATTTTATTTTTTTGTAAAATAAATAAATTATGGATTAAAAATCTAGCGTTTTATTAAATCGAAATTGAAAATTTTTGCATAACTTTACGTTTCAGAGGTTTCTGAACATTTTGGCATGAAAAAGGACAATTTTATGTCGATGATTTCGAGCGCACGAACCAAACGATTTGAAAGGTTCAAAAAACATTCGATTCCTATTAACAGGGAAATGAGCTGATTACTTTTTGGCAAAGGCAGGTTCAGCCGTTTCGGAGATACGGAGCAAAGAGTGTAGAAAATAGAAATGAAGTTTTTTTGATAGGGAGAACTGGTGATTAGTTTTTAGCAAAGGCAGGTCCAGCCGTCTCGGAAATACCGAGCTAAATGTGCAGAAAATGGCAGTTTTGAGAGAACTAAGCATCCGATTTGAATGATTCAAAAAACTTTCTGCTTGTCTTAAAAAAATAATTAATTTTGGAACAAAAAATTGTTACATTTTTTTTTCAAAAAAAAAAACAAAATAATTCAGATTTTATTTTTATTTCTGACTAAAGTTTTAATATACTTTAAACAAATAATTTCAACTTTGCAATTCACTTTATATAATTCTTATACATTCAGTATTCCTCGAACATTTTGTTACAGTACGGGAAGTTCCAGCAATTTGCCTTAAGGCACGATGCCATACATCCCACTAGTTTCATTTTTTTTTTGTATATCGAAAATAATTGATTTTAATTTTAATCCTAGCTAAAATTTATTATTAGTTATTACATTCTTAGAAATATGAGATAAGGTCCTTCATTGTAACTCCGTTTGATTAAGTTTTGTTTGTATATTTTTCATGTAAACATGTATAAACGTCATCGTTCAATTTATAAGCTCTTATATTTTGTCTATAAAATACTAATAAGTTACACAGTATTTATTATCATCTATTTGAAAACATTTAAAATTCCTAGAATATTTCATTACGGTACGGAAGTTCCGGTAATTATATTAATTAGTATTATAATTTGAATAATGTACAAAAATATTTTTATAATATACGTTTTTAAATGTTTCATATATAAATTTAATTAATTTCGAAACATTACTCGAAACTATATTCTTAAATCATTGTAATCTATTTCCATATTCAATTTTCGAGTTGAATTTCGTGCCGAAATAAATTTGCCCAACCTGAGTGTGCCGTGAAAACTTGAAACATGCGCATGCAATACTACGCGCATGATGCACAAACACCCGACGTACGTCGTCGCATGAGGCAATACGTCCGAACAAGTTTGCTAGCGTGCCGTATGTCCGCGTTCAAATCAATTTGTTATTTTTGTCATCACAAGCTAGAATGTAAAACAGAACATCTTAAAACGTGAGATTGGATAGTAGTTAACATCTCGGAGAGGTCGGGAGTGTATTAACATCTTAACCACCGTCACCCACTCGCCAAATTACACCATGGCTGAACCAGAAAAGGCTCCTGAACAACCAAAGGTGCCCCCACAGAAGCAAATCATCGGTTAGTTGCAATTATTTTATACTATTCATAGTACTATGCATGCCTCTGGCGACCGGCGGCCATGTTTGATAATGCGTCTTTACGATTCGTATTTATTGACCACATGGCGTTTTGTAAAGGAATTTCCTAGTTTATTCCTTAAACATCACTCATCCACTTTATACAAAGTGCCATTTACGTTATACATGATGCTGTAAAAGTTATAAGTTAATATTTTGTGCATGATTTTTTGTTCTATTTGTGCCGGTTTGGCAAAAACTTCGATTGCGAAGGAAGCGTCATAAAATTTTATTGCGTGATAAGCAAATAATAATCATGTATAACATAAAAATAAATTGTGCGATGATTGAAATTGATTGCTTTCAGATTTCTCGAGATAATGACGTATGATGCAAATCGTAAATTGATATTTTTATAAACAAATTTTATGGCTATAAACAATTTTTTTTGGTTATGTATTACAAATTGATTACAACTTAATTTCCACATTTTTTCCTTAGAATATATATTTTGGAGATACAGATGTTATCTGTTCTTATTAAATATTGTATTGTATTTAGCAAAATCGTTTTTTTGCTTAATTAATCATCATAATTTACAAAATTTCTTATGCAAATTCATTTCTACATTTAATCATGTTTACATTACCTATACAATATTATTTTGTTACATTTTTCACAACCACACGAGTTAAATGGAGTTAACTAACGATGGAGTTTTCAGGTTTATAATTTTTGTAAGGAACAATCACTTATTTTATTTGAAGGTAACAATTTCAGCCTTCGAAAGGCTCTATGCCAATCTCAAATTTATATTGATAGATTATAAATTTCACAGCTATAAACACTTTTTTTAAATTATGTATTATAAAATGATCAGAGCTCAATTTGGACTCTTTTCACAACCACACGTGTTAAATACAATTAACTAATGATGGAGTTTTCAGGTTTATAATTTTTGTAACAATCACTTATTATCATTGATTGCAAAGGAATTGGAAGGTAGCAATTTCAGCCCTTCGAGGGCTCTATGCCAATCTCAAATTTATATTGATATAAACATAAATTTCACAGCTATAAATACTTTTTTTTAAATTATGTATTATAAAATGATCAGAGCTCAATTTGGACTCTTTTTTTTAAATATCTACTTTTCTTTTAAAGATAATTACATAGGTGATGTTCTATTCATGTATATTTTACTAAATATCATATCCAAATTAAAAAAATCTCTATTCATTATTTCTTACTAGACAATGCTATGTAATTAACAAAATCGTGTTTTACTTAATTGTTAATTATAATTCAAGAAGTAGCCATACAAATTTATTTCTACATTCAATTATGTTTATATGAACCATTTTAATTATTTTTCCAAAAGGAGTTTTCAGGTTTATAATTTTTTTAAGGAACAATCAATTATTAATTGGAAGGTAGCAATTTCAGCCTTCGAGGGCTCTATGCCAATCTCAAATTTATATTGATATACACATAAATTTCACAGCTATACACTTTTTCTTGGTTATGTATTACAAATTGATTACAACTTAATTTCCACATTTTTTCTTTAAAATATCTATTTTGAGATACAGGTGATATCTATTCTTATTTATTAAATATTGTGTTGTATTTAGCAAAATCGTTTTTTACTTAATTGTTAATTATAATCCAAGAAGTAGCCAATGCAAATTTATTTCTACATTCAATTATGTTTATACAAACCATTGATTTGTTACATGTTTCACAACCAAACGAGTTAAATAAAACTAACGAATAAGTTTACAGGTTCCTAATATTTTTTGTAAGGAACAATCACTTATAACATTGACTGCGAAGGAATTGGAAGGCAGCAAATAATAATCTCATATAAAAATAATTCTTATGAAGGATAATACTTACCCTTCGAGGCCTGTTGCTAATCATGTATCATGCCAATCATCAATTCAATCATCATCAATTCATAAATTCATTCAATTATGCATCAGTATATAAATTTCACAGCTATAAAACATTTTTTGTTATGCATTATAAAATGGTCAGAACTCAATTTGGAATTTTTTACGATTTACTTCTTTAAGAAATAGTTACATAGTCTTCTTGTGTATTCGTGTATTCCTATTAAATAATGCATTGAAATTAACAAAATCGTTACCTGCTTAATTGTTCATTATAATTTGATGAGTTTCTAATACAAATTCATTTCTACATTCAATATTGCTTCAAGGACTTTTGTTAATTATGTATAACTCAATTTCCATTTCTTTTTAAATGTCACTTTTTTTTAGAGATACAGGTGATGTCTGTTCTTACTAAATATTGCTCAGTATCAGATCGATATTTTCATAAATTAATTTCAATTTTCATAAAAATATCAAGTTCCAAATATGTAATAATGTAATTGTACTATTATGTTCTTTTTTTTTAGCATTATGTTCTAAAGCTACACAAATTAAATCAAAATCAACTAAGTAATTAGTTTTCAAGTTTATAGCAATTTTTGTGATGAGCATGAATGCTGATTACGAAGGAATTATCATCAAATCTTATTATCACATAACCTAAAAATAAATCTTACGATGATGCAAATGTATTGCTTTCAGTCTTCGTGGGCTATTAATTAATATATGATGCAAATCACGCATAGTTCATATTTACAAAATTTGTTTCAAAAATGTATTTGTAAAATGGTCTCCAATTCAATTTTTGGTCAAGAGTTCACTTCAAACTTCTTGTAATATCTAACTTTTTTGAGAGATCTTTACATATGTGATGGCTTCCTATAAAAAATTCAATTAATATGAAAGATAAATTTAATTTTACTTTCATTACAATATTTTGTTCATTGTTTCAAAACTGCACTAGTTAAAACAAATGTAAGCAATGAATTGTTTTTCAATTTTATAGCTTTTCTGTACATAACATAAAAATTCAATTTAATTGCTTTGAGTCTTCATGGCTTTTGCTATGTTTTATCATTCAAATCTTAAATTACTGATATTGCTGTAAATACATCATATATATATATTTACAAAATCAATCATAAACATATTTTTGGATATTTTTTTTATATATTTGTTTTACTTCAACCAGTATTACTTTTTGCTTTAATCAATTTTTCTCTGGAAATGTATATTTATTAAATATTGTATGGAAATTAATGAACAAAATCTAATTTCAATTGTTGAAATTATGTTAATTTTTAACTAATGCCATTTTTTGTTACATGTATTAAAACCATTTAATTCGAAAAAATTAAAATGAACTAAATACTCTTTTTCAGCTTCAAAGGTGATGGGAACTGTGAAATGGTTCAATGTCAAAAGCGGATATGGATTTATAAATAGGTCAGTATAATAATTATAGATATTAAATAATTGATTTCAGAAATCTCACCAATTTTTTTTTTTATTTCAGAACTGACACCAAGGAAGATGTGTTTGTACATCAAGTAAGTATCTTAACATAACTATTCAAAATCTGCTTCTTATCTTAAAATCTGTTAGATACAACTTTTTCATATATTGCAATAAAACGTATTATTGAAGATCATTAGTTATCAATACATAACAGAAAAATTCCCAATGATCTCATAAATAGCCATTTGTAAATGCTAATATTATCTTATTTCTAATATTATTCTGTTATATTTATTATCTGTCACTTATTGTTTTTATTCCACTTTGTTCTTTTTCTAGTATTATGTTTGTTATTCACAAATTTAATTTTACTTATTAATTTTATTTGCTTTTATTTTATACTAGATGACCCGACAGACGTTGTCCTGTTCCCATGTCTACAATTTTTTAATATATATACTAATATTTACAGCTTACCTAAAATAATTATTGTTTTTTAAATTACTCTTTATGCCAAAATGCATATAAATTTATATATGAGCAATGTTAAATGTAGAACTGCTTTAAATAAAATCATGAGTCTCAATTCCCACACTATATTGGAAATTGAACTCTTTTAAACGGTATAACATAACCATAACAATACATTGGTACTTCATGTTGGATTAAATAAATTTAAGTTTTTATTATTTATGATATCCAAAATTGTATCGTAAACTTTTCCTAATCGATATAGTGAGGGCCGAATTGTATGTATTCATCTTTACTTTCCCATTTGTTGTTATAAAGTAATTTTTTTACGAATTTTAGAAATATTGTGGAAAGATTAGTAAAAGATGCAAAGAAATTATATATTGAAAAAAAAGCTATTTTGAAAATTTAATATCCGAAACTTGTGTTGGCGCCCCCTAAAGCGTGCGCTCGTATTTTTCGCATGCATCGCATTAAAGGTTGGACCGGCCCTGATTAATACTTGATTTCATATTTTAAGTGAATTAAATTGTCATATCCTGTTCATATGTGTATCATTCAATCTGTCATACATATACTGTATCTTATATTACTTGAATTTCTGGCACATCTCAGCTGCCTTTCGGCAATAATAATGTAGACATTTCATTTTTCTTATTCATAATAATAAATTTATTGTACATATTCTAATATTGTCTAGATTCATAAGTAAATTGAAATTTTTGGCAGATTGTTTTCATTTGTTCTCAATGCAAACAATATGTCGTTTTTTGCAATTTTTTCCATTTATTTCTACAATATGGCACATACATCCCAGTACTTTATAATCACATACGTTCTAGAAAATTTCCTTAACAAACTTCAGAAAGATTTATCAAAATCCGAATAATCGTTTAGGAGGAATATACAGCGAGTGCTTGTAATTTAATATGAACTTTATATGCAATGAAGCTCAAATTGATTATATTATTGATTTTAGTTAGAAAACGTTTGTATGTGAAAAAGAAAAGGGCTATTTTTAGGGTTTTTCCGGCAATTATTCGATTTTGTCTCGCCGTAAGAACCATCATTGGACTTCAACAAACATTTTAAAAAAAGAATTGGCAAATTGGTCCAGGCGTTGAGTTATGCGCTTACCAACACATTTAGCGATCCATTTTTATATATAAGATTAAATCATCATAATATGGATATCATTTTAATGTAAATACTATCCTTTATTTTGTACTCTATTTTCATAATATTTATGATATTGTTCATTAATGTTACTAGATGCTATATTATTCAGCAATTGTAACTAATATAATAATTTAAAAAAAAAATACATAATAGAAACATTGCTCTATTATATTTATGACTTAATATTTTTTCTACTTTTTATTTCCAGTCTGCCATAGTTAAAAACAACCCGAAGAAGGCTGTCCGCAGTGTAGGGGATGGAGAAACTGTGGAGTTTGATGTGGTAATTGGAGAGAAGGGAAATGAGGCAGCTAATGTGACCGGCCCAGAAGGAGAGCCAGTCAAGGGAAGCCCATATGCGGCCGACAAACGCCGCAGCTATCGCCAATGGAGCTACCCTCGTGGAGGACCCAGGGGACCCAGAAGAAGTTAGTAGAATCTTAGTAATAGTCGCACTACAAATTATAAGTGGTGGTCGTTCACTAATCACATGAAGCTTGATTAAAAAAACAAGTGGGGCGCATGGCATCGTGCCTTAAGGCAAATTGCTGGTACTTCCCGTACCAAAAATTATTATTTTTTAAAAACGATTAACATTTTTGAAAAAAATTTACTTCGAAAAAATTAGATTTTTGAGAAACTATAAATTTTACAAAAAATTACTTTCTTTTGAAGAAAAAAATTTTTTTTTAAAAAAATTCTTTATTTTGAACTATTTTGGAAATTCCGAACTTTTTTTTTTTTCAATGTAAATGTACTGCTTTAACAGCATAGAGACGAAATGTCAAAGCGCGTAAGCGCCGCGTTGCCGTCTAACGGATAAACATTGATACGGAACCGATAGGAATGTTAACACAATTTATACTTATTGTTAAAATCTCTATAAAATATCTGATAATTTCATGTGCGTATGTCTAATGATCATTTTTGACCGCCTAATGGCATTTAATTTTACTTTTTTTTTATTAGATCTCCGAAACCGCTAGACCTGCCTTCATGAAAATTTGACCAATTCATCTTGTCAATACAAGTAAAATGTTTTTTGAATTATTAAAATCGGACGCTCCGTTCTCTTAAAAACTGTTACCATTTTTGGAACTTTTTGCCCCGTATCTTCGGAATGGCTAGACCTACCTTCGCCAAAAACTAATCAGCACGTCTCCTTATCAATACGAATCGAATGTTTTTTGAATTATTCAAATCGGTTAATCTGTGTTCCCGAAATCGTCGACGAAAATTTGTATCCGCACACACATATATCCATTTTTTCTAAGGTATGCCAAAATATTCAGAAACCTCTGAAACATAAAAATATATAAAAATTTTCATTTTCGATTTTTTTGCGCTTGCTATAACTAGCCCTATGGGAAGTTAATACTTATCAAAAGGGGGATGTATTATTATAACTGGATTTAGAATGAATTTTCCAAATATATCTGTAATGTTAGATTGGGGAGTAGAGGTATTTTTATGTAATTTTTGGATGAAGATTTAAATGTGATTAGTGAATGGCCTCTGTAAATAATTTCAATTATTGCATTCTCCTTAGATCCACTTTCGGTTACCATAGAAAGTGCTTGAGTCATAAGGGTGCTAGATTACGGTACCTCCAAGTAAGACAATGATTTCAAATTTTTAATATTTGAAATCAAAATCTTTATTTGGGGAACAATATTTTAAATTACATTTTGCTTTTGTATACATTTATGGAACATACTTTGAGAAAGAATCCCAAAGGATACATCAGAATTAGTCAATATGCGTATTCAATTGAATATATGAAATATCATACATATAATTTTATATATAAAATTTCTGTGTCACAGTGTTCTTTCTCGTACTTCTCTGAAACGGCTTTACCGATTTTTACCAAATTTTCTATGCGTATTCAGTAGGTTACGTCTATTTTTCATACCCCTAGATGATAAGGATTGTTAACCCTTGAATATTTTTTTTTAAATTTTTGGACGAATTTTTTAGTTTCCACATTTTTTATAATGCAACCTTAAATTTTTACTTTATCACCAACCTCTATTGTTTAGTCATTTTTCATGCCATGTTCAGTCATTAAATATTTTTCACATGATTTTGGTTAAGATTTTTAAGCTTAAAAAATAAGCTTAAATTTTACTTTATAAAAGTTTATTTTTATAAAGGTTTGTCTAACCCTCTAATACATTCTTAAATTTTGGGATCAGTTTATGGATTTTTTTAATGCAGAATTGAAAACTGCAATTATTTTTACTTCAATTTACTATTTATTTCTCTCAAGGGTATATCCACCCCTCTCAAGTGCATTTTTTGCTGAAAAGTAGAAAGATTGAATATTAAAATCTGAAGATACAACAGTTTTTGATAGGAAGCTATAGGTACCATACAAATTATGGCAAAGCTATAACTTTTTTCATATCAATTTTTTTTAATCTGTCAATTTTCTGGGCATGTCACATAACAATGAAATTCAAAAATGAAAATTTAAAAATCTTAATTTGCTTTTTAATTAAAAAATTAATGAATTAATGAAAAATGCGTTAATAACATATCTAGTATTATTTTTATTATTCACAAATTTTATTTTGTTTATTAATTTTATTATTATTACTCGCTTTTATTTTATATTAAATCATCAAACTACGGATATCATTTTAATGAATATACTATCGTTTATTTTGTACTCTTTTATTTAAATTCATGTTATTGTTCATTATTGTTACTAGATGTTAAATTATTTAGCAGTTGTAACAAATATTGTGATTAAAAAAAAACATTAAAATCTTGCAACTTCAAATGGACCAATTCAATTTAAATCGTATCAGTTTCTTGCAAAGTCTATTAACTCTTTCGACTCGGCATAGTCATTTTATCGTCGCGCTCGGATGCCGCCACTCCGGCGGCAAATCGTGTCGTCGCTAACTAACCTTACAATATTTATTTAGTCAGGATATCAGGATTTATTATTTTGTAAGCCATTATAATAGATATTTTAATATACGCAGTGTTTTTTCAGAATATAACTATCACCAATTTTTGTTATTTACTCTAATAATGATCTGTGAAGAAATGATTTTTTAAACAATATACCATGGTCTTGGGCGCATTTTTTTAATTTTTAAAATTTACTATTTTATTATCATAATAACTATATTTTAAAGTAATATTACCACATTTTGAAAAAATCCGATACAAAAAAAAATTCGAGTTGAGAGATATGTATAGCACTATAATATTCCGAGCGCAGCGTACCGACCATCAGTCGGACTCCCTAGTGGAAAGTCTTAATATGACCCAGAAAATTGATATATGTGATAAGGAATCATAAGTCATTCTTTTATGAAATTTGAAACTAATGAAAGATGACAATAGAAATATGCGTTAAACAGTTAAAGTATGTTTTGTGTGAAATCTTCTGTGCAAGTAATAAAAACTTATATTTATTGCACTTTTCTGAAGCTTAAATTTGTTGAATTCATTATAAAAACACTTATTTATATTATCTTATCGTACAGCATAATTTTACATGGCTGAAAAATAAAACTTGAAGTAAAAATATTAATTTGTTACGCGTTTATATAAAAAACGCGTTGCAGTGGGAAAACTATATATTTTTTGTTACCTTCACCTTTCACTAATAATGAACATTTGCAATCTGCTATTTTTATACTAAACCTATTGTACTAGAAATATTTTTTATTGCATCATGTTTGCCGAGTCACCTGATAAATTATTAAATTTATCAGGTGACTCAGAATTAGGGATACATGAGCAAAATATAATTATTTAATAGTATGTCAAATAAATACATTTGATGTTAAAGCGTTTTATCATTTACAGTAATTTACATTGTATATTTTTCCCTTATCCTAGATTACGAAGGAGGCGAAGGTAAAGAAGGGTCGGGTTCGGGAGGCGAGAACGGTGATGGGCAAGGGCCCGTACAAGGAGGCGGCCCACCGCGTGGCCGATTCCGCGGTCGCGCACGATACAGCAGCTATTACGGCCGTGGCGGACCGCGAAGAGGACCACCGCGCGATCATCAGACGGACGGCGACGAACACGAAGGCGCCGACGACTCGCAGGTAAAGAAAATACGATTTTACACAAAATTCGTATCTTACTTCAAAGTCATACTAATGTATATAAGTGTAATAGCTATTATCGGTTACATGTACAGTAGAGCCTCTCGATTAATCGGACTAATTGTTGTCGATTGGGATTCGGATAATCGAAACTCCGGATAATCAAATGTATGAAGAATAATATTGTGTATTTATTAAAAATAATAATTACATACATACATAGCTACGAAAATGTTTATTAAGAAATTGAAATCTCCTTATGTATGTACACATATGTTTAACTTCCCGAAGGAGAAGTTTGTTTTCAACAAAAAATCCGATTCACTAATTTTATGTGTTCTCGACGTTTCAAGCCATTCTGAATCGAATGAGATCAAATTTGGAAAAAGTATGTGTGTGCGTGTGCATGCATCAACAGGATTTTTGCCGTTTTCTTGTAATAAGGTGTTAAAAAAAATTTCGTCGATTTTTATTATTTTTTTGACGGTAGACACCGTAGTCTTCTAGATCATACTAAAATATTACGGCCCTACAACAATTCGTTTAGCTTTAAAAATTCGTCAAAGTTTGCAAAAAATTAGTATGGTCTTTTTGGCATTTGTCAAAATTCAAACTTTCATCGATGTTTGCTCAAAAACGCCTGAACCTATTTCCAGATATTTAAAAAGCATTTGATGTATCTCGATGAGGACTATCATTTGTCAGTTTTGTGCGACGATCTGCCAAGGCGTTTCTTTATCATTTGGGAAAAAGTACATTTAAGCTCATACTACCGAAGAATCGATTTTGAAAAATCAAAAACTGTTTGAAAGATATTAGTTGGGAATGATGCTGAATAGTTTTAGGTGAAAATCTACCGAGCCGTTTTTTTGCAATTAACTGCTGAAAAAAAAAATTAGGCCGATTTTTATGGAACATTTTTTGGCTATATATTATGGTCTTATAGAACTTACTGAATTATTACGCCCTTACGATAAGTAGTTTAATTTTAAAAATTCATCAAGTTTAAGAAAATGAGTAGTTCTTTTGACATTTGTTAAAATTAAAATTAGACGATTTACTTGGTATAACAATATAGTACTTGGTCTTAATAAACATACTGAGCCATTAAAGTTCAATTATAAAAATTATTGATTTGTGAAAATTTGCATTTAGAAAATACTCCGAGTTAACGTGTTCGTTCGGGTTCAATTATGTGTAATAAATCCACTCAGAATACTTCTAATCAATCATAAATTAATTTATATTTTATGGATTAAGTCACTACACTTGTCTACATTAAATCAGCAACTGAGTAATTAGTTAAATGACTAATTGAGTAATTAATATATTAAGACCTCTGCAACAGTTTGAATTCGATGGTTTTTTAATGTACTTTGACTTATCAAATATAAATATTTGATATAATATTCAACTAATACTTACTTATATAATTAATTTCTTTGTGATTTATGTAATGTATTACATAGTCTATTATCTAGTTACTCATTTAGTTAAATCTATTTATAAAGACATTAAAATATTACCATTAATTATGGTTTGTTTTTAATTTTCTCCAACTTTTGTCTTCTTTTAATTTCCTGTAGGGTAATTTAGTTTTTCTTTTGTTAACAAATGGTAGTTATAATTGCATTCTCCTTAGATCCACTTTCGGTTATTATAGAAAGTGCTTGAGTCATAAGGATGCTAGATCACGATACCTCCAAGTAAGACAATGATTTCAAATTTTTTAATATTTGAAATCAAAATCTTTATTTGGGGAACAATTATTTTTTAATATATTTTTAACTTTTGATACTAACATTGTAACATCTTGAATACATTTCTATATAATATTTAATCATTATAAAGGTTCTCATTATTTAAATATAATTATTTTAAATATATATATTTTATTTCATTTCATTCTTACACGGCTCTACAATATTTTTGTTGCTTATTTATGATGAATTTAATATTTTGTATATTATTTCTTATGCCATTTTGTTGAAAGTTGACAATTTGACTGAGGAAGAGTCAAATTTGGACTAGAAATTCATGGATCTATTAAAATTATTTTAAGGAACATTCTATTTTTTTATTTTTATCTAAATGGATGTTCAAGAAGTATTTTGTTGTTAATCAACATATTTATCACCATTTGAAATATATATAAATATATATATATATATATATATATATATATATATATATTTATATATTTATATCTGAACTTAGGGTAAACTAGTGATCAATATTAATACATCTCCACATTCTTCAACTCAACTTACATTTCTCTTTACCTCTCTCCAGGGTCAACCCCGCGGCTTGCGTCGCGGTGGCGGAGCTCCGCGCCGCTTCTTCCGCCGCAACTTCCGCGGCGGTCGCGGCGGAATGCGCAGGCCGCGCAGCGAGGACGGCGGCCAATCGGCCGGCAACAATGACGGTGGCACCGGCGGCGGCGTCAGCGAAGGCGAGGGCGGACACGGCGAAGGCGGACAGGGACAGCGCGGACCGCCTCGCCCGCGCTACAGGCGCCGCTTGCCGCGTACAAACCGAATGCCCCGCTACCAGAGTGAGGGAGGGGACAAGAAGGTCAGTGGTCAATTATATAATAATTGATTGTGGTAATTTTGAACTGCTGTTTTGATTTAGGCTTTTACGGGACCCGTCAAATAATACTCAAAAAATAATAGCACTAGTCGTAAATTTATAATTTTATTAAGAAGGTATTCTAGTGTAGAAATTCAAAATAAGTTTCTTCGTTTTTTTTCATATTTTCATATTTTCAAAGTTTAACACTATTCCCATATCATGTTTGCTATTCCTACCGCGACCGATACAAAATCTATATTTTTCAGTATTGAATGAAGAGTTAATGCTAGTTTAAGGTTTTATACAGATACAAAATATTTCTTTTATTTTAGAATGCGAAATCAACATTTTATTCTGTTTTATCCAATTTTTTACGTTTTTTTTTCTTAGTGTATTTTCTGCACACGCATTTTTTACGGTTTTGGCTAATTTCGTTCGCCCTATCATCTTTCTGAAACATTATTTAAAATATTTTCTTTTAAGGAATCTGTTTTTTTGTATTTGTACTTAGTTAATTTTTTTTCTGAATTCTTGTTGGAACTATACCGGAAGTTAATTGTAATAGAAAGTTCCTGCCTTGTACAACGTCTTCCCGTAATTTCTTTATGTGACAACAATGGATTTATCCTGAATAAATACAAAATAATGTAAATCCTTGGTAAATTCTCTCTAAAATTCATATTTTACCGAATGATTTCTGGTTACTTTATGAATGACATCTACACCAAACACGACGCTAATACCAATTGAATTGACTCCCCGTATTAGTGTAATTTTTTCACCTTATGTGTATGTAAGTGAAAATTAGAATCTTCCTTCTTACCTTCCAAAATTGTAAATATTATTTGAGTGAAGTCCTTGATTTTTAGTTCTACCAGTATTTGTAACTGTTATATTGCTTCAATTGTACTTATCATCACAGTTTCTTTTTTACTAAAAGTTTAGCTATAAGTAGGATAGTAAAAATGCTTAAATTTTTTATACGGTTTCATTGGTTATAAATCTTCAAAGAAATTATGTTTTTCACGTATACTGGACGGTATCAAAATTTTACACCCCATTTTTGCGATTCACTGGGCATAATTATATTTACATAATACATTGAACAGTTACTAAAATTTTATACTACGTTTTCCTGAATATTATTGAACATGTGATGAATAAATTCACACCTTACCTTTATTGGAAATATGTTTGTCGGTAGTAATACGTGTTCTTTTACAACAATTTTGATTGCTGTAAATTTAGTTGAACCAACCTTTGGATTCAAAACAAAACCTATCAATTTGTTGTTCAGATTCCTTTGTAAAAATTTGTCTACACATAGACATTGATCAAAAATAGGAAAACCTACTTTTTGTATCGTAGAAGTGCAATATTTATACTCTTTGCCTCATATGCGCAGCGTGCATACAGATTTGGAAAAAGAGCATATAAATTTGCAGAAGGCAGTTTTTACCACTCTAAATTCTTCTGAATTTACATTTTCTTGTAAGTTCAATCATATTCTTAACAATTACTACAAAAAATGCCGTCCGAACATATGACCGGTCGTCAAATGACCGGTCATATTTATTTACTAAAACTGATTTACTTGAAATTTTCGGAGAATCTTCTTTATAGCCTTCTCTCAGGCAAATACTAGCCTCCACCTCAAATTTCAACTCGACTCATCCTCAAATTTCTAAAAAATTGAAACTCATGAAAGTGGTATAAAATTGATCCCTTTTTCTCGATCATATTTGTCAAAAAACAATTGTTTAACTTAATTGTAGTATATACCATAGCGACATCATTGTAGATTAATGATCTTTTTTTTTTCATTTACTTTAGGAGGGTTGCAATTGTGGATATGGTCACGTGTCAACTTTTTGATTACTTCTAATTTTTAATATTAACTTTTTTGGTTTTAACATTTAACTTGTACTTCTACACTAGAATACCCCTGTAATAAATATCGTATATACAATTTTAATTTTTTCAATCAAGTTTTCGAAACTTGAAAATTGATACGTGGTCAGTTGAATTTTTTTAAAATCAGTTGAATTTTTCGCTACATTTGTATATATATTTACATTTAGGAACACAATGCATGTTTAAGAATGGTTAGTTGTTTGGCCGACAAAATCTATTTCAATTTCCTAAGCCTGCACAATTTACTATTTCAGTATCTTTATTTCTTTTATTACTTAAATCCGCGGTTTCCAACCTGTGGTACGAAAATAAACGAAATAATATAAAAAACAACGAAAAAATATTTTTTTATGCAATATTTTTACATAATATTGCATATAATTTGTAGTCTGATAATACATTTATGAAATGAAATTTTTGTAAAAATTAAGGGGGGACAAAATGTTTCTTTATTATTGTAGCGCGGTGCAAGAAAGGTTGGAAACCACTGATTTTATTATTCTCAAACTTTATTTTATTTTTTATTTTTATCCTTTTTCTATATCAAAGATGAGCAACTCGCATTTCGCGGGCTTGATGCGGCCCTTTAAATATTTTTCAGCGGTCCGCGAATTACTTAATATTATCCTGTCAATAAATCATGTTTGTTTTCTTTACTGCATTAATTTATCAAATAATTACCTTTTTTAAATTTTGTACTTTTATTTACCAATGTTTATTGCTATATATCAAGCTTTGTGATTAATCAATAATTGCGGCCCGTAAGTTAAAAAAGGTTGTTCATCCTTGATCAATATCCTATTTATTATTTTATTATTCATTCTTTTGATTTTATTAGCCTGAGGCATCTTCAACTTCAAATGGAAGTTCGTCCACCCCTCAAGTAAGTTAGACTTCTAGCCTTTTAAATCGTTAATTGTATATTATTGTACGTACACCCTAAATTTTTGTTATAATTTGTAAAATTTTAGTGTTTTGTAAATAGTTTATATTGTGTGCGTTCAATAAAATCATGATGTTTATATATCGTCGCCTTTCCTTAATAATAATCTATAGACTTTATCCTAGGGAATGCAATACCGGTATACCCGTATACCGCCCAATTTTTTTCTAATAAGTAATTCTATAGTATAAACAAATGTCAAAATATGATCTTAACTCTTCAATAGAGGGTTATATACACTTAGGATTTTCTAAAAATTTAATTGGTTTTCGAAAAACCATTTTTTTAAAAGAAACTGCAATTTTCTCAAAAATTATTTTGTTTATTGCTTCAATTAATTACCACATTTATTATTTCTTTATTGAAATCTTTTTGGATTTTGAATTCCGCATTTTCTTCCGAGATAAAGTGGTTACCGCAAAACGTGTTTTTCAAGAGGTGGTCCCGCAATCTGCTGTTAATCCGCCGTCTAACGGATAGACATTGATACGGAACCCATAGGAATGTAGACAAAATTAATACACATTATCCATAAAATATCTGACAATTTGATGTGCATATGTCTATTGATCATTTTTGACCTCAAAATGGATTTTTTTCCCTAGATTTCCAAAACCGCTAGACCTGCCTTCCCAAAAATTTAATCAGTTCATCTTGTCAATACAAGTAAAATGTTTATTAAATTATTAAAATTGGACGCTCCAGTTCTCTTAAAAACTGGGTTGCCGTTTTTGTCACTTTTTGACCCGTATCTTCGAAATGGCTAGAAACTAATCAGCACGTTTCCTTATTAATAGGAATCGAATGTTTTTTTAATAATTGGAATCGGTTGAACTAATTGAATTATGGACGAAAATTTGTATCCGCACGCATGCACACACACATACATCCATCCATTTTTTCTAAGGTATGCCAGAATGTTCAGAAACCTCTGAAACGTAAAGATATATAAAAATTTTCAGTTTTGATTTTTTTGCAATTACTATAACTTGCGCTACGGGAAGTTAATTATAAGGCTTAAGTGCGATAAGTGTGAGTTTCATAAAAAATATATTTGAAATCTAGTGATAAAAAACGAAGTGTTTTTCCGAACAACCTTATATAATTTATATATGAAGTTTAGTTGTATATATAATTTTTTGTATTTGTACTAATGAGAAATTACCGCAAAAACCGGTATCGAAATTTATCGGTATTGCATTCCCTACCTTATTCATTATTTTTAACATTTCCTTCCTATTGTTTATTTTGTAAACACACTCTATTATGCATGACTATTTTTGGTACAATGGTAAATTAACAATTTAAAAAAAACTTGGGTATTAATATTGGTCTTTTTTGTTTTCTAGGAGGGTGGGCAACCCGTTCAGAACACCGTTACAGAAAGCACTGCTTGAGCAGTGGAACATGTCTCGGGAATCTCAAAGATACCTTTAGCGAATACAATATCTATTACTGTTTGCTAAAATAACATTTTTATAGACATCCCCCTTTAAAAATGATAAGGAAAATAGGTTGCACACATATTTTCTAATGCATAAAAACTGCAGGATTGGTTTTCTTTTTTATTTAATTTATTTATGTGTGAAGTATGAAACAATGCTTATTGCTGTGCAACCTCTTTGGTTATGTATTGTTAAATCATAAAACGTAAAGATCTGATTTTTAGTTTGTTTACATTTTGACAAACCTGCATTAGAATTGATTTGCAGTGAGTAATTTTAGAGTTTGACATTTAATTTCATTTTAAAATAATAAAAAAAAATGCTTTAACGATGCATATACCAATTTCATAGATATTATGTTAAACCAACTAGTTGAAAATGACACATCTAAGGTATATTTAAAATAAAACATCAAAAAAATTATATCAAATGACTTCGAATCATTTAATATCTGCTTGTAACAATATAGATATTAATAATTCACAAGTTGAGATATCAAAAAAAAAAAAACACCTTAATTTTTTTTGTCTAACAAAACCACCCTATGTAAGGAATAAAAATAAATAATCCAAGGTTCAAAATCTATTGTCTCTTGTAATTGTAATCATTGAATACAATTTGATTTAAAGCTAAAATATAATTCTTTTCAATAGTTTGATGTTTGTAATTATTTGTGATATGTGTAAAAAATAATTTTGAACCTTTGGACAAATAATTGTATAATATTATTGCTCTATATTGTATAAGAGAAATAACATGTCGGTTAACAACTGCACTTCCTGAATTGCTTTCGAAGTTGCATAGTAGCCACTTGTCTCTTAGTAGAAGACTCGATTTAAAATAAACATACCACGAAGTTGGTGTTCTGTTAATTTCATATTGCGGGTCCTAATAATATGGAAAATGCATGTGTGTGAAACATCAATTTAATAACTTAATGTACATGTTCTAAAAATATTAGAAAAAAAAAACGAATCCAATATTATCTGACATTGCTCAAATGTTTTTTTTGAACAATGTGTGTGTGGGTGGTGCTCACAGGACACCATTCTGATAACATCGGTACATTTATTTATCTTTGTGCTCCTCACGTTCAACACATTTATATTGGCAACATCAATGTGTACCATAAATCTGGTTGATAAAGTAGTTTTGTATTATTGATCAGATTTTTGTTCAATAACAATAATAGTTAATTGCCTTAATTTTTGATGTTTGAAGACATTCATGGAAATTAATCCAGTGTATTGGAAATTGTAAATTTGGTATATATAATTTTTTCACGAAACATGTGCATTTTAAAAAATCAATAAATCTACAAAAAAATTGAAAATATTTCTTTTCTTCCTCACTCTTCTTACAGGGAGTTTTTTTTACAGCTTTTTTTCTTGTTTGGGTATTTATTTGTACAGTATAAAAAAATGTTGATTGCTTAATGAATTAAGTTGTGCTCAATATCTGAGTTTTTTTTAAATAGGGAATGCAATACCAAAAAAGTATGCCGCCTGATTTTTCGGCGGTATTAGTATATAAAATTTACTATATAATTATATATTATACTATATAAAATTATTATATTATATAAAATTTACTAAAATCTAGTAAAAAGTGTTATATATGCTTGGATACAAAAATTTTGAGCAATTTATAGTTGAACTGTGAAGTTTAGTATTTTGATAAATTGCAATACATATATAGATTTAGAACTTTTTTTTTCCTTCAAATCACATAAAAATTTTGCGTTAATAAAAACTAGATAAAATCTGCATTAACAAAAACTAAATAAAATTTACTAGAATTTAGTAAAAACTTTTATATACACATGTACACAAATTTTGAATACCTTCTAGTTAAATGCGGACTTACATATTTTGATAATTTGCATTATATGCATTTAAAACTACATTCGCTAATGTTGTTTTCTCAACGTTTCAAGTCATTCTGGATCGAATGATACCAAATTTGAAAAAAGTTGTATGTGTGTGTGAACAGATTTTTTGCCGTAAATCGACGTTTTGTCAAAAACGGCTGGACCGATTTCAAAAATTTAAAAGCCATTCGTTGAGCATCTCGTTGAGGACTAGCGTTTATAAACATTGCGCGACGATCAGCCAAGCCGTTTCTTTGTAAATTATATGTAAAAAAAATTTCGTCCACGTTTCAGCTCGCAATTCTGAATCGATTTTGAAAATTCAAAAACCGTTCGAAAGATATTGCTTAGGAATTGTGCTGATTAGTTTTTGCTAAAGATCGCCCCGGCCGTTTTCTTGTAATAAAGTGTTAAAAAAATATTTTATTTGACGATTTTCATGATTTTTTTCATTGTTTATAGATATCATGGTCTTCTAGATCATACTGAAACATTTCGGCTCTACGACAAGTCGTTTAATTTTAAAAATTTGTCAAACTTTGCAAAAATTAGTATAGTTTTTTCGGCGTTTGTCAAAATTACACCTTTTATCTACTATTTATCTATTAATTAACTATTTAACTATTAACTATTTAATCATTGACTATTAACAATTTAACTATTCATTTATGTCTATACACTATTTACTGTGAACTATTTAACCATTTAATGTTAGCTATTTAACTATTTACTTTTAACTATTCAACTATTTACTCACCACTATTCACTATTTAACTATTTACTATTAACTATTTAACTATTAACTATCAAATATTTAACTGTTTACTATTTATTCTTAACTTATCACTATTCACTATTTACTATCAACTATTAACTGTTTAACTATATGACTATTTAACTGTTTAACTATTGACTATTGATTATTTTACTATTTACTATTTAGCTATTGACTATTCACTAATCATAATTAATTACTATTAGCTATTTATTATTCTTCATTCATTATTCATTATTTTTATTCATATTTATATATTTTTTTTATTTTTTTTATATTTATATTTAAAATGTAAAAGTATACATTTACCAAAACACAATGGTAAATGTGCACATTCACCAAGAGTGCACATTTACTGTAACATATATAATTTTTAATTTTTGTACTAGTAAGTTTCAATTTTGTTTACATTTAAGATAAAAATATCGGTATTTTACCAGTATTACTGGTTTTCAAATTGAAAAATCACCGAAATACTGGTATTGAAATCTTTTATCGGTATTGCATTCCCTAGTTTAAAATATTGAGGTAGTATCTATTAAATTTCAATAATTATTTTCACTAAAACCATTTGAATTCTTATGGAAGTATAATTTGTTTATTTACACATATTTATGAATTTATTTTTTGTATTAATTAATTATTATTCTTATAGGTATCGAGTGATGAATATTTGTCTGAATGATTGTTTTGGTTTTACAATTGTGTTTAAAATTAAATGTCAAATATTATAATTAAAAAATTAAATGTTTATTTTCTAGAAGATTTTTTTGATTTCAGAGTCTAATGTAGAGCTGCAACAGCAATTAAATATATTATTAATTTAATTTATTATTTATTAATAGCCGACTGTGCAAATAATAAAGGAGAGCTTAACAATGCATTTATAGTACATAATAAAATACTATTGAAACATTAAATTAAATAATTGGAAATAATATGCAATATTTATAGAAGCTGTTTTCATGATGTGTTTTTGTCAGTATCCTTTACTTATTGCATTAAAGTTAGTAAAAACATTAGGACTAAAGAATTTAAAGGCTTTAGATTTTGTAATAGAAAAATATTTGCGTTCGTAGAGAAAATCCAGATACATTAAAGGATACATAGTAATGATTTTCAGAAAAAAAACTATAGCATTATTATAAAATTTAAGTACTAATTAAACTCTTTCAGTAAAACGTGTGACGAAAGATGATATGTTAAATTCATTCAATAACATATTGTGGTCAAAGCCAAAGATTAGTATGTCCTTAAATGTAGTTGAAATTGGAAAATTATTTAACTTACATCTGATATTTTATTGAGAAAAATATTAAATTGTAGAGGACCAAGATTGGGTCCTTAAGGCAGACCTGAGCTAACAGACGCAAAACTGCTCAAAGATTTGTTGAGAATAACAAATTGCTTACAATTTTGAAGATAACTTATAAAAATGAGTAATGAAACCAATCGTAGTATATAATTGTATATACTACATATGTATGTACTAGGGTTTATACAAAAACCGACATTTCAGAAAACCGGTTTTCAAATTTTAATTTTACTAAAAAACCGTTTTTAACCGGTTTTCGAATTTTGTATAGAAAATAAATTTTTGCTCGAATATTCTGTAATTTATCCGCAAATTTAATGTAATTTAGAGTAATATTTGACTGAATTTATTTATAGTTCTATTTTATAGATAGTAAACAAAATTATTTTAATTTTAATTAGCAGAACTAAAAAATAATACTTTATCTTGATTAAATAACTTTGAAAATAATTATTCGTTATTCATGCATCATTATCACATATAAGAATGAAAATATTTTTATGTGATAGTGAAAGGAAAGTTTTCGAATAAATCACAATAATACATTTTTATATATAAAAAAATTCATTAAATTAAAAAATAAAAGTAAAAAAATATTAGATACGTGTTGATACATACTTGTTAATATCAATTTTAGTTTTAAAAATAATTAAGTTAAACTCGGGTATTGTCTGTTCCGAACAATTTTAATTATTTGATTTTAAACATTCTAATTGTTTTTTTGTTTAATAAAATATGATTAAAAAAAACTGAGAACGTCTATCGAATTGCTGCTTAGACGTGTCCTTTGATTACTCATAAAATTTCCTGAAATAGAAAATACTCTCATACTTGCGACCAAATTATGCTTAATTGTTTTTAAAGCCTGATATAATAATTCTGAGTTTTTTGTTCTTTAATTTGTGGCTTCTAGGGTTTAAAACTTTTTTTTTTAGTTTGAGTAGAGAAGTTACTTCTTCTAGAAGAAATCACACTGATTTAAATTAATATATACACTGGTATAAAAATCTAAATGAATATGAACAAAACCTTTCTGGGAACCATGCTATTGAACCGATATGATTTCAAGAATCAAAACGCTTTCATCTATCTTTTATATTTGGCTATATTTGCCATTTTCCATTTATACTGTGAAAATTGACTTTTTTCACTAAAAAACCGGTTTTCGAATTCCATAGTTTTTGCCAAAAAAACGGTTTTTGAAAACCGACAAAGCCTAGTATTCTATCAAAGCCTAGCATACAATGAGTGTATTAACTTTATTGAATGAATACTACTATTGTGTACATCTCCAGTGTTCGTAGTAAATGTGATTCAATGAGTAGTAAATATGAATGAATGAATTCAATGAGTGTAGCAAATTTATTGAATAGAATATAAATCTACTACTATTGTATAATAAGTCAAATTTTCAGTGAGTGTAGTAAATCTAATTATATAAATAGTAAATATACTACAATTACTGTAGTAAATTTATCGACGAACGTAAATCTACTACAATGAGTATAGTAAATTTAGGATGAATGAAAATCCACTACTGTTGTGTTGTAAGTCACTAGTGAGTGTAGTAAATCTACCACTAATAATACTACAATTGAGTGTAGTAAATTCATTGAAGAATGTGAATCTACTTCTACTGTGAGTAAATTTATCGACGAACGTAAATCTACTACTATAATATAATGTGTGTAGTAAATCTACTTCAATGAGTGTAGTAAATTTAGGATGAATGTAAATCTACCACTATTGTGTTGTAAGTCTCTAGTGAGTGTAGTAAATCTACTACAATAAGTAGTGAATATACTACAATCAGTGCTGGATTATCCCATAGGCCCGTGAGGCCCGGGCCTAGGGCGGCACAATTTGGGGGGCGGCAAATTTTTCCGATTTTTTTTTTTTGTCACGGCAATTTATTTTAAGGATTGATCTTGATCTAGATAATTCTCTATGAAATAGAATGTTATTCGTTTTCTAATCAAACTTATTCAAGGGCGCCTCATTAATATTTTTAGTGATGTATCATGTTTATTATCAAATTAATAAGCTTTTTTGTGAGAAATAAAATAAAATAAAACTAGTGGGGTGTATGGCATTGTGCCTTAAGGCAAATTGCTGGAACTTCTCGTACCGTAACGAAATGTTCGAAGAATATTAAATGTTTTCAAATAGATTATTACAAATAAATACTGTAACATTGTCTAATATTTATAAGAATTATATAAACTGAATTGTAAAGTTGAAACTATTTTATAAAGTATATAAGTGAGTTTTAAAACTTTAGTCAGAATCAAAAATAAAATCTGAATTATTTTCGATATAGTAAAAAAAATTGTTTTGAAAAAAAATTGAAACAGATTTTTTTTCCAAAATCAATTATTTTGTTAAAACAAGCAGAAAGTTTTTTTGAATCATTTAAATCGGACGCTGGACGCAAAGGTAGGCCCAGCGGTTTCGGAGATACAAACCTAAATGTTAAAAAATTGCAGTTTTTAAGAGAACTAAGCGTGCGATTTAGATGATTCAAAGAACTTTCTGCTTGTTTCAACAAAATAATTGCCTTTGTAATTGCACTGTTCCAATTTTGTGAAAAAAACTATTGAAAAATGTGAAAATGCCGCCAAGCTAAGCACAGTATAAGTGAAAATGTCGCACAGAATTATTTACAAATGCGTTTAGACTGTGACTATACGGGAGCTCTTTTTTCAACTTTGTGCAAATTTAGGCAACTATTTTTTTGAAATTGAATTAGAAAAGAAATGACGATTGTTAATGTCCTGCAGATAAATTGATTTATGATTTATATTTGATTTGCTCAGATATAACAAGATATAACAAAAAAATAAAGAAAGTTACTGTATCTGTAACAATATATTTGAAAACCGTTTAAAATTTTTCGAATATTCCATTACGGTACGGAAAGTTCCAGCAATTTGCCTTAAGGCACGATGCCATACACCACTAGTTTTATTTTACAATTATATATAAAAACGCACAAATTAATAAGACGCAAATACAAATAAAAACGTATTTAATACAAATAATACTTCACAATCAAATCAAATATATGAATCAAACAGAAATAGATGCAAATATTAGCAGTAATAATTTCGACCATCTCGCCACGAAGGTTGAATTATGACTGATTGTGAGGTACAATAAACATTTCGTATTGCACCCTCTATGGTTCCGTACCCGAAACTATTCAATTCGATAACAATTTTTGAATTTTTGAATTTTAGTATCATCTGGTAACAATTCATAGTTTTGTCCCTTTCTGACCCCAATAAAAGAAGTGCGTAATAAGAAATAAAATCATTATGTATTTGGACCTTTCGGTCGACACTACAGTCAGAGGTAAGTCTTTTAAAAAATATTTATGTATTATGTAATCATTTCGTGCATTCAGTTTCAAATACGTGTCATGAAACTTGTATTTAGGTTGATTCGATTTGAGTTGATTTTCTGGTGAATTATAATTATAAGAATGTAAATAAATTGAAGTAAAAATTCGTCTCTTTAATATTAAACGATTTGCGTTACATTTTCTAATCCAAATATTTGTGCTGAAGTATCGCCTTAGTGTTTATTGTTGTGAAAATATTTAATTTTAGCCTTTGAGTTAACATAAATAATTTAATGCAATCTTTAGATTATCAAATTTAAATATAATTAAATAATATTAAATTTTAATATAAATATAAAATGTTTAATATAAAATATTTACGATTGACTACATTTGTTTTGTTTCAGATTTCATACAGTGTTTTGCGCAGTGGCGGATTGCTTTAGGGATTTATTGTGCATGAATTTTTTTTTATTCAATCTCATTTACAATTTTTAATTATTTTTAATAATTTTGTTAAATTATTATGAGTTATTTGCGTCCACATTTTAATTTTTTTTTTTGTTCGTGCGAGGACTTATTCGTAATTTTAATATCGTTTAAAACGATTTCCGCGTTTAAATGTGTTCCTGTCGCCTACCCTCCACGGCAGGTTCTAGTAATTCGCGTTTCGTTATTATTTTTTTTTTCATTCGGTGTATGGGTCCTTGCGATGTTTTTCCCAGAAGCAACGCAACCCCATACACTTTAATTTATAATTAGTATTATTTATACTATGTTTATTTTTTTGGAATTATTTTATTAGTAGCATGGATGTAAATAACTCGTCTAAAAATCTAAAAACTTTGTTAAATAAATTACTTGTTTTTATTGACTGATTTTTCTACTGTAATGCAATGAACATATTTTAATTAAATATTTTAAATTTTTTGTGATTGCACAATAAGTCTCCTGAACGGAGAAATGTTGAAGACGTACTGTTTGAAGTTAAAGAAAAGTATGATGGTACAAAACCCTAAATTATGTAAAAAAATAACAAAATTAACATTTTAGTGTAAATGGGCCTCAACTAAAGATACCAGGAGGTTGAATACTACAACAACGAACAGGAGAAGATGTGTACCTATATGATGTACCAGAGCACTGGAATGATTACAAGCAGGCTGCCACATATAGTATTTATGATTCATCATCTATTCCATGTTCTCAAGTCACTTTTCATTTCAGGCATGCAGAGTTAAATTACCCTTCATATTTGGGAGTGAGATGCTAAACATACCAAATAGCAATCATTGCACTCTAACAAGAGTATCCTTAGTAACCCTTTCAGTTCACCTCAATATGGATACGTACAGGTTTTCTCGTATTCATAAGTTAATATTAAGTAGTTAGACCTTAGTTAGATATAAGTATAAAATATTTTTATTTTTGTTACCGGGGCCCCGTTTGTATGTTTGCCCCTATTTTTAGGGGCACTTGTGTTTTTTTATGTCATTTCAGATGTCTTTCCAAGAAAATTGCTTACCAAGTGAGTACCAAGAACTACTTCCTCAACCCATAGAAGAAATTGGTCAGACTAATTGATGTACCAAGACACTAAAATTATTGGCATACTGCTAAGTAATATGTATAAATCTTTTTTCTTTATATTTTCTAAACCGCTTTTTTATTTCAGGATTACAGAATTAATTTCTTTTCGCACCACAAAGCACCAGGACTTCTAAATAACTGCCAGGAGGATATGCATATTTAAAGGTTTTTATCCTATTATTGTTAATTTAATCTTATTATTAGTTATGAATATTTATTCCTTTATTAATATAACCGGGGCCCCGTGTATTTGTTTGCCCCTATTTTTAGGGGCATTTGTGTTTTTTTTTTCATTTCAGATGTCTTTCAAAGAAGACATTGTATTGTATGTCGTCTATATGTTTTACCAAGATATACACGAACCACCAAGAGACCACTGCCGAATTAAAGGATATGTACAAGTGGGTACCAACAATTACTTCTGCAACCCATACGAATAATTGTAATGAAATTCTATGTTTACCTGTTTTTAGGTCTTGCACGAGATTTGGCAGAAAATAACATCAACTCAACCAACCAGCACCACTACTACCTGAACTACCGCCTACAACTGAATTGGATCATATGACATAATCAAAAGGAAAATTAACTGTGAGATAAGACTTTCTATTATTATAGTAGTATTTAGTTAATATCAGGTTAGGGGACGTTTTGACATTTAAATCTTCGGTCGTACTTTTTTTCTGGTTGTTCGCGTACTTTTATTCAGAGCTCAAAAGGGTGGCGTCGTGAAAGAACCTCTCTTATATTTTTCGCGCTTTTCTTTACATTAATTAATTAATTATCATTTGTTCTTAAACTTCATAGGCTGGGAACCTATGAAGCTTTTTTCCAGGGTTTACATGGTGGATCTGGGGGGTACATCATGTAAATGCTCTTTTTTTATAAATTTACAATCACCGCTAAAATACTGAAGTACACATTTTATATTGATTTTTTTCTTCGCCACGAGAGGTTCTTTCATTTTTAAAAACCGAAATTTTTGGGTACATTAGGTCATTTCGCGGGGGTTCTTCTTTTCGCGATATATTCGGGTCAGTTAGGTATAATTAGTATGTAAGTTGGTTTAAGTGGATTAGGGCTGCACAAATCGATACTTAGTAATATTTACACTATATCCATTTCCATCTGAAATGTTAGAAACGTAAATATGAATAGAAGTATCTATTTCTGTGGCGACACCACATTAAAAAAAACGCGCCTGGCAACTCTACCCCATGGGTGGTGAGGAAAAGAGTTGCATCCTAATTAAGTATATATAATTATCAAAATTATAATATTTAAATAATTATGTTAATTAATAAACATAAATGTGTCAATATATGTGTGTGCATCACTGATAATTAACTAATATCGAAATATCTTAAAATAAAATTTTTGCAAAATAATCTTTGCTTTTTAATATGTGGTTTATGTTATTTTTAAATTTTTTTTTCAGAACTTCATAAAGAATTATTAGATGCTTTCAGAAAGAATATTGTCAATAATTATTAATTTTGAATTAGTTGAAAAAATACTATAATTATCTATAATTATATTTTATCTCTTTGCATTGTAGTATGAATATAGTATTTTTTCAACCTCTAATTCAAAATCAATAACTATTATTCTTTTCAAAAGCATCTAATTATTCTTTAGTATATGTGAAATTTAAAACTTTAGTCAGAATTAAAAATAAAATTTGAATTATTTTCAAAATTTCAAAATTACTTCTTTTGTTAAAATAAGTAGGAAGTAGTTGAATCATTCAAATCGGACGCTTAGTTCTTCTGTTTGCACATTTAGCTGGGTATCTCCAAAACGGCTGGACCTGCCTTTGCTAAAAGCTGATTACCACTTCTCCCCATCATTACAAATTGAATGTTTTCTAGATCATTCAAATTAAATGCTCCGTTCTCTCAAAAACTCGATTTCTATTTTCTGCACTCTTTGCTCCGTAACTTCGAAATTACTATAATTTACCCAACGCAAAGTTAAAAATTATATCTAAATAATTTAAAATAAATTGTTTAATTAAAAAAGTAAAATTTTGTCTATTAAAAAGGGCGCCTGAACGGATAGGGCCTAGGGCGGCAGAAATCTTAATCCGCCACTATTGTAGTAAATTCATTGAAGTATGTGAATCTACGCGTACTGTGAGTATAATGTGAGAAATAAGCCAATTATTATTTTTTCTAATTGTTCTAAATGTTGATGTTTAACAAATACGGGAATGCGGATATTAAACATTGATTGTAAGTTGCGGATATTAAACAATCAATTGAAAGAATGTAGTGTGTATAAAACAATGCAAAATTCATACTAAGAACAATATGGCTTACATATACAAATCATACACCCGTACAGAAGAATTTTATATTTAAGATTTAAAAAAGAGTGCGCGCAAAGTTCTCACGCGATTGAAGTAAAACTTATTTGCTACTGTACGAGATGGCATTTAAGTTAAAAATAAATACATCATATAACAATTTTAAATAATGTTTATTAGTAAAATGGTAACACTCGTGATGCACACATTTATTAGTGTCAACCCAACCATTATACACATTTATATAATTATAAATTATAAATTATATATTTATAATCAAATCAATCAAATATGTATAATATTTAAGAATAATACTGTAATTAAAGTCATACTTCAAATATGTCATGATCGGTTTGTCATTGTAATTAGTAATTTAAAAATGAACCTTTATTAGAGAAATGAAGTAATTGCTGATTAATAAATCCTATAATATTCGTTCACACAGTGGATTATGTTAAACAACACCTAAACAAATATTGTTTTTGCAACTTCACTCATCATGTAATAATTGTGTTTGAAGAACTTCATGTTTTTAAAATTAACATACATTCATTGACTGCTTGTATTTTTTTTACGTTTTCGCTGGCGATATAATCTCATTCTTTGAACAGCTGTAATATCTGTCTTGCCTAAAAAATATTTTTCATTTTAATAACTTCAAAGATTTAAACTACGAATAATGTATAAATAATTTCTAATCAATAAACTTACGTTTAGTACAAGTGTTTAATTTGTTTTATTATTCTCAAGGAACAGGGCAAAATATTTTTCCGATTCAGGCATTTGTCATTAAATCAAGATTTGTACTACGATGTAACTTTAAAATGCTTATTAGCCATGGCGATTTCCTTGTTGATATCTGTACGCATACAACGACAGATCTATATTCACATACGCGACGGCTAATCACAATCAACCCGTATAGAAATGATATCATCGAGAGCGAATGACGAATCATTGGCACTCGAGATTCTTATCGACTCTTATCTGCCGTAACTCACTTCCGTTGCATTTGTACGGATTTACACCCCAGTCGCGCCTAAAGAAATTTTACTTCAAAAATAATTTATAGTTAACTAAATAACAAGAATTAATATTATTAAGATAAATATCTACATATATATAAAAATAAGTGGGGTTTTCCTTCCTGACGATATAACTCCAGAACGCACGAACCGATTTTGACAATTTTGCATTTGTTGGAAAAGTTTCGGACTCCTCAAGGTTTATAGCTAAGAAAATTAGTGGTGCATGGCATCGTGCCTTAATGCAAATTGCTGGAACTTCACGCACCGTAATTAAAAATTCGAGTAATGAAAATAATCAATAATTGTTTTAAATAATTATATTTGTTGTGGGCAATTATACGTTGCCTGTTCACGAGTTGGGAAACCATCCGCTTTGTTTGTGTTAACGTCAGACCACAAAACAAAAAATGTGGTTTACCAAGGAGCACTTCAATGAATCGGATAATTTGCGGATTCACTTTCATTTACTTAGAGAAGTTCAACTAAAAAACACTTCACTTTTGTAATCGAAATAAATTCATTACTGTTGTGTAATAAAATTAAATTTTTTCTTTTCAAATTTAAAACAAACAAAAAATTTCTTCATCTTTCTCGCGAAACCATCTGGTGGCGAAACGGAGTTCGTCGGGTTTGCTAGTTTTATTATAATTAAAGCATATTGATATGTTTGTTATCAACAAACTTTGACAGCCACAAAAGTTTGACAATCTGTGGTTCGATAACTTCACTCCTATATCGATATAATTTAGTTCGAATAGTTGCCGCTCTTTATCACTGCAGTCAAGTCAACAGGTTGTTTTGCTCACCTGTACAGTTGTGCAATGTCAATTTCATTCAATAAATTTTACATAAAAACAAGCAAACGAACATTAAATGAACTAGAAACAATAATAAAAATAAAATAAAACTACTATCTACAATGTGCCATAGGAATTATTAGACTAATGTAAAGGAAAAAGTATTAGCACACATTATGGTGCATGTACATTTGACAGATAAGTTAATAGTGGGCGTATAATATTTTGTAAAAGAAAGGAAAATGATACAATGTCGTTTGTAAAAGATTATGGAGAGTATTTGTTAACAAATGTTGAGTGCCAGGCTTATAATTACCACAAGGATAAACGATTACTCTAGCAGAAGAAAATTGTCAGGTATACTAGGTCTATGTGGTAAATATCATGCTTGTATACATTATATTTTATTATGGCCCCAAAACTATAACATCAAGACTCACCTCAGTCTAACCTTCAATTACAATGCCTTTTAAATTAAAACTAAAAAAAACCCGTCAATACAATGTTGTATCTAAAAACCTCCTAGTTATCTCCATCGAGCTTTTAGATGGTACAAATGTCGAGTGCACTTTAAGCTCTGAAAGTCTGGGCAAAGAATGCTTCGAACATGTCTGCCAAAGGGCTATGATCAACCAAACACAGTTCTTCGGCTTGCGCTACATCACCAAACAAAACTATCCAAAATGGGTCGACATGGACATGCCTTTAAGAAAACAATTAGAGAAATACGCTTCATCCACAACTTTATATTTGAGAGTCATGTACTATGTTACCTCTGGAGTTTCTTTGATCACGGATGAAATGACTCGGTATCATTATTTCTTGCATCTCAAGAACGATGTGGCCGATGGTAGGATAGTTTGTAATTTTCAGCAAGCTGTACTGTTAGCGAGCTATAGTAAACAGGCTGAGTATGGGAATCATTTGGAAACTAATACAGAACATTTGAAGCCGCTTTTGGCTTGTCCTAAATATATTGTTGAGAATAATTTATTGGAGGCTTTAACGGAAGCTGTGATGAAGCATAGTGCTGTTTTGCAGAATATGTCGCAGGCTTTGGCTGAAGAATACTATATTGCGACTTGTCAGGAGTTGGATGGTTATGGATTGGAGAATTTTATAGCATATGAAGAAAGTAATAAAGAAGTTGTATTAGGGATTTCAGTTTTGGGTATAAGTGTTTCACATGAGGTTGCACAAACAAATACAAAATGGTATAGGTAAGTTTTGGTTAACAAACAATCAATATTTTTTTATTTTATATATCAAATTTCCATGTCACGGCTTTACCGTGACCAAATTTTATATTCAGCCTATTCAGTAGATCTAAGAATAAGCTACTATCTATTTTTCACACCCTTAAGGAATAAGGAATGTTCACTCTTACATTTTTTGTGTAAATTTTAGATCGAATTTATTTGTTTTTATTCCCGAAGGAGAAGTTTATGTTTTCATCAAAAAATCCGATTCGCTAATTTTGTTTTCTCGACGTTTCAAGCCATTCTGAATCGAATGAGACCAAATTTGGAAAAAGTATGTGTGTGTGTGTGTGTGTGTGCGTGTATGTGAACAGATTTTTTGCCGTAAATCGACGTTTTCTCAAAAACGGCTAGACCGATTTCAAAAATTTAAAAGCCATTCGATGTATCTCGATGAGGACTAGCGTTTCTGAATTTGTGCGACGATCGGCCGAGCCGTTTCTTTGTAAATCGCAGAAAAGTTAAAAAAAATTTCGTCCACGTTTCAGCCCGCAATTCTGAATCGATTTTGAAAATTCAAAAACCGTTCGAAAGATATTGGTTGGGAATCGACCTGATTAGTTTTTGGTAGAGATCGGCCAGGTTTTCTTGTAATAAGGTGTTAAAAATTTTTTTTGTCGATTTTTATTATTATTTTTTTGACGGTAGATACCATAGTCTTTTAGATCATACTAAAATATTACGGCCCTACGACAACTCGTTTAGCTTTAAAAAATCGTCAAAGTTTGCAAAAATTAGTATGGTTTTTTTGGCATTTGTCAAAATTAGAACTTTCATCGACGTTTGCTAAAAAACGCCTCAACCGATTTCAAAAATTTAAAAACCATTTGATGTATCTCGATGAGGATCATCGTTTCTCAGTTTTGTGCGACGATCGGCCGAGCCGTTTCTTTGTAATTTGATAAAAAGTGTTAAACTTTTCGTCCACATTTAAGCTTATTTTACCGAATCGATTATAAAAAATCAAAAACTGTTCGAAAGATATTAGTTGGGACTGGTACTGATTACTTTTAGGTGAAAATCTACCGAGCCGTTTTCTTGTAATTAAGTGTTGAAACAAAAATTCAAGCCGATTTTTATGGAACTTTTTTTGGCGATATATATCATGGTCTTATATAACTTATTGAAATATTACGCCCTTACGACAAGTAGTTTAATTTTAAAAATTCACACATATCGGGAAGTTCATGTAACTTGCCTCAAGGCTAAATACCAAACCAACTAGTTTTTAAATGTGGCATTAAAAATACACACAACCTTAAATTTTCACTTTTTTCATCATCAACCCCTATTTTTTTTATAGCCATTTTCATTTTTTAGATTACATTCAGTGATTGAATATTTTTCACATAAATTTAGATCAGATTTTTTTTGAGTTTAATATTATATTTCTTCCAGGTGGTCGGACATAAGTAACGTTATCAATAACAAGAGAACTTTTACAATAGAGTGTTCAGAAGATGAGAAAATGGTAAACTTTAATTTTAATAATGCTGAATATGCTAAATATGTTTGGAAACTGTGCGTTCTGCAACATACGTTTTATATGAAGTATGAACAAAATGGAACTTTTAAAAGTCCGGAGGATATAAGCAGAAATTTATTTGTTAATAGTGTTGAAGTAAGTATATATAGAAATACTATAGTGGTACCCGGACATACGAGTTTAATTTGTTTTCTAACTACTCGTAAGTCGAGATACCACTGTATTATTGATAAATGTGAATATTCTATTTTTAATGCAATGTTTTTGAATCTGCAGGATTATGTGAGTTCCGAAACTGCTGACAGTGCCTTAAGCAAACAGTTAGGATCTAGTGTCTCGTTAAATGCCAATACTCAATCTACGTCATGTTTGGATTTAAGTGTGGTTCCTGAAGCAAATCGAGCAAGGTATATAAATTTTTTTATTGCTAAATGTCTCTACTAAAAGATTACAAAATCGGAAATATTTTGATTACTTAAATCATGTTCCAATTCCTTCTGAACATTTTGGCATACCTTCGAAAAAATGGATTTGTGTGTGTGTGTATGTGTGGATACAATTTTTTGTCCACCACGGATCACCCGATTTGAATGATTAAAAAAAACATTAGATTCCTATTGATAGGAAGCCGTACTGATTAGTTTTTGGCAAAGGCAGATCCACCCGTTCCTAAGATACAGGACAAAAAGTGCAAAAATAGCATTTTTTAGGAGAACGGAGCATCCGATTAGAATGATTCAATAAACATTTTGCTTTCGTTGACGGTGCGAAGAAATGATTAGTTTTTGTGGAAGGCAGGTTCAGTAATTGCAAGTTTACAAAAAAAAAAAAATTAAAAAATTACAAAAAAATCTAAAATTACAGAAAGTTCAAAACTACAAAAAAATCAAAATTCCAAAGAAATACAAAAATATCAAAATTTAAAAAAAAATCCAAAATTACAAAAAGAACTAAAACTAAAAAAAAGTTCAAACTTACAAAATTCCAAAAATACAAAAAAATCCAAAATTCCCAAATTACAAAAATATTCCAAAATTAGATAATTACAAAAATACCATAATTCCAAAGAAATTCCAAAATTACAAAATAATTTGAAAATTACAGAAAAATTTCAAAATTACAGAAAAATTTGAAAATCACAGAAAAATTTGAAAATTACAGAAAAATTTGAAAATTACAAAAAAAAATTCAAAATTACAAGAACATCCAAAATTACAAAAAAACTAAAACTACAAAAAGTTCAAACTTACAAAATTTCAAAGTTACAAAAAAATTCCAAAATTCTCAAATTACAAAAATATTCCAAAATTAGATAATTACAAAAATACCATAATTCCAAAGAAACTCCAAAATTACAAAATAATTTGAAAATTACAAAAAAAATTGAAAATTACAGAAAAATTTGAAAATTACAAAAAAGTTTGAAAATTACAAAAAAAAATTCAAAATTACAAAAAAAATCAAAAATACAAAAAAACTAAAACTACAAAAAGTTCAAACTTACAAAATTCCAAAATTACAAAAAAATTCCAAAATTCCCAAATTACAAAAATATTCCAGAATTAGATAATTACAAAAATACCATAATTCCAAAGAAATTTCAAAATTACAAAATAATTTGAAAATTACAGAAAGAATTGAAAATTACAAAAAAATTCAAAATTACAAAAAAAAAATCAATTTTACAAAAAAATTCAAATTTACAAAAAATATTCAAAATTACAAAAAAAATCAAAAATATCGCAAAAGATTAAAAACGGATTTGATTAAATTTTTAAAAAATATACAGTTTTTCTACAAATTTCAGGAATTTTAATATGCACTTATATACTTGAAATAAATAATTTGCAACTTTGCAATTCAGTTTTGAAATTCATAAAAATATAAAATAAATTCGATTAGGTTTTGTTTAAATATGTTTATTGGTTTTGTAAACATACATTAAGGTCGTCGCCCAAATATAAGCACTTAGAACTATAAAATACAAATGATGAATTTTACAGTACTTAATAATTATTTTAAAATATTGAAAATGTTTATTAACTTCAAAATCGAAATTGAAAATTTTTACATTTCTCGACGTGTTGAAAGTTTCTGAACATTTTGGCATACCTCAGAAAAAAAAGTTGTGTGTGTGTGAGTGTGTGTGTGTATGTATGGATACAATTTTTCGTCCACGTTTTCAGGCGCACGGATCAACCGATTTGAATGGTTCAAAAAACATTCGATTCCTATTGATAGGGAAATGAGCTGATTAGTTTTTGGCAAAGGCGGTCTAGCAGTTACGGAGATAAAGAGCAAAGAGTGCAGCAAATAGAAATCGAGTTTTTGAGAGAACGGAGCATCCGATTTGAATGATTCCAAATACTTTCTGCTTGTTTTAACGTAATAACTGATTCTGGAAAAAAAATTGCATCAACATTTTTTTTTTATTTTTTTCCCCAAAAAAATTTTTTTTGTATATCGAAAATAATTCAGATTTTTATTTTAATTCTGTTCTAATATACTTCAAATAAATAATTTCAACTTTCCAATTTAGTTTATATAATTCTTATAAATATTAGACAATGTTACAATATTTATAATAATCTATTTTAAAACATTTAATATTCCTCGAACATTTCGTTACGGTACGGGAAGTTCCAGCAATTTGCCTTAAGGCACGATGCCATACACCCCACTAGTTTAATATTGATTTGTCTTTTGTTTCTCGTATATTGAATTATATGGTACGGGAAGTTCCAGCAATTTGCCTTAAGGCACAGTAGACTACAATTATCAATTCCTACAATCTATTTTCAGAGAATTACTAACACAATATCAGCTGCCATCAAATTCAACATTATCAGAACTAGTTTACGGAAGTCAACCTGATATTCATCAGCACAATCCTGACATACAAAACAGTGTTATGAAAGCAAATGCTTTATCAGCAAACGAAACCTATTTCAATTCTTCTCAAAGATATCCTGATGTTACCCACAATACTGGTCAATATGAAAATCAGTTGGTTCAAAATGCAAGTCAGAAGAACTTATATGAAGCCCATAACACGAGTCAAAGGAATCTTTATGAGAATCAATTTGAGGCTGCACCTTCTTGCGCAGTTGGCATGAAAAAGGTCTCGTGGAGGAGCGAACTCGATGAAAAAGGTAATAATAACATTATTATTAAACTACTAGCTGACCAGGCAAACGTTGTTTTGCTAAGTAAGGTATATTCTAAACCTTACCTATCTAGACCTTTATACCCTATAGGCGGGGTAACATGAAACGGGCAGGTGGCAAAAGGGTTTAAAGCCTTATTATTTTAAACGTATTTTACAAAATAATTACATTTTTAACTTATGCTAAAAAACTACCAACGGAAGATAATACTATTATTATAGATTTTCAAAGATTACCGTTTATCTCCCCCATTTCAAAGATTACCGTTTTCAAATCAAGGTTATAGCTGGTTATACATCTTTTTCCCTCTACTTTCAAATATTGTTGTTAAACAATGCTTAACTTTACTGATTTTTGACACATTGGTGGTGGACCTTTTTAACTCCGGACCTTCAAATATTACTATCTATTTTTCGATAAATTCTGGGAAATTATAACTGGGAAAATGTTATTCAACAAAATGTCCTTTTGATCGATACCAAATTTAGGTTCTGAATTTAAATAACATAAATAAAAAATAATATAATCTAGAAAATGTTTTATAAATACCAATGAGTATATAATTATACAAATGAGATCTTTCAGAGCACCGTTTGAGAAATATCTGCAAAAAGTGCATTTTCATATTAACATTTCAAAAAAGTTGATATTTTGAGTCTCTAGTAACACTTGCGGCCCGTTTACTAACGTTTTTGTATATAAATAGAACTACAAACAAATCTACTTACTACAATTCAATCATAATTAAATAATAGTCACGTGAAACATCCTATTAAACGTAATTGAGCATCATCCGTCAAAAGCGTTTGCCATTTCACCTATTAGCCACCGTCCATTGTTTTATTTAAATTACGCTTTTACAAAAAAATTCAAACTAAAAATGTAAAGTTTCTACGCGATTTTAAAATATTATCTCACCTTTCCGACCATCTTTGGATTGGCACGAATTTTTCAAGACTAAGACTGGCCAAATCGGTTTAGCCGTTTTCGAGTTTTACCGAATCATTTGATCGAGAGCTCCATTTTTATATATAAGATGATTTTATTTTGATGTTGTATTTTATTTTCAGCTTATCCGTCAGCAGCAGTTAATTATGGTTCAGATACCATTCACCAAATGGATAATTTGATTCATGGGAGTGGTGTGAATTTTTTGCACTTTTACAAACCACCGACAACTTTACCACCGCCTTATCCGACGAATAGACCACCGTATCTTATGAATAAACCGCCTTATTTAACTAATTCTACGCCGGACTTGGCATCCCAGCGAGTGAATGCACCACTGCATTTTGTGAATCATGTAAGTTTATTATAATTGTATTAAATAAAATAATTTGTATATTAACACGTTCGCGGACGGTAACGGATTGAACAAGGTAAAAGAAAATGTCAGTAATTTTATTTTTAAATTGGTTGTGATGTCCGAATTTTGTATAAAAACCGTTTATAAGGATAGCCAGATTATTATATTTTAATCGTTATGTACTATAAATGCTATAGCATCCACGTCTACTATTACGCTTCTATTTCAAGCAATTTGCTTGCCCAAGGGAAAAAGATAAGATAATAGGAAAATACCTAAGAATCAATTAGTCATCACTTGTCGTAAGGCCGTCATATTTCAGTAAGTTCTATAAGACCATGATATACATCACCAAAGGAAGTTTCATAAAAATCGGCTTAATTTTTTTTTCAACAGTTAATTTCAAGAAAACGGTTCGGTATATTTTCACCTAAAACTAATCAGTATCATTCCCAACTTATATCTTTCGAACAGTTCTTGATTTTTTAAAATCGGTTCGGTAGTATGAGCTTAAATGTGGACGAAAGGTTTAACGCTTTTTTCCAAATTACAAAGAAACGGCTCGGCCGATCGTCGCACAAAACTGACAAACTCATTGAGATACATCGAATGGCTTTTAAATTTCTGAAATCGGTTCAGGCGTTTTTGAGCAAACGTCGATGAAAGGTCTAATTTTGAGAAATGCCAAAAAAACGATACCAATTTTTGCAAACTTTGACGAATTTTTAAAGCTAAACGAGTTGTCGTAGGGCGGTGATATTTTAGCATGATCTAGAACAGAAATGCCGCCTGAAATATATAACCAGGTTCTGGGGGAGAAGAATTATAATCAAATTTATCTTTTAAACATTTTCATTAACTAGTGGGGTGCATGGCATCGTGCCTTAATTCAAATTGCTAGAACTTCCCATACTGAAATTAAAAATCTTGGTACTGAACCCAAAAAAAGTTACACAAAATATGTACACAGTATTAAAATCTCTATAAAATATCTGATAATTTGATGTACATAAGTCCAATGGGTGTAAAAATACTACAATGTTTGTAAGCAATACTACAATGGGTGTAAAATTACTACAATGTTTGTAAAAATACTACAATGGGTGTGAAATTACTACAATGTTTGTAAACAATATTACAATGGGTGTAAAAATACTACAATGGGTGTAAAATTACTACAATGTTTGTAAACAATACTACAATGGGTGTAAAATTACTACAATGTTTGTAAACAATACTACAATGGGTGTAAAATTACTACAATGTTTGTAAACAATACTACAATGGGTGTAAAATTACTACAATGTTTGTAAACAATACTACAATGGGTGTAAAATTACTACAATGTTTGTAAAAATACTACAATGGGTGTAAAATTACTACAATGGGTGTAAAATTACTACAATGGGTGTAAAAATACTACAATGGGCGTAAAATTACTACAATGTTTGTAAAAATACTACAATGGGTGTAAAATTACTTCAATGGGCGTAAAATTACTACAATGGGTGTGAAAATACTACAATGGGTGTAAAATAACTGCAATGGGTGTAAAATTACTACAATGTTTGTAAACAATACTACAATGGGTGTAAAATTACTACAATGTTTGTAAACAATACTACAATGGGTGTAAAATTACTACAATGTTTGTAAACAATACTACAATGGGTGTAAAATTACTACAATGTTTGTAAACAATACTACAATGGGTGTAAAATTATTACAAGGCTTGTAAAAATACTACAATGGGTGTAAAATACTACTATCTTTACACCCATTGTAGTATTGTTTACAAACATTGTAGCAATTTTACACCCATTGTAGTATCTTTACACCCATTGTAGTATTTTTACAAACGCGTGCCAAGCTTGGCACACGTGCCGTAGGTTGCCGATGCCTGATCTAGAAGACTATGGTATCTACCGTCAAAAAAAAATCATAAAAATTGTCGAATTTTTTTTTTAAATTTTATTACAAGAAACCGGCCGATCTTTACCAAAATCTAATCAGCACGATTCCCAACCAATATCTTTCGAACGGTTTTTGAATTTTCAGAATCGTTTCAGAATTGCGGGCTACGTGGACGAAAATTTTTCACTTTTCTGCTATTTATAAAGAAACGGCTTGGGCGATCGTCGCACAAAACTCAGAAACGCTAGTCCTCATTGAGATACATCGAATGGCTTTTAAATTTTTGAAATCGGTCGAACCGTTTTTGAGAAAACGTCGATTTACGGCAAAAAATCTGTTCACATACACGCGCACACACACACACATATACATACTTTTTCCAAATTTGGTTTGATTCAGAATGGCTTGAAACGTCGAGAAAACATAAAATTAGCGAATCGGATTTTTTTATGAAAACATAAACTTCTCCTTCGGGAAGTTAATAATTTCTTATTGATCATGCCGATTTTATATAAATATCGCGATGTTTATGCTACTTGTCTTAATCTAGCTTACTTACATCTAGCTTGTTTAATTTTCTAGGTATCCGGATCAAGTCCTGATCTCGTATCGTCCAGAACAATGCTGAACCACCACCTTTACCTAAATTCCCTGTCAAACCGAAATTATTTATCAAATGCACATGTTGCATACGAGAACCTAAACCGTTTCTCTAAACAATTCGAGAACGAAAATAGATTTCCCAACAAAAACTCCTCAATAACTGAACACATCCAAAAAATCTACGATGACAGGGGTAATGTAATTTATTGCATGCCCCGAGACATTGAAGAGATCGTTGAAAATCAAATCAAAAATGTAAAAATCAGTTCGGGTAATATTTATAACGGGGTACGTGTCGAAGGTGAACCCATTTATGAAAATGTTCCAATGAGGAACGAAATGCGACAAAGGGCTCATAGTATACAATCCATGAGATTCGGGGATAAACCTCAGTTGGTAATAAATGAAGAGGTAATGAACCATGCTGGTAAAATATCATCCGCAATGCGACTTAGTTCCAATTCGGTGAACAAGGAATTAAATATTAAACCACATAATCTTACACCGAGTCATAATGTGAGTGATTCAAATTTGTATGACCAACTTGCTATGGAACTTAGTCAACAACGTGCTCCAGTGGTATCATCTAATCCAACAACTGATATGCACCAGTTTGCTGCAGAGTTAGCGAAACAACAAAACTATAAAACATCAAACAATATCAGCGATTTAAATCTTCACGATAGGATAAACCTGGAGGTCAACAAGCAGTTGCACATGTCTGCCCAAAATCTGCACGAGTATAATAAAAAGTTATCTAGTCTTAAACCTGATGATCACCTGTCTAACTTTATCAAACCTAACAGAAGGGACAGTGCAAACCTGAAAACGTTCCAAAAGGACGAACTTTCTAATATCAAACTAAACGAGGGCTTGAATCTTAAAATCAGCGATGAACTTTCAAATCTAAATATATCCAATGGTACAAGGTTGAACAAAATTCAAAGTCTGATGGAACTGCCAGTTATGCACAAGGATAATATAAAAGTAACTAAAGCTGAGAGTTTTAACGATAAAGAAAATTTGTTAATGGGTTTGTCCTTGGAGAAAGAAAAATCATCATCACTATTGTTAAACAGATCTATATCACACATAGAAAGTAAATCGATGAATTCATCAAAATCACAATCGTTATTCAGTGACGAAAGTATTGTCAGTGATAATTCTAAAACCGACCCCAACACTGGTAAAAAGAAAAAATTGCGATGGGGTTTGTTAGGAGCTCGTGGGAAAACGACTGACAAAATCAAGGTAATACATTGAATACATATTAGATTTTAATTATACTATTCTTAAATTTTTGTCTAATTTTAGAGTGCTACCTTAGGTCGCGAGAAAAAAGATGGTTCCAAGCAGTTGTTTTCAAAAGACACTTTTAACACGAGAGATTTTGTTTCGAAGTCCGCAAATAATTCTAAAGATGAAAGTTCGAAACAACGTTGGTCCACTGGGTTGCCACCAACGATCAGCAAAGAAGCTTTGGTAAGATTAATTATCTTATATATAAAAATGGAGCTCTCGATCAAATGATTCGGTAAAACTCGAAAACGGCTAAATCGATTTGGCCAGTCTTAGTCTTGAAAAATTTGTGCTAATCAGTAGGTTGTCGGAAAGTTGAGATATTATTTCAAAATCGTATAGAAACTTTACATTTTTAATTTGAAAATTTTTGTAGAAGCGTAATTTGAATAAAACAATGGACGGTGACCAATCCGTCAAATGTCAAACGGTTTTGACAGATGATGTTTCAATTACGTTTAATAGGATGTTTTACGTGAATATTATTTAATTATGATTAAATTGTAGTAAGTAGTTTTGTTTGTAGTTTTATTTATATACAAAAACTGGTTTAGTAAACGGGCCGCAAGTGTTACTAGAGAGACTCAAAATATCAACTTTTTTTAAATGTTAATATGAAAATGCACTTTTTGGTATATTTTTCTCAAACACGGTGCTCTGATAGATCTCATTTTTATAATTATATACTTATAGGATAAGGTTGCATTGTATAGGATTGATATTTATAAAACATTTTCTAGGTTATATTATTTTTTATTTATGTTATTTAAATTCAGAACCTTTTAAAGACTTCCTCGATTTTCAATACTAAAGTACATTAGCTCAATAGTGATGCAATGCTTAAGGAGTATACGAATCAAATGGCGAATTACAATTGTTTTTGGATATGAAATAATAATTATAATCCTTTCGGCATTTTGGTAATTAGGAATAATATCTTTTGCAGAATCTTGCGTTTTACTTTTCATATTCAAAAAAAGAAAATGTGGACAAATTTTAATTGCAGTTTTAACATGCAAAATAATATAGATTTAATATAATTTTTTAGTAAGCCCTGAGAAATTTTCGATTTTGAAAAAAAAAACGCAAATCAAATTATGATAAATTCTTTTTTTTGGAAGTACGTATGTGCGCAAACAATTACACAGGTCCACAAAAGAAAAGTCGCTGAATAATAATTAATTCATTCAGAAAAAAATCTAGATTGAAGATTGTGCCAGTTTTTAAATGTTTTTCAATATTTTGTGCCCCAATTTTGACTATAGATTTATCTTCAGCGGTAAAAGGTACATTGTCGCACACCCAATCCAGATTTTTAAATCTTGTTCTTTATTTTAATTTTTTTATGCGAAATGGAAAACTACAGATAACTCCAAATTTTTATTATTTTATAATAAACATTTTAGTAGTCCAATCATTTTTTATATAGCTCGGTAATCGATCAATTAACTATTATCGCCTTTTTTGTGAACGTTTTTAATTGAAATTTGATCAAGATTTTTCTGATCTTATAAAAAAGCTTAAATTTATCCGCTCTATCCGTTGCAACATTTTAAAAATGGCTCCAAATTTTAAAAATGATTTGCAGGCTTATCCCATTGTGCAAATATTTCTCAATGTGCATAAGAAGTACATAGTTTTTGAATGTCTTACAAAAGGAGTTATTTCAGCAAAAAATTAGAAATTTAATTTTAAAATCAGGAGATAAAACTGTTTTTGAGAGAAAACTAGATTTTTTTTCAGAGTATAACATAATTACGATATGGATGTTAGTATTTTAGCTTTGCAGTGGGTAAATTATCCAATATTTATTAGTATTTTAGCGTTTGCAGTGGGTAAAGTTATATTAATTAAACTTAATAATATTTATACATTCGGGATTAGTTAGTCATTTCTAATACCAATGATTTTCTAAAAATATTATCCGTAGCTAAACGTTCGCCGGGTCAGCTATAATATATATAAATTACGTTCGGCCCGCCAAAAAATTTGAAAATTTAAATTGGCCCGTGGGTTAAAAAGGTTGCTCGCCCTTGCTCTAGAAGTCTATGATTCCCACTCTTAATTATACTTTCGTCCTAATCGACGAAGGACTTTTATAACGAAAGTATGTACGTGAGCTAGTTTTCCTAATATTACATCTTTTTCAATTAGTGTCAACTACTGGAAATAAAATTGGCTGATACTAAGTTAGCTTTCGAGTTTGAGCAAATACCGAACGAGATAAAAAGTGCTTCAAAATCAGTATCGAGAACCGAGAGTCTTTCCAGAACAGAAATCAGTTCTAGATTGGGAGCTGAAGCGCCTTTGACAAGATTGGAATCTGCTTCAAAGAATTTCTTCGAATACTTTCCATATGAGGAGAACCGGGTCAGGATAACTCCTAACAAGGATAATCGGACTGGTTTTGTCAATGCTTCACATATAACGGTAAAAATTAAATTATGAATAACAGACAAATGTTATTGCAAGGTAATGTTATGATCCAATTTCCACACATTATGCTACTGAATCGTAATGAATACTGTCAAAATGTTATATATTTGCTGTGCATTCAGGCGTTTTACACATAAACTGCAACGTCACTTCACTCTAGGGAATGCAATACCGGTTTATCGGTATACCGAATTACCGGTAAACCGCCCGATTTTTCGGCGGTATTTTTACCGGTATTCACCCCAAAAATACTGATATTTTCGGTATTTTTACATAAGCGCTATTTGATACATAATACACTAAAGTTTAAATTTCTCGGAACAAATTTATCTTTAAATTCCATAATCTCATAAACAGCTATATCTTCAAGTGATTCTATAAGATAAACAAATGTCAAATATTATCTCAACTCGTCATTAAATTGAATATTTATTGCTTTACCAAAGGCTTCATATCGTGTTACAGTAAATAGAATTGGACTGATAGATAATGATGTTTGTTTACATATTAAAAAAATGTTACGATTTTTAAGTGATATTTGCACCAAAATATTTTATATCATACATATTACCCCTGCGTAATCCAAATTTTTTTCTAACTTTAAACATAATAATTATGATAATTACCAAATATGTTTGATTCTTATTATAATTGTAAAATATTATTTTTCGAAAACGTTTCGAAGTTTGAAAATACTATAGAAGCATCACATTGTTTTAAATAACAATACTCAACAATGATAGTAACTTACTATTTATCTCGACAAAATATCCGATCTTAAATTAGTGTAGAAAAATATTTTTTTAAATATTGGAGATTATGCTAATTTAACACATAAGTTTGTTTTTGGTGAAAAGTACTCATTATACTCGATAATGATAATAAATTAATTAAATTGGATATACTTTTGTTGAATTATTATTTAAAAAAATAAATTTGTTTTATTTTATGTTTTTATTGTTTAGTTGAATATAGTTGTAGTTGTATATACATTTTTTATATTTGTACTAGTAACTTTCAATTTTGTTCACGTTTGTTTAAGATAATAAAAATACCGGTAATTTACCGGTATTCCGGCTTTAAAATAAAAAATTACCGAAATACCGGTATTGAAATTTTCCATCGGTATTGCATTCCCTAGTCACTCGTAAGTTATGAAGCTAGATCAGAAAAACCCTGTTATCTAAGATCGTTTTTTTTGACGTTAGTGCGGTTTCTCGGTTAGGTTTTCTATCTGACAAGCTAAGAAAGACGCCTGACTGCACAACAACCATATGGTTTTTGTCAAATTTAATACGAAAAGTTTTTCATAACATAGCCTTGCCATAACATTGGTCTGTTATGCGGTACAATTAGGATTTATACAAAAACCGACATTTCAGGAAACCGGTTTTCGAATTTTAATTTCACTAAAAAACCGGTTTTAACCGGTTTTCGAATTTTATATAGAAAATAAATTTTTGCTCGAATATTCTGTAATTTATCCGCAAAATCAGTGTAATTTAGACCAGTATTTGACTGAATTTATTTATTGTTCAATTTTATAGATAGTAAACAAAATTATTTTAATTTTAATTAGTAGAACTAAAAAATAATAGTATATATTGATTAAATAACTTTGAAAATAATTATTTATGCATCATTTTCACATGTAAGAGTGAAAATATTTTTATGATAGTGAAAGGAAAATTTTCGAATAAATAAAAATAATACATTTTTAAATAAAAAAAATTCAATATTTTAAAAAATAAAAGTAAAATAATATTAGATACATGTTGATACATGCTTGTTAATATCAATTTTTATTTTTAAAAACAATTAAACTAAACTTGGGTATTGTCTGTTCCGAGAAATTTTAATTAATAAATTTTAAACATTCTAATTGTTTTTGTTTAATGAAATGATTTCAAAAAACTGAGAACGTCTATCGAATTGGTACTTATTGTTAGATGTGTCCTTTGTTTACTCATAAAATTTCCTGAAATAGAAAATACTCTCGTACTAGCGACCAAATTATGCTTAATTATTTTTAAAGCCTGATATAATAATTCTAAATTTTTTTTCTTTAATTTGTGGCTTCTAGGGTTTAAAACTTTTTTTTTAAGTCTGGGTAGTGGAAGTTACTTCTTCAAGAAGAAGTCACACTGATTTAAATTAATATATACACTGCTATAAAAATCTAAATTAATATATACAAAATATTTCTGGGAACCATTGCAGACTGATAAGGTGTCAAATGCTATTGAACCGATATGATTTCAAGAATCAAAAGGCTTTCATCTATCTTTTATATTTGGCTATATTTATCATTTCCCATTTATACAGTGAAAACCGGGTTTTTCTACTGAAAAACCGATTTTCGAATTCCATAATTTTCGTCAAAAAACGGTTTTTAAAACCGGTTTTTGAATACCGACAAACCCTAGGCACAATAGGTCCCCATGTCTACAAATCTACAAGTGTTTTTTTTTACTTTTTAGGCATCAATTGGTGCCAAACAAGTGTTCTACATCTGCGCCGAAAGCCCTTCAGAAAAAACCATTGGATACTTTTTGCAGTGCATCTGGGAAGCCGATGTCTATTTAGTTGTCGAACTTCCGAATTCCACGGAAAATTTTAACTATCTGCCTTTGAATAGTGATAGGTGTCAAGAATATGGACAAGTAAGTTAAACTCAGTTACTTATATAAATATAGCACAATTGTTTTAATTTTAACTTGGTTGTTTCTATTTTTAGTACCAAGTTTGGAAAGAATACTCACAGGATAACAGTCAATGTGTCACCAGCAAATTGAGGTTGTATCAATTGAATTCTCGAAGTTATAGATCTGTTTGGCATTTGCAGTATGCTAAGTGGTCCAATGAAGGATTGCCGCAGGATGTTGGACACTTTTTAGGTATTAAATTCGGAACTAAATTTAACTAGTTGGTATTAGTATTTTGCCTTGAGGCAAGTTACATGAACTTCCCGAAATGTATAAATAATCGATTTAATTATTAAACAATAAATTAACTTATGAGCGATTAAAAGTATTCCGAGTGGATTTATTACACATAATGATCACGTTAACTCGGAGTATTTTCTAAAAGCGAATTTTCAAAAATCAACAATTTTTATAATTGAACCGGTTTCCGTAGTACTTTAATGATTTAGTATGTTCATTAAGACCAAATACTCTATTGTTATACCAAGTAAATCGTCTAATTTTAATTTTAACAAACGTCAAAAAACTACACATTTTCTCAAACTTTGATGAATTTTTGAAATTAAACTACTTGTCGTAAGGCCGTAATATTTCAGTAAGTTCTATAAGGCTATGATATATATCGCCAAAAAAGTTCCATAAAAATCGGCTTAAATTTCTTTTTCAACAGTTAATTGCAAGAAAACGGTTCGGTAGATTTTCCCCTAAAACTAATCAGCATCATTCCCAACTAATGTCTTTCGAACAGTTTTTGATTTTTCAAAATCGATTCGGTAGTATGAGCTTAAATGTGGACCACTTTTTTCCAAATTACAAAGAAACAGCTTGGCAGATCGTCGCACAAAACTCACGAACGATAGTCCTCATTGAGATACATCAAATGGCTTTTAAATTTCTGAAATCGGTTCAGGCGTTTTTGAGAAAACGTCGATCAAAGGTCTAATTTTGACAAATGCCAAAAAAACGATACTAATTTTTGCAAACTTTGACGAATTTTCAAAATTAAACGACTTGTCGTAGGACCGTAATATTTTAGTATGATCTATAAGACTATGGTATCTACCGTCAAAAAATAATAATAAAAATTGTCGATTTTTTTTTTAACACTTTATTACAAGAAAACGGCCCGGCCGATCTCAACCAAAAACTAATCAGCACGATTCCCAACCAATATCTATCGAACAGTTTTTGAATTTTCAAAATCGATTCAGAATTGCGGGCTAAAACGTGGACGAAAATTTTTTTCACTTTTCTGCTATTTATAAGGGGGAAAAAACGTCGATTTACGCCAAAAAATCTGTTCACACACACACATACATACTTTTCCCAAATGTTGGTCTCATTCAATTCAGAATGGCTTGAAACGTCGAGAAAACATAAAATTAGCAAATCGGATTTTTTGATGACAGCAAACTTCTCCTTCGGAAAGTTAAAAAAACGCAAAACGAAACGACGCAATTCTGAAGCGTTTTCGGCATAATGACTATTATTAATTAGTGACATCACAAAATTATTTTTTCAGGATTTTTGGAAGAACTGTGTTCAGTCAGGCAGCAAAGCATTTTGGAAGTCCCTATAGGGCACAATCGTAATCCACCTGTGATGATACATTGTCCGAGTGGAGGATTGCGATCAGGACTTACCATGGCAAGTCATTTACTCCTACATACTGTGGACCATAACCAGGTAAGATTTAAATGATTCTTTTATATCTACATATATATAAAAATAAGTCGGGTTTTCCTTCCTGACGAAATAACTCCAGAACGCACGAACCGACTTCGACAATTTTGCATTCGTTGGAAAGGTCTCGGGCTCCGCAAGGTTTATAGCTAAGAAAATTAGTTGTGCATGGCATCGTGCCATTCAGAAAATCATTGTTTTTCACATGGGCAGTTACACGTTGCCTGCTCACGAGCGAAAACCATCCGCTTTGTTTGTGTTAACGTCAGACCATAAAACAAAAAATGTGGTTTGCACTTCAATGAAACGGATAATTTGCGGATTCATTTTCATTTACTTAGAGAAGTTCAACTAAAAAACACTTCATTTTTGTAATCGAAATAAATTCATTACTGCTGTGCAATAAAATTATTTTTTTCCTTTTCAAATATAAAACAAACAAAAAATTTCTTTATCTTTCTCACGAAACCATCTGGTGGCGAAACGGTGTTCGTCGGGTTTGCTAGTTAAATTATAATTATTGATCATAATTGTAAAGACGTTGCTTAAAAGTTTTTGAAAGTTCATCCTCACTTGCTGATATCGTTGTTTACTAAAACAAAGGGGTAAAACAATGTAACAACTAAAAAATATATTTTTTTGTAATTTTTTTTATGAAAAAAAAAGTTAATGAATTTTTTATAATGAAGAGAGATCATCAGCGTGAATTTAAATAACAAAATAGAAAGTTATTTAAAAACGATAGTTCCAGGCATTTTTATGAGGCTTGTAGAATTTGAGATTTGTGAAAAAATTGTGCACTAGACAAATACATGGAGGATATGAAAAAAAAAGATTTTTGTGTGATTAGCAAGTATTTGAATTACGTTGTAAATTTTCATCAACAAGTAATAAATAATGATTAAATTTGCATATTGAAAATTATTTTAAAGATTACAAAGAAGTGTAAGAAATTCGTATGAAAGTAATTTCCACTTTTAGAGTTGTGGTGCGTGTCATTTAAAAAAAAATGTATTTTGAGCATTTAAAGTTTTGAAATACGTATAGACATATAACTTGAGTACTGTTTGGATTTTTTAAATTTAAATTTTATATTTATTCTTTGTAGGAACTCGATATACCCAGAGTTATCGGACTACTTAGACAACAACGTGCAAATTTGTTGCCCACCTTAGAACAATATAAGTTTTTATATAAAGTCATAATACACTACTTACAGCAAACCAGACTTATTTAAGGAAAAACATTATTATTTTTAAAAATTGTACATACTAATGAAAACATATATTTTATTTTGAGGTAAGCATAAAATGTATAATATTTTTGTTTACGATCTGATGAGAATTATATATTTATTTCACGTTTTAATTTAGTTTATAAGATAGAAATAATTTTATCTACATACATGGCTATTAAATTTGGAAGAATTTTTATTATAAAAAAGTGATTGAGGTGAAGAAGTATTATGGTAAAAGTATTTTTATTTAAAAATTTGTATATATATTTTTTAACAGATTTTAACTATTTTATTAATAAAAATTTAAATAATTTGCATGTTATTGCAATTTTGGATAAAATTTTGTATATTACATATAAGCCCATCGATGAATAGGAAAAATGAAGTCGATTTAGAAATTTAGTCTAAACTTATCATCAAAGCTTTACTAAAACTTTTAATAATAACACCAGATAAAAAACGAATTTGAAAGTATTATGAAGATTTGAAAAGTATTTCATTTTTAAAAAAAAATTATCTCGTCTATACAAATTTTAATTATTTTATTATAATTTTTATAAACAAAAACGTAATAAATTTGTTTTGCAAGTACATTTTATCTAAAATGCAAGTGCATTTATGCAGCTTTACTTAAAGTTTTCATATTAACTCCAGATAAAAAACGAATTTGAAAGTATTATGAAAAATTAAAAAGTGCTCTACACAAAAATTAATCTACAAAGATTTTAACTGTATTATTATAAACTTGTTCACAAAAACAATAAATTTGAGTTGTAAGTGCATTTTTACTAGAATGCAAGTGCATTTTCAATAAAATGCAAGTGCATTTTTACTAACGTGCAAGTGCATTTTTACTAACGTGCAAGTGCATTTTTATTAAAGTGCAAGTGCATTTTTATTAAAGTGCAAGTGCATTTTTATTAAAGTGCAAGTACATTTTTTAACAACATGCACATGCACTTTTACCAAAAATGCAAGTGCACTTTTACCAAAAATGCAAGTGCATTTTTAACAAAATGCAAGTGCGTTTTTGTTAAATTGCAAGTGTAATTTTAGCTTTACTAAAACTTTTATAATAACCGTAGATAAAAAAGGAATTTGAAAAAAGTATTATGAAAAATTAATAAGTATTTCAGTTTAAAAAGTGTTCTACACAAAAAATATCATATAAAGATTTTAATTATATCATTCTAGATCTTATTCACAAAAACGTAATAAATTTGCATTGCGAATGCTTTTTTTTGTAAAAATGATTGTATTTGTATATAAAATATCGATGGATAGTAAAAACTAAGTCATCAAATAGAATTTTAAAGTATTATGAAAAATCAATAAGTATTTCAATTCAAATAGTATTCTGCTAATTCAAAAAATATTTAAATATATTATTATACAATTTTATACATAAATAATATATGACGTGCGTTGCAATTGCATTTTTAGGTAAAATTTGGTATCAATGAATAGGAAAAATTGAGTCGATTTTAGCCTAAAGTTATTAATATAACCTTCACTAGAACTTTTTATAACACTAAAAAATTTTAATCAGCTAAAACTTGCATGAATTTTTCATCCCTTAAAATTTGTTTGATTATGATCTAAAGCAAAAAAGCGTTTATCTAATATTTCTTGAGCGTTTTCCAAAACAAGAATTTTTTAAATTTTTGTTCAAAATAATTGAATATTTAATAAATCTAAATTTGAGATATAATTATATTGTGCCTTGATACTTAAGTTTTAAATTACTTTACAATTACAATAAATTCTAGCAAATTCGTATATACTGCTTTTTATCTCTTACCTAATTTTATATTATCCAATTAGTCAGAAAAGTAGAAAAAAGGATTTTAATATTTATTTTTTAAACAGGAATTAAAATAATTCTATAAAAAGTATGTACTTAAGTGCAAATATAGCGCAGCTATTATTCATAATAATAAAATGACTGCTAATTTTAAACTTACAAGTGTACTTAAACAATATATAAATATAAATAAGTAAAATGCTTAATTAATCAATAAAATGTTAGTCGAAAATTTTTATAATTATTTTAAATAAGCACACGTGAATATAAATGTATACCAATAATTATATTTATATGTTTATATTATATTAGGTGTATTATTTTATAGGTGTATATTATTCAAATGTTTTATCTATAGAATTGCAACATATCAATTAAGTAATAATAAATCATTTATATATTATTTCAATTATGTACATTTTATACCGCAATTATTATAATATAAATATATTATTGTTATTTTATTGAATTTAATGCAATTTTATTACTGTAAGGCGGTATTAATAGAAGACAACCCAGTGGTTGTCCACTGTCTTTGTTATGAGATTAATATAAATATATTAATATATATATATATATATATATATATATATATGTATATGTATATGTATAATTGAAAATAATTAACAGCCCATTTATTTATTACATGTTTCGACACTTAGTGTGTGCCATCATTCAGCAACTTTAAAATACAATTTAATGAATTATAAAGATTTGAAAAATTTATAGTGAGAAAAAATATAAATAACGTTAAAAAAAACTCAAAACACTAAAATTACTTAAATTTTATTTTTTCTATTTTTATCTTTTTTATTTCGACGAATGTGCTGTTAATTAAAAATGTTTCAACGTAAAAAAAAAACTTTCAAAAACTATTTTCAGTTTTTTTAATGAAATCACTTTTCACAGGCTCCCACAAATTATTTGGAGAAGACTATAAACAGTTTACCAATTTTTGGTCAGGATGGACGTCATTTATTTATCAAATTTTTATCAAATACAAATTATTTGGAATACACTAAGAAACAGTTTACGAACTTTTGGTCAGGATGGACGTCAATTATTTATTAAATTTTTATCAAACACACAAATTATTTGGAATACACGAAGAAAAAGTTTACGAACTTTTGATCAGGATGGACGTCATTTTTTAAATTAAATTGCTCTACTCTATTTACCACTCTTTTTTTAATACATTTTTAATATTGATGTGAACAAAAATTGCAGAAATACCGTAAAAGACTATTTTTTTGAACTTGATATCAAATTTGAGGGTGGTAAGTGAAAATTTGATATCATTATTGCTTGATATCAAGCTGGCCAAAGTGATTATCAAATCTGGAACCACAGTCAGCTCTATAAAATTAGTTGATAAGAAATAATAAGTACCAAAGCAAAATTATTCAATTTATTTTCAATACATAATACGAAAATAAAAACAAATTGTGCATCGATATTTGTGGGCCAATTCTCGGATAAAATAGAAATGTTATGTTAGGGGTCTATATTCGATGCACTTGTGATAAAATTGTTATTTGGAGATTAAGATTTATGTATAAAACATACAGCAAATGCATAGTTTTTAAACAGTTTGTTACTACAAACTCATACGAATATAGACCCGTAACAATTTTATCTATTTATTACAATTGACCCATTTGTTCTTCTAGCAAATATTATTTTTTTTTTAGTCGATTTCAGTGATAGTACACGTCGGAGCCACTCTGGGCATAACGTCTTCTTCTTCAATGTTATTTTGATTAGTAGATTTTGGATTTCTGAAAGTATTTCCAGTGAAGGCCATGCAGGATCTGAGGGCCTCTTGAGCGACGTGGGTGTCCTTGTGCGGCCCTGAAGCTACCAAGTGGAATCTGTCCAGGGCCGAACAGAAGAGGGAGATTGCTTTTTGGCCATTTTCTTCCTAGAAGGTGATAATAAAGAAAAAATTCAAAAAAATCTCTAGTAGTATTTTACTTTATGAATATAAACAGAAAATTTAAAGAAGTCTGCAATAACTTTAGGTTATAGGTTAGATATATATATATATATATATATATATATATATATATATATTTGAAAATAATTAACAGCCCATTTATTAATTACATGATTCGACACTTAGTGTGTGCCATCATTCAGCAACTTTAAAATACAATTTAATGAATTATAAAGATTTGAAAAATTTATAGTGAGAAAAAATATACATACCGATAAAAAAAACAAAACCTCAAAGCACTAAAATTAGTTAATTTTTTTTTTCTGATTTTATCTCTTTTAATTAAGTAATTTTGAAATAATTATAATTATTAAAATAGATGTTTATATAAAAGTGTACTTATAATTAAATCAGGGCAAGTTGAATTAAATCGAGAGCTAAATATAGGATCAATAATCTTTATCAATTTATACTAATGCAATAATTAAATTAAAAGTTTTATATGGGAACTAAGCCTTTAAAGAGCAATTAATTTAATGATAAAATAAGCAAGGTATCTAAAGCATTCTAAATCGTAGAAGAGACTTTATATATATAAGTATTTATAATTATTAAATATAAAACATATTATATATTGCGATGTCACACAAATATTCACAAAGACAAATATATATATGTTGTGATATCACAATCGAAAGGCCTTTGAGACTTATCTATATAAATTTAAATATAAACGAAACAAAGGGAGCAACTGTAGTTTTTAATAAGAGAGCTTATATTAAGTTAAGCCTTATATTTGTATCTTGCTGGTATTATAAAATAATGATAGGATTTAATTACGGGTGCAGAACCCTTTAAACAAATATTTTAGTATTAGATCTCGTGATATACATAGTATTTTATGCAACTTTATTCCATTCCTTTCAAATCATTTATTATTATAAGATTACGATTGAACATGCGCATATCAAAAATGAAATAATAAATATGTTAATGAATAAATATTTTTATTTATACATCGAATTATGTAACCTTTTGTTTGGTGTTTTTGATTTCAGACAGAATTATTTATCCAGAACCGTATAAATTATTCCACTTCACGTATTGGTCTAAGTCCATGTCTGATATACTAGCTCGAACTCGTTTCAAAGCAGTCTCAAAATCTTGGAATGTTATTGGACAAAGCTGTAAAAAAACTAGGTTCAGTAACATTTTCCTCAAGGTAAGTTGCATCAAGTATTAGCAATTTTATTACTAATGTTTTAATCCAGCGGAATTAAAATGAAGACTCTTACGAGTCGTATATCATACGAAGACTCGTATATCATATTTTTAAGCATCATGTAAAGTGAATTGCAAAGTTAAGTCAAGTGGATAAGTGAATTAAAATTCAAGTCTTGCCTTTGCCAAAACCTAGACATTTCTTTACACTATCAATACATTTTTTTCTAAAGTATGCCAAAATGTTCAGAAACCTTCAAAACGTAAAGATACTCAAAAGTTTCATTTTCAATTACTATAACTTACCTTCGGAAATTTAACTGCTTTGTTGAGAAGTGGTTCAGAATCTTCATCAGTATTTTCATATACTTATTAGAATTAATCAATTATTACTAATTTTGCTCAATTCAATGCCCTTCATCTTGTTTTGAATGAACCTTTGCAGCATCGCTTTATTTGCCTTGCTTGCCACACCTCATAATTGGATACCGTAGGTTCAGATAAGCTTGATTATAGTTTTCTATTTCATTATCTGTAGAGATCTCTATATTAAAGAGAAGAGAAAATAATTTTATGTATACAAACTTGTGTAAAACACAATAAGTTAAAAGATTTATTTCATATTTAGCATATAAACAAACAACCAGATAACCTCACAAACACTAAAACTTGTAATGTTTTGGATTAGCGACAAATTAATTAATTTTGAAATTTTCTACAATAATTTATACGTGAGAATATAAACTTTCTTTAGGCTTTAAGCGCGTGTAACAAAGTGAAAACAAAAAAAAAGCGCTTATGACGCAAGTGTTATTTTGACATTTGTGCTTTTTAGAGGTTAGGTTTTAAAATTAAAACTTTTAATCGCACAGCAAAAATCTAGTTTTTTGACAATTTTCGACTACCAATAGATATAATAATAGACCTGTAACATAGCATTCTAATTTATCCCAGAATTGGCCCCTTAATTCTTTTGATCCCTATGTTTAATCGATATACTGGTCGATGTAATTTTTGATTACTGAAGGAATAGAGCTTACTGAATTATGTATTTAATGTTATTGTTAGCATATTTATTATGTCAAACACAGTTATTCACTTATGCAGTTTGATTTAAATCGAAATTTGAAGCCGGATTATGTTTTCCGTACGGCTTTTTTTTGACAGCATCCTGGTCCGCCATATTGAAAGTCCGCAGGTATAAAAGGAGTAGCTGATCAGAACGCTGCTCATTCGTGCGTCAGATTCCGAACAGTAAACAGTGAAATGAATAGTGAATAGTAAATAGTGAATAGTAAAGTGAAATGTTCAAAGTTAATAGTAAATAGAGAATAGTGAATAGTGAAGTGAAATGTTCAAAGTTAATAGTAAATAGAGAATAGTGAATAGTGAATAGTAAAGTGAAATGTTCAAAGTTAATAGTGAATAAAGCGTGTTTCAGTGTGTATACAATAAAGGTAAGAGCCATAGATAAAAGAAGAGTACAGTAGAACCTCGATTATCCGGACTAATTGTTCTCGATAGGCATCCGGATAATCCAAATTATGAAGAATAATGTTTTGTTTATCAAAAATAACTAATGCATACATAGATATCAACAAAAATCGATGTTTATTAGAAAATTAACACTTACATATTTTCTTAGATTACATTATACATATTGTATTAATCATGAGGTAAAATATTCAGGTGGTACGTAAAGTATCAATGAAGAAGAAAAGTTGCTTACGAATAATTTGTTGATCGTTTTTGTAAAAACCAACAATATAGAGCTTCTTCTAAGAGTTCATTTTCGGTCTTTTCACCATTTTCCGATTTTCACTACCCTCTTTACTATCTAACTTGCAAGTGTACGACTTATAGTGGATGTACCTACACCATACCTACCAGCTAACTTACGGCCGGTTTCGCCTTTTTTAATGATTCTATAATATTTATTTTATCTTTAAGGGATAACACCACCCTTTAAAAATGTATATATGCACGTCAAAACATAGAATGTATTAATGTATATATGCACCAGGGGCGTAACTACCGCCGTATCAGCCGTATCAAAAATACGGGGCCCCGAAGCCAGGGGGGCCCCCAACGAGCGCAAGCAGACAGCGAAACAAAATTTTTTCAAAAAATTGAATAATTTTAACGTAGTTTGCATTTCCTTTTGTTATCGAGAGATATTGAACTTCAACTTGTAAGCTAACGCTTAAACGCTTCAAGAGAATTCATTTCTGCTGCAATATTTCTGCACACTCTATCAAACAATTCAATTAGTAAACTTTTGCACATCCTTGCGTAGATATGAACAAATCTAGAAAAACTAATACAGTTTATACATTCTTCATCGAAAATTGGAATTTGGAATTTTTATAATTATATTTATAACATTTTTATATCTATTTTTGTTACTACTTGAATTGTCTGCATGACGCGTAAGTTTAATAGTTATATTTCAATCAACATGGTCAATTAAATCATTTTCAGATTTCTTTCTTTACTGTTTCAAATGATTAGTTTCATTTCTAAAACTTTATACAAAAATCCAGTATTTATTAAGTAATCTTTTAAATACACTATGAGATAAAGTCCAAATGATTTGCAAAAAAGATGGATTGCAATAACTATTTTAAAGAAGAAAAGACAAAAGATAATGAAGCGTTATTATGATGAGTTATCACAAGATGATAGAATTTTAGACCCGAAATTTTATTTTAATAATACTATTGCTATTTGGATATATTAATTTCACAAACCAAACAAAGACTTCAAAACCTTTGCGACTTAAGTAGTATCATTTGTCTTTTTGAAATCGATTATTAATAAACGTTTCTCATATGATTATGACCAATTGATGGTTCTAGAAATAGGTTTGAATACAGAAATCTAAGAAATTTATTATATTAAGATACAATGATGGATGCAATAGGCTTGCCCTTCTGGTTACAATCGCAACTACTTTAAAATGATATTTTTTAAATTAAAACTAATTAAAAATTACGTTATAACTTTAAGACAGAATCCTCTACCAGACCTGTATGTTCCTAGAGACAGAACCTTTATAAAATTTGAAGAACATTAAATAATTCAGTTTTTCCAAAAAAGGCAAGGAGAGTGAACATTTGGAATCATTCGTGAAAAATTCAGAAAATTAGTACGTTACACTCATTTTAATTTACGAAAAGATCACTACATAGCAGCACATGTACATACAGTATGCAAATTAACCCCTGGTATTACTTCTACGTATTGTACATAAAATCAATACAGCCCAAAGATTTGAAAAAAAATAGTTATTTGAAATAAGAACAAAACGTACGAAATACAAAATATATTTTCAAATACACCTAAGTCTGTTTTTACATGATCTTTTTGTACACGGTTTTGATATAACACGGTTTAAAAATTGAACATTTTTAATTTTTTTACACGATTTTATTCCATTTAGCACGATTTGAAATTTTATGTACACCTAAGTCTGTTTTTACACGGTCTTTTTGTACACGGTTTTGATATAACACGGTTTGAAAATTGAATATTTTTAATTTTTTTACACGATTTTATTCCATTTAGCACGATTTGAAATTTTATGTACTTAATTTTTTTTTGTCAAATTAAATTTTTGCGAAGTATGTTCATATCACAAAAAAGTATTTATGAAAGAAAATAGTCTGAAACCATCGATAGTATCGATAGTTTGCGAACACTAGCTTAAAGATTTAAGTGAATTCCACTTTAGCGCGTACAAACAATTTTTACTGGTCACAGCAAATGTGAATAGCACTAACTAAAATAAACATGAATTTTTGTTCTTAAAAATTCTTGTTTTTCACTAATTTTAATAGGTTTTAGAGATTAGGAACAAATCACCCATTTTTGTATAAGATCAATGTCTTTTTTTACACGTTTTTTTTTTACACGGATTCTTCTGGAACCAATCTACCGTGTAAAAACAGACATAGTTGTATATATATTGATATCCAAATTGAGATAAAACTAAATTTCTAGGATTAAAATTCATTTACGAGACATTCTTGTTTGTTATCTCTCCATTTAATAGCTATTTTGCTATCTAATCAATCATTAATAAAGTTATATTTGACGAAATCTTTTAATAGTTTCTGTATAAGTGTTTTTTTAAACGTAAGTAACCAAAACTCTGAACTACTTTTAATTTATACCAATTGTAGCTCAAACCTATCTATCGTTTTAATCCAGTTTTTATTGCAAAGTTTATTTAAAACTATAACTAAACCCTTGCGCTTTATAAACTGTCTGGTCTTTAAGTATGCTCTCTTAATTGAGACAATATCAAAATTCTTGCCCTTGCATTTTAAGTTTCCGGAATATTTGAAAACTTCTCAGAACATTGTATACTCTGTTGAAATTTATCCTTTAAATTATTGCATTGTTCGTTAATCCTTTTTAATCCCGAAACAAAATTGGATGTATCATACATCTTCTGGGTGTTAAGGCACTCCTACGCCTTATCATTGCATTCTGCGGCAATTTGCAGCTACCATCAAGGACTTCTATTGGATATATTGTTATATCATATTAATTGAAGATATTGTAATTATCATATTAAATATTTTTGCTGCAATTAGTATGAAAAAATACCTTTTCGGAAAACTGGTGTTAGAATAGGTGATTTTTAACCTGCACTTCACAATCTTAGAGGTGCTACAAAAATCTTTTTCAAGGTGTTTAGGCTTCCATCTCCTAAAAACATAAGATCCATTTATTAATATTTTTTCGCAAATGTTATTGAAGTATTTAGAGTTATAATTACTTGGCTTTGTCCTTGGAGTTGCAGATTTTTCTTCTGGTTCTGTATCAGAGCATTCTCCAGCGACTTGAAAACTATTCTGTTATTGCCGTAAAGGAGACACTTCTATTTGGTTTCGATTTCAAATTATCATTGATTTGTGCCACAAACCGAAGAGTTAGGTCATCCATTAAAAGATTATTCGCCCTCTGCATCCAAATTGAAAGCATCTTTTTACACACAAATTTTTACACACAAATATATATAATATATATATATATATATATATATATATATATATATATATATATACTAGCTAACCCGGCAAACGTTGTTTTGCCATAAAAAATATGCCTAAATTGATAAAAAATTAATAATAGTGCCAAAAATCAAATTTTTAATAGCTTTGGACTCTGATTCTTTGACAAGTAGTTAAAAACTTGTATAATTTTCAAAATTATTTGACATTTCATACTTCAAAAATTAATTCACTCGCATCATAGTTTTTTGTTTATTATACTTTTGTCATGTCATATATGTCAATAAAGTTTTCTTTCAAATATTATTCATTTGTTAATAAATTAATAATTATTTTAATCATCAATGAATAATTATGTAATTGTTAAATTCATAAGTTTGGCTAAATCGACACAGGAAAGATCTGATTTTTGACATTTGCATTTTATTTCAAATTAATTATAACTGTCAAAATATTTTCTTTTCGGTCAAAATTCAATATAATATGATATAATAATTAGTTTGTCTAGTTTGTTTTTGTCAGATTCCAATGATACCCTCAGATTGTACTATTCCATTTGAGAATTTACAATTTCCTGTAAGATTAGCATTTGCGATGACAATCAAAATATATCTCAACTGATATATTAATAATAATATTATATTTTAATTACACAAATAATAAATTTATTGCTTCTTATTGAAGTAAGTCGTTAAACATTTTTTTGTGAAATGTCAACATTTTGTTTATGATTAATTTTAAATTCAATATGCCGCTTTTTTATTGTGATCTCTAATGTTTTGATGAAGTTTTGGTTTTCAAAATAATTTGGTAAGCTAATCAATTAAATCTAAATCGTAAATCTATTTATATAATTATTTTTATAAATACTGGCAAATGACATTTAATTTTTTTACATGTCAACATTTATTCAAATTTTTGAGCATTGATTTTTAATTAGATTTAAAACTATAAACAGTGATTTTGAATATAGCATTTCATCTAATTTGGATTTAAATGTTGGATTTTCTATATATGTACATGTTTTTGATTTTTATTTTTTGAAATGTCACATTTTTTTATCAAAAATTATATATCGAAATT